TCGCTCTGAGGATCCCCGGCGGCGACCCGTCGAAGCGGCCGCTGGGGCACACGCGGCTCAAGCAGCGGCTCCTGCGGCGCCGGGGCCTCGAGCCCGTGAGCCTGCCCTACTTCGAGTGGGACCGCATCCCCCACTGGTCGTCCATGGAGCGCCAGCGCTACCTCCAGCGCAAGCTGGAGATCCGGGAGAAGCTCGAGTACGAGGGCGGCGACTCGTCGGCCTTCGCGCCGCTGCCGGACGGCGACGACGACGGCGAGTCGGACCTCGCGCGGCTGTCCTAACTCGGCTCCCGGCGCGGCGGCGGGGTGGTGGTCATGTTGCGAATTGCGGGGCGTGTCTGGAATTTCAATTGGCGTCGGGGGTGCGCGCGGCGCGGGCCCGCCGGGTTCTGCATTGGGGGGCTCAGGCGATGGGCGCCGCGGGCTGGTGGCCGCCGTCGGAGAGGACGAAGGTCTGGACCTCGCCCGCGGCGATCTTCGTGCAGTTGACCGAGACCGCGCCCGGGTGCTTGGGGCAGGTGACGAGGACCTTGAGCGCCGCGACGAGCATCTTCGCCTCCGTCTCGGAGCGGCACTCGAAGTCGAGCGTGCGGTGGTCGAGAATGAAGGAGAAGGCCTTCTTCACGCGCGCGAGGTCGTGCTTGCACGTCTTCCGCAGCGTCGGCGTGCCCGCGACGCCCCGGAGCGCCTTCTTCGGCGGCGCGCGCTTCTTCGTGCGCTTGTCGCCCCACTTGTCGTCCGGCAGACCCTCGTCGCCCTCCATGGACTGCGGGTCGAGCTCCGTCGCCGCGCGGACCTCGACGATGTCGCGCACGGGCACGAAGTGGTCGGGCTTGCGGCCCTCGCGCCAGCCCACGGAGCCGCCGTCGGCGGCGAGGTAGAGCGTGCGCTCGCGGACGCGGCCGTCGGAGCCGTGCTTGAGCACGGGGATGCCGTTGTTGAGGCGGTGGAGCATCGCGGGCATGTCGACCGTCGTCGACGGGCCGCGCTTCACGCCGTCGCCGACCGTGGAGAAGGACGTCGCCGAGCTCGCCGTCGTCGTCGTGTCGAGGGCGCTGAGCTCGCTGCGCCCCGTGCCCGAGGGGGCCAGGGCGTCCTCCTGGACGTTCATCTTGCTCACGAGGGCGCTGTCGAGCGCCGGGAGGGCGCTGTCGCTCGCGAGGAGCGGGTCGTCGTCCTTGGCCTCGCCGTGGCCGCCGCCGCCGACGAGCTTGACGCCGTCGTCCTCCTCCTCCTGGATCTTGTGCTTCGCCGCGAAAAAGTCCGCCATAGTTGTCGTCCGCGCGCGAGGCAGCCCGCCCGGAATTTATCACCGGGGCCAAGTTGCTGCTCTCCTAGCCTAGCTGCACGATCATCATCAAGAGGCAGCCCCTCGTCATTCTCATTCGCCAGATTCGTCGACGCCATGATGCGCGCCGCGACCCTCCGCCGCTCGCTGTCGACGACGGCCAAGACGCTGCGCGTCGTCGTCGTCGACGGCTACGCGCAGAAGAGCCGCGACGAGTTCGTCGCCCGCGGCATGCCCTTCGCCAGCGGGCTCTACCAGGACATGCTCGTGGCCAACGCGCCGCGCGGCGTGCGCCTCGAGTTCGAGACGATCTTCCCCTGCAGCGACGACTACGTGCCGCCGAGCGACGACGCGCTCGCGGCCTTCGACGCCGCGGCCTTCACGGGCAGCTCCTACTCCGCGTACGCGCCGGACGTCGACGTGGCGCGGCAGGTCGACCTCATGCGGCGGACCTTCGACTGCGGCGTGTCGAGCTTCGGGAGCTGCTGGGGCATCCAGATCGCCGCCGTCGCGCTGGGCGGCCGCGTCGAGCTGTCGCCCAACGGCCGCGAGGTCGGCTTCGGCCGCAAGGTCGCCCTGACGCCCGAGGGCCGCGGCCACCCCATGTACGCGGGCAAGAAGTCCTGCTTCCACGCCTTCATGAGCCACAGCGACGAGGTCTCCGTCGTCCCGCCGGGCGCCGTCGTCACGAGCGGCAACGACCACAGCCGCGTCCAGGCCATGGCCGTGACGCGCAACGGCACGGAGTCCTGGTTCGTCCAGTACCACCCCGAGTACGACCTGGCCTACTACGCGTCCCTCATCGCGGGGCGCAAGGAGCGCATGACGGCCATGGGCTTCTTCCGCTCCGAGGACGACATCGACGCCTACGTCGACGACCTCACCGCGCTCCACGCCGCGGGCCTCGAGGCGCGCAAGGACGTCGCCTGGAAGTACGGCGTCGACGAGGACGTCTACGACGCCGACGTCCGCCAGTGCGAGGTCCGCAACTGGCTCAAGTACCGCGCGAGCCTGAAGTAATTTTATTTTTGCTGGAGTTATCTTTGAGCTTGGCAACTTGAAGGCTTGAAGCCGCGGAAACACTCGATCCTGGTTCTCGGCATGTCGCAGGAACCCACGCATTTTGCAGCACAATTCGCAACCACACAAGTCGCGCGTCGACACCAAACGAGCAGGTCGCGCGCAGCGTCGACGACCAGCAATACCGCAAGCAATCACCTAGCACGACAGCGACCACCAACAGCGTCGACGACCGGCAACACAACGAGCACTCACCTAGCGTCGACGACCAGCAACACAACAAGCAACCACCATGTCGACGACCACGGCCCTCGTCGCGCTCGCCGCGCTCGCCGGCGCTGCGGCCCAGACCTGCCCGCTGGCCGACGAGTTCGGGTTCGCGTTCCCCAACGGCGCGGAGGACGCGGACGCGCTCGGCGGCCTCGTCGTCCGCGGCTTCGACGCGGCGAACGCGGCGGCCTGCGAGTACTGCGGCGTCACGACGCGCCACGAGGCGCCGGGCCTGCCGACCGAGGAGGCGCCGGGCACCTACTACGGCTACGATTTCAAATGGAACAAGCTCGAAGGCGAGCGGTCCTTCTGGCGCGACGCGGCCAAGGGCTGGAAGCGGTCCGTCGCGTGGTACGCGTCGTGCGGCCACGGCTACGAGAGCGACCGCCGCTGGTACGAGTGGTCCGGCGAGTGCGTCATCCCCGACGCGCGCAAGTTCCTCGGTGAGTCCTGCGCGAGCAAGAGCGACTGCGCGCACGGCTTCACGGACCCCTACGTCGACGTGACATGCGCGCCGACGTCGCCCGACGCGCACGCGCCCGACCTCCGCTGCGTGCTCGACGAGGAGGCGACGTGGCTCGCGACGCGGTCCCTCGAAAGCACCTGCGAGTGCTTTGGCTTGCTCTACTGCCACTCGGACGACTGCGACGGCAACATGTGCGTGCTCAGCACCTACGACATGCAGAAGCACTGCAAGTACGCGGACGACGACGGCTTCACCGACGTGCTCTTCGGGTCCACGCAGTGCTCCAACTGCCGCGCGGCCGAGAACCCCTGCCCGTCCTACGACGGCGGCTCGCCCTACGGCCGCCGCCTCGCGGAGGCGTCGCCGCTCGTCCTCGCGCCGGCCCTCGCGCTGCTCGTCGTCGCCGCCGCGGTCTTCTCGGCCTACGTCTGCCGGACGCGCCCCGTCGACGACGTCGCGCCCGTGAAGATCGGGCTGCCGGCGAGCGACCTCGTCCTCCCGGAGGTCGAGGTCTAAATTTCCTGTGTTCTGTTACGCGGCTAGAGCGCGGCGATGATCTGCTTGAGCTTGGACTGCGCGACCTTGACCTGGTCCTTGGGCTCCTTGTACTTGAGCTTGCCGTTGCCCGGCTGGAAGTAGATGAAGTTGTTGTCGTAGACGTACTGGTCCGTGAGCTGGAGCGCCGACGACAGGTCCTCGCTGAGCTCGATCAGCTCGGGGTCGCCGGCCGCGAGCGCCTCCGCGCGGAGCCAGTTCTTGCTCGCGCCGAGGTTCCACAGCTCCGCGATGGGCGACCTGCGCGATCGCGGTCTCCGTCTCGCGCGCGGCGCGACGAGAGGGCGCGGCTCGTTCTGGCGCGGCGCGCAAGCAGGCCGCGGACGGATGTGCGATCACGGTCTCCGTCTCGCGCGCGGCGCGACGAGAGGGCGCGGCTCGTTCTCTCGGGCGCGGCGCGAAAGGAGGCCGCGGACGCCGCGCGACGTACGTCTTCAGGACTGTTCGCACGGAATCCCACTTGGCGTCATCGATGTAGCCCGCGAGCGGCTCGAGCTTCACGAGAACCGCCTCGGCGTCCTTCTTCGTGTTCGAGGCGGCGTGCGCCGGCTGCGAGGCGAGGCCCGCCACCGGCGCAAGCAGCGGCGCGAGGCACACTCGTCGGCGCAATTGTGATTGTGGTGACGCCGGCGCGATCTTCGCATGCGATGGCTGCGGCGCGAGCGCGTTTGCGGCGCCCGCGAGCGCCAGAAGCAGTGCTACAGAGAGCTGCTGACGGACGGCCATCTGACACAGATGGACCGGCTGCGGATACCGGGAAAGTGAATAAAGCAGTGCAAACCAAGGGGGTACCACATAGGGATGATGCAAACCAAGGCGGTGAACCCAAAGTGAATAAGCCGCTCTCGGGCAGCCCGAGCCACAGAATCGCCTGCAAACGCTGAAGTCTTTGCTGATTTCGACAGCAAACGCTCCAACGCTCTCGCCTAAGCAGAGCTCCATCCTGCGGCGTCGGCTGCGTTCGACGCTAGTGCACGTTTTTGCGAGCGCATTCACGTTCCGTGGCTCCAAATCCGTCCGATGATGTCGCGTCATCGTCGCGCCGTGCCGTCAGGTGCTGAAGCTGCTGCGGAACGCTGCGGGGCTGCTACGGGCTGCTCTCGAGCCGCGCCGTTGCTGGGGCGGCGCCAGCTCCGCGCGCAACGAGATGCATTCGTTGCGCGACGCAGCCCTCGAGCCGCGCCGTTGCTACGTCCGTGACGTGACGGCGAGACCTGAGCGCTGCGTCGACGGGCGGTCGGCGCGACAAGCTGCCGGCTCGACAAGCTTTGGGCGCCGACGTGTGCACAACGCGGCAGCTTGGGCCGCGGCCGCGCGCCGCGCGCTCCGGCGGACGGCGGCGCGCCACGTCCGCGTCCAGCGGTCTCGCGCGCTCCGCGGCGCGCTCGCGGCACTCGCCGCGGCGGTCGCGGCGCGCGGCCGCGGCGCTTGACGCGCGGCGCGGCGCGCAGCGCGCGGTCGCCGCCTGGCGCGCGCGCGCCGTCGGCGGCGAGCGGCGGCGCGCGGCCGCGGGCCGGCGCCGCGCGGCCGCGGGCCGGCGCCGCGCGGTCCTCGCGCGCGCGGTCGCGCGCGCGGTCGCGCGCGTCGGCGCCGCCGCGGCCGAGCGGGCCGCGGCGCGGCGTCGCCGCGCGGACGGCGCGCGCGCAGTCGCCGCCGCCTGGATCTCGGACGAGAGCCTTCGGGCCCGTGGCGGCCGCGGAGCGCGCCGCGCGCTGCGCGCTAGGTCGAACCACGGTGCCTTGGGCACCGCATCCGCTTCTGCCCCCGGTCGTACCCTTCGGGCGCGCGCCAGAGGCTCTAAATTACCCTCCTCCCCTTCGCCGCCCCTGCGGGGCAGCGATTTTTTTTTGGTGCGCCCCCCGGTATCCAACGCAAGCCCACAGATGAGGCTGGTGCTCGTTGATGTTCAACTTGAAGCCGGCGGCTCTGAAAAAAAAACACAATAAACGTTACGCCCCCGGCGCGCAGTCGAGCGTCGTGGACGTCTCGTCGCCCCAGGCGTTCGCGACGCGGAGGATGACGACGTCGTTGGCGGCGAGCGTGCCGAGGCCGTCCACGGTGACGTCCTGGGGCCGCCAGTGGGGCTTGAAGCTGAACGCGCCGCTCTTGCGCTCGTCGCCGTTGACGCGGACCGCGTAGGTCCCGTTCGCGAGGTCGTTCTGCTTGAAGTTGCTGACGGTCTTGAAGGACACCGCGTGGAGGCCGCACGTCGTCTCGTAGACGAGGGGCGCGTCGTAAAACCGCTCGGCCGAGTAGGACGTCCAGCCGTAGTCGTCGCGGTAGCAGCCCGTCGCGTTCCGGCACAGGTCGCCGGCGACCTTGATCTCCATGGCGACGTCGCCGTCGTTCTCCACCTCGATGACCCGCACCTCGAACTGGTCGTCGTAGTCGACCGTGTCGGGCCAGTGCAGGCCGAGGAAGTTGCCCGTCGGCAGCCGGTCGTTGTCGCCGAAGTGGGGCGTCTTGCTCCCGAGGGAGTAGATGAACGTCACCGTCGCGACGCCCTCGGCCTCGTTGAGCCTCAAACAGAGCAATCTCGAGCTCTTCGCGGACCCCTTCTGGTTGTCGAAGAGGCAGTACTCGTCGTCGCCGAAGTACTCCGCGTTGTGCTGGCCGAGGAAGTAGTTCGACCCCGCCGTGTGGTTGTGGCCGCGCTCGTCGACGATGTCGAACTTGCCGTGCTCGCCGCCTAAAACCCAGACGACGTCGCCCGTGGCCGCGTCCTCCTTGACGATGCCGTTCGTCGACCGAGAAGACACGAACGCGAGCGAGTCCTCCTCGATCAGCTGGACGTGGTTCGGGTCCTCGACGCGGTGCTCCGCGAACTCGGCGAGCTCGCGGCCCGTGGCCGCGTCGTATTTTTTGATCACGGTGTAGCCGTCGGCCTGCCAGAGCGCGTCGCCGGAGTACGCCCACTGCGCGTCGTGCGCGTCGTTCTCCCGGCCGTCGCACAGGACCGTCCAGGTGTTCGCCCTCCAGTGCCAGAGCGCGCGCGGGCCCTTGAGGCCCGCCTTCGCCGACAGCGCGACGAGCAGCGCGCTCGAGTTGTAGGGCTTGATGGCCAGGGGCTTGTAGAGCTCGCGCTCGTCGGCGTCGGACCAGCCCTTTTGGCGCAGGACCTTGCCCAGCGTCGGCGACAGCGCGACGACCGCGCCCCGGTAGTCCATGACGAGCACGTAGGCCGCCGTCGTCCCGCCGTGGGGGCTCGACCGCGACAGGCCAAAGGCGACGTAGCCGAGGCTCGCGGCGACGCCGACGACGCCCTCGGCGCGGTTCCGCGTGACGCGCGTGACGATCTCCCGCGGCACGAGGTCGCTGAGCTCGTCGTAGCTCGACGCGTTCGCGAGGCCCTCGTCGCCGAGGAACTTCTTGATGCCGTCCAGCTCCAGAAAGTCGCCGTAGGTGAGCGTGGCGACGCTCGTGCCCGCGCTGCTGCCGAGGCGCAGGGCCCCGGGCCCCGCCGCCGGCGCCGAGAGCAGGGCGACGACCGCGGCGCTCACGGCCGCGGACGCGAGGACCCGCGCGACGCCCCGCGGCTCCACCCGCATGGCTGCGCCGCCCGACGGCGCGGGCACAGGCTGCCCCAGTGAAGTCGACAGTCAGCAAAAACGAGCACCGTTCCTTCACCTTGAAGAAAAGCAAAACAGGTAATTAGGTCCGACGACCCCTCAGCGGCAGTCGACGTGGGCCGCGGTCTCGTCGCCGAACTGGTTCGTGACGGTGAGCTGGACGCGGGACGTCTTCGCCGGGACGTCGACGTCGACGGCCGTCTCGCGCCAGTGCGCGGCGAAGTCGAAGTGGCCGTCGACGGACGCGGCGTCGTCGTCGCCCGTCACGGCGGCGGCGACGGAGTAGTAGCCCTTGAACTCGTTCATCTGCTTGAAGTTGTTCACGGTCTTGAAGGAGAGCGTCGCGTCGGAGCACTCCAGGTCCCAGAGGAGCGGCGCGCCGTAGACGCGCTCGATGGAGTAGGCGTACCAGCCGACCTCGGCGTGGTCGCAGCGCTTCGCCGCGTCGCACTTGGGCCCCAGGACCTTCATCTCCCAGGCCAGGTCGCCCGAGTCGCGCTCGACCTCGACCGCGCGGACGTCGTACTCGTCGTCCGTCTCGACGTAGTAGGGCCAGTGCACGCCGAGCTGGTTGCCCGTCGGCAGGCGGTCGTTGTCCCCGAAGTGGGGCGTGTAGGCGCCCATGAAGTAGGAGAAGGTCACGACGCCCTTCTTGCTGTCGCCGTCGTCGACGAGCTTCACGCACAGCAGCCGCGACTGCGCGTACAGATTGCTCGTCTCCTCCTGGTTGTCGAACATGCAGAACTCGTCGTCGCCGAAGTACTCGGCGTTGTGCTGGCCGCTCCAGACGACCTCGCCGGCCCGGTAGATGGTCCCGTCGTAGTCCTCGATCTTGTAGTCGCCGTACTCGCCGCCGAGCGTCCACTCGACGGCGCCGTCGGCGTTCATCTTGATGATGGCGTTGGTCTGGCGCGACGAGATGTAGAACTTGGTGTCCTCCTCCGTGGCCTGGAGGTGGTTCGGGTCCTGCACGCGGACCTCCGCGAAGTGGTCCAGAATCCGGCCCGTCGCGGCGGACGCCTCCTCGACCTTCGTCGTGCCGTCGACCTGCCACACCGCCGCCTCCTCGTAGGCCCACTGGATGTCGTGGGCGTCGTTCGTCTTGCCGCCGCAGAGCGTGACGTACGCGTCCGCGCGCCAGTGCCAGAGCGCGCGGGGCCCGGACGTGCCCCCGGACTCGCCGAGCGACAGGAGCACGTGCGTGTTGTTGAACATCTTCAGGCCCAGCACCTGGTAGACCATGTCCTTGACGCCCTTGGACGCCGTGTAGCCCTTGTCGATCATCGTCTCGCCGTACGTCGGCGAGACCTGCACGAGCTTTCCGTAGTAGTCGACGACGACCAGATAGGAGGCCGTGAAGGCGCCGTCGTAGTGGTACACGAGGCTCGTGAACACGTAGCCCTCGAGCGCCCCGACGCCGATGGCGCCCTCGACCTTGTCGTGCGCGACCTCGAACGTTACCTCCCGGGGCACGTACTTCTCCAAGTCGTCGAACGTGGACCAGTCGTCCTTGTCGACGCCCTGGCTCTTGAGGAAGGCGCGCACGCCCTCGAACTCGAGGAAGTCGCAGTAGGTCAGCGTGTAGTCGAGCTTCGACGCCCCCGGGGCGATGCCGCCCAGGTTCGTCGGCGCCCCGCCGCGCAGGAGCGGCGACGCCACGCCGCCCAGGCGCGCGCCGACGACGACGGCGCAGAAGGCGCTGAGGGCGGCGACGCCGGCCCTGGCCCGCGATGTCCTACGCGGCGCATCCACCACGCCGGCCGCCGCCGGCCGGAGCGTCGCGGCCTCCGTCGTGGCCATCGGGGCTGCGCGTCGGCCAAATAAAGGCACCGTCCACCTCACCGCCGCGGCCCGATCCTCGGGGCAGCCCTCGCCTCGCGTTCAAACAGCCAGCCAACCTCTACGGGCAGCTACCGCGCGACTCGCTTCCCGGCGTCGCGCGGCGTCCCGGTGTCCGAGGGGCCGCGGGCCGCGTCCCCGGTGGGCGCGTGGCGGTGCGCGCGTCGCCGTGAGAAGGAGACCGTCGGAGCACAGCCGTCGGCGGCCGCGGCTCGTGAAGCGCCGCGACCATGGTGCGCCTCGAGCTCGTCGAGAAGCGCGCGCACGACCAGATCGCGACGTGCGCGACCTGGGCCCCGACGAACGTGCTCTACTCCTGCTCCGACGACAAGGACATCCTCAAATGGGGCGTCGACGGCGAATCCGCGGGCAAATGCGCGCAGCTCGACACGTACCCGACGTCCATCGCCTGGATGCCGAACATCGGCAAGGGCGCGTCGGACGTTTTCGCCCTGTCCTGCGCCGACGGCACGCTGCGCCTCATGACCGGCGGCGGCCGCGAGGAGAAGAAGGTCGCCGCGCACCACGGCGCCGCGCTGCGCGTCGTCTGGAACTTCGAGGGCAGCGCGCTCTACAGCGCGGGCGAGGACGGCGAGATCAAGGTCTGGAGCAAGTCGGGCAATCTAAGATCGACCCTCGTCAAGAAGGACCACCCCATCTACAGCTTCGCGACGGGCCCCGGCGGCGACCAGGTCGCGTTCGTGTGCGAGCGCAAGATCCACGTCGAGCCCGTGGGCGAGCGCAAGAACTCGACGAGCTGGGTCGCCCACGACCAGGTCGTGCTGGCCCTCGACTGGAACCACGTCACGGGTTTGCTGGTGTCCGGCGCGGAGGACTGCAAGTACAAGGTCTGGGACCACTTTGGCCGCCAGCTCTACCAGTCGCAGCCCTTCGCGCACGTCATCACGGCCGTCGCCTGGAGCCCCAACGGCGCCTACTTCGCCGTGGGCGCCTACAACATGCTGCGCCTCTGCGACAAGACGGGCTGGAGCTGCTGCCGCGAGCGGCCCAACTCGGGCTCCATCCTGTGTGGAAATCAACCAGTGAGCTGGGACGTCGGGGCCAAACTTCAGAATTCTCTAGCTCGGTCAAATCGAAGTCGATTCGGCTGATTTTTGGACGAATCGATTGCTCTCAGCGAGTTCTCGAAGCACGGCGGAAGTGCTCGTGTCAAAGCATTCGAATACGCGCACATTGAAGTCGGGTTGAAGATTTGATTTCCACGCAGGCTCCGTCATGGACCTCGCGTGGACGTCCGACGGCACGCAGCTCGTCGGCGCGGGCGGCAACGGGTCCGTCGTCTTCGGCAACCTCGTGGAGCGCAAGCAGGAGTGGAACAACTACGAGGCGACGCTCGTGGGCCAGCGCCAGATCCAGGTCCAGGACGTGCTCAACGAGACGTACGAGTCGCTCGACTTCAACCGCGACCGCGTCGTCGAGATGGCGCTGGGCTACGGCTACCTCGTCGTGTCGACGACGACGCAGTGCTTCGTCTACAGCGTGTCGAACTTCAACACGCCCTACATCTTCGACTCGCCCGAGACCGTGAGCCTCATCGAGCTCGCGGAGAAGTTCTTCCTCGTGCTCACGCCCAGCGCGATCACGGTCTACTCCTACGACGGCCGCAAGGTGAGCCAGCCCCGCTTCCACGGCCTGCGCACGGAGTCGCTCTCCGCGAGCTCGCTGTCGCTCGCGGCGGACTGCGTCGCCGTCATCGACCCGAGCGACCGGAAGCAGGTCCGCTGCTGCGACGTGTTGACGGGCAAGCCCATGGGCGACCCCATCGCCCACAAGGCCGAGGTCGTCTACGTGGCCCTGAACCAGACGCCCGTCACCTCGGGCTCCGTCGAGCGCCAGCTCATCGTCATCGACCGCAACGCGGAGCTCTTCTTGTATCTGGTGTCCACGGGCAAGAGCTACAAGCTCCACACGCAGGTCGACACGGCGGCCTGGAACGCGACGTCGGAGTCGCTCTGCGCCATCGCCGACGGCCGGCTGTTGGTGTGGTGCTACCCGGCCATCGCGTTCACGGACCGCGACCTGCTGCCGAGGACGCTGACGACGAAGGACGGCGCGGAGTTCGGCAAGCTGTCGACGATCGTGTCCTTCAACGCGTCGCGCATCACCGTGCGCCGCGCCGACGGCGCCGTCGTCTCCGCGGCCGTCGCGCCCTACGCGGCGCTGCTCTACACGTTCGGCGCGGCCGCGCGCTGGGACGAGTCGATGCGGCTCTGCCGCTTCGTCGAGGACGAGGGCTGCTGGTGCATGCTCGCGGCCATGGCCATCAACGCGCGCAATTTGGACGTCGCGGAGATCGCGCTCGCGGCCGTCGAGGAGGTCGACAAGCTCCAGTACGTGCTCTACATGAAGAAGATCCCCTGCCCGGAGGCGCAGTCCGCGGAGCTCGCGCTCTACAAGCGGCGGCCCGACGACGCGGAGCGCATCCTCCTCCAGGCGACGCCGCCGCTGCTCTACCGCGCGATCAAGATGAACATCCGCCTCTTCCGCTGGGACCGCGCGCTCGAGATCGCCGTCAAGCACCGGTCCCACGTCGACACGGTGCTCGCCTACCGCGCGAAGCACCTCGAGGCCTTCAAGAAGACGGAGACCGACGAGCGCTTCAAGCAGCTCGCGTCGTCCGTCCAGTGGAGCTGGGACGAGGTCAAGGCGAAGAAGGACCTCGAGAAGCGCGAGGAGGCCGCGCGCCACGGCAAGTCCTACGAGCCGTCCTCGTCGTCGTCCGCGCCCCGCGACGAGGGCAAGGACGACCACAAGTGAGCCGCCGCCTCGATAGCCCAGTCGACGCGCGCGATCCACGTTCCCGCGCGCGCCCGTAGTAACCCGCCACTCCCTTTTCCGTAGGTAGCCCTCCTTACGGCGGCAGCCAGAGCCGCGCGGTTCCCGCGACGGCGGCGGCGCCGTCGTCCAAAACAACGCTCGTATCACACTCGACAAAGTCGCCGCGGCGCCGCGCGGACGTGACCTTGGTGACGACGATGGTCGCCGTGACCAATTCGGCCACGGGCACGGGCCGGAGGAAGTCGAGCGTCTGCGCTCGGTAGACGCTCCCCGGCCACTCGCCGGCGAAGAGCGCGGGGAAGAGCGACGCCAGGAGCACGCCGTGGACGATGGGCGCTGCGAAGTGGTCGCTCGGTTCCCGGTGGATCGCGTTGTCGTCGCCCGTGAGCCGCGCGAAGGCCGCGACGTCGTCGGCGTCGAAGCGGCGCGAGGTCGTGAGCGCGGCGCCGACCGTCGGTCGCTTTGCGGTCGTCGAGAGCTGGTGCGATCGATGCGGTACTCGCTGGAGGCAGCGACGCGCGACGCGCGCTGCGGTCAGAGAGCTTGGAGCGGATGCCATAGCTTGTTCACTCCACGAGCACCGCTCTTTCCCTGCAACTTACTCGATTCTTCTCGAGGTCACGATGAGGGCTGCGAACTTGGGCCCCAGCTTCGCCTCGCGATGCTCGTGGAAGCGCGCGCTTTTGCTCTCGATGCTCGTCTCGGCCAGAGCCGCGAAGAAGCCCCCAAACATCGTCTGGATCATGGCCGACGACATGGGCTTCGGCGAGGTGGGCAGCTTCCCCGCGACGTCGGCCGTCGGGCGCATCCGGACGCCCCACCTCGACCAATTGGCCGACTCGGGCCTCAAGTTCTCGCGGGCCTACGCGGGCTACACGGTCTGCGCGCCGTCGCGGACGACGCTCATGACGGGCGTCCACTCGGGCCACTTCCAGGCCCGCGGCTTCAGCGGCCAGAGCATCGCGCCGAACCAGGCGACGACGGTCGCCGACGTGCTCAAGGCCGCGGGCTACGCGACGGCGCTCTTCGGCAAGGCCGCGCCCCTCAGCGACCCGCTGCGCAGCGGCTTCGACGCCTTCGTCGGCCAGGTCGACCAGGGCGCGTGCCACGACATGTACCCCGCGGCCGTCGACTCCGGCGCGAAGCCAAATTTGACGCTCGCGCCGTCGGACCTCGGCGAGAACCCGGGCTGGGGCGACGTCGCGCTCGGCAACGCCAACGCGTCGCGGGACGCCTGCATGGCGCACCCCGATCGCTACAACTACACGACGGACGTCTTCCACGGCGCGGCCATGGCCTGGCTCCGCGAGAACCGCGCGGAGCCCTTCTTCCTCTACCTGTCCTTCACGACGCCCCACGCGGGCGGCTGGACGGCGAACAAGGCCGCGCGTCGCGCGGCGTCTCCGACGATGCCTCTCGTGTCATGTCCCGCCCGCAGGAGGACGGCAACCCGACGCCGACGACGTTCGCGTACGATCGCTCGGGATCGTGGCCCGACGTGGAGCGCGTCCACGCGGGCGCCATCACCTACCTCGACGCGCGCATCGGCGAGCTCGTCGCCTACCTCGACGCGCACTACCCGGACACGCTCGTGCTCTTCGCGTCGGACAACGGCGCGCGCGCCGCGTCCCGGCGGCCGCGCGCGCGCCCCAGGCGTCCGACCGCAGGCGCGCACAACGAGGGCGGCCACGTCCACACGTTCTTCAACTCGACGGGCGGCCTGCGGGGCTTCAAGCGGAGCCTCTACGAGGGCGGCGTCCGGAGCCCGTCCATCGCGCGGTGGCCGGGCACCGTCGCGCCGGGCTGGAGCGACCACGAGTGGCTCTTCAGCGACTTCCTCGCGACGGCCGCGGAGCTCGCGGGCGTCTCCGACGCGCCGGCGACCGACGGCCTCTCCATCGTGCCGGAGCTGCTGGGCGAGAAGCAGCCGACGCACGACTTTCTCTACTGGACGTGGGTCGGCGACGGCTTCTCGCCGAAGCACGGCGTCATGGGCTACGCGGCGCTCCGCGGCGACTACAAAATCGTCTACAAGAACTGCACCACGGGTAGCCCGCGCGCGACGGACCCCGTCGAGCTCTACCACCTCCCGTCGGACCCGTTCGAGGCCGCGGACGTCGCGGCCGCGCGCGCGGACGTCGTCGACGAGATCCGCGGCGCGCTCGTCGCCGCGGACCTCTCCTGCCGCTGCTACCAATGCTAAGGACACGCGGGGCCCGCGCATCTGAACCAGCGGACGACGCTGGACCGGAGGTCCGCGAGGAGCGCCGCGTCCGCGCCGCCGACGGCGTTGCGCAGCTGGTGGGGGTCGTCGTCGAGGAAGAAGAGCTCCTCGTGGTGCGCGGCGCCGGCGAAGTCCACGCTCCCGTCCGTGCCATTCACGAACTTCGCGTAGAGCAGGTCCCGGCGCCGTACCGCGACGAAGTTGTTGTCGCTCTGCTCGATGGGCTCGGCCATGGAGCAGTAGGGCCCGATGCCGACGTAGGCGTACTCGACGAAGACCTCGTCGCGCCAGGGCACCGTCGCGTTGCGCAGCCAGGGCGCGAAGCTCCGGCCGTCGACGTCGTCGCCGGCGTCGACGCCCGCGAGGTCGAGGAACGTCGGCGCGAGGTCGACGTTCGTCACGAACGGCGCGTCCACGACGGCGCCCGGCCGGACGCCCGGCCCGCGCGCGACGAGGTGGACGCGCGTGTCGAAGTCGTAGACGTGGCGCTTGTCCCAGTTCAGGTTCAATTCGCCCAGCGAGTAGCCGTGGTCCGACGTGTAGAACACGAACGTGTCCTCGAGCGCGTCGCCGAGCGCGTCGAAGATGCCGGCCACGAGATCGTCGACGGACATGAGCGTGCGCCAGCGGTCCTTGAAGTCGTCGTCGATGCAACTGGCCACGTCGTCCGTGATCGCGCCCATGGCCGCGACCGTCGGGTGGTGCAGCCGCCGCGCGGCCTTGGAGAGGTTGAACGACGGCGGCCGCGGCGCGCCCGCCGGCCAGGCGTCGTCCCAGGCGTCGGCGTACCAGGCCGCCGGCTGGAAGGGGTCGTGCGCCGCCTTGGGCGCGACGTAGGCCAGGAACGGCGCGGCGCCCGCCTTCACTGATTCGATCCACGCCGCGGAATAGTTGCCCACGACGCTCGTCGTGTAGGCGTCCGCCGGCGCGTCGTAGGTGCCGTCGTCGAGACCGTCGACATTTTTCACGGCGAAGGACGGACCGAAGTAGTGCCCGCCGCCGTTCGCGAGGTAGGCGTCGAAGGCTTCGGGGATCGGCGCGCCGGAGCACTCGTCGCCGCAGTCGCCGGGGCAGAAGTTTAAATACTTGCCGAACATGCCTACGAGGTGCGTCGGTGACGCCTTTTCGTTTTCCCGGTCAAAATCTGGAAAATCGTGACGGCAGCAGGACGCTGGAACATGCCCGTGGCGTAGCCGGCGCGCTTGAGCTTGGCCGCGAAGCTCGCGTCGTGGACCTTGTCCTCCTCGACGTGCATGCAACACGCGCCGCCGGTGACGGGGTCGAAGCCGTCGTAGGGCGTCGTGCAGACGCCCGGCGTCTTCAGGTTGTGGAGGTATCGGCCCGTTAAAGTTTCCGCGCGGCTCGGGCAGCAGACGGGCGTGTGGACGAAGCTGCTCGTGAAGAGGGCGCCGCCGTCGACCAAGAGCTTCTGGGTTTGGGGCATGGGCGTCGCGCCGCTTGTCGTCGGGAAGCTGCCGCCGAGCACTTGGTCTTGATCATCGGTAAGGATGAAGACGATGTTGTTCGGTGTGTTCGGTGCGTTCGGTGCGCATTCCGCTGTCGCGAGCAGTAGGAATACCCAAGATGAGGCTGCCATCGATCGAGAGCGTTCAACGAATTTGTTTGCCTGGGTAAACTTTGGCTCAGGCCCGGCTTATGAGCTGCAGCCCCACGCCCCTCGTTCCGCGCTGCAGACATGGACACACCGCTTGTAGATGTATATTTCGGGCAGGCCGCCGAGGGCGGAGACGTCGATGAGATGCGTGAGCTCCGGGCGCAGGGGGCGGACGTGAACTCCGGGAGCGGGTACCCTCTGAGAAATGCTGTGCTGAAAGATCGCACAGCAGCCGTGCAGTACTTGCTCGACGAAGGGGCTGACGTCAACGTGAGAGCTGTCGAAGCATACACCCTGCTCCACTTGGCTGCATTTAATGCCAACAGCGAGATCATGGGCCTTTTGCTCGCGGCCGGCGCGGACGTGCACGCGACTGCCGAAAATGGGAAAACTCCCCTGTACGTTTTGCCCACGGGTTCCCATTTGCTTCGTAGGAATCGGAAGCAATGCGCGGAGCTACTCCTATCGCGCGGGGCGCGCATCGACGATGCAAACAGAAATAATTCATGGACGCCCCTGAAGTGTGCAATTTATTTCGGGCGCCGCGAGGTGATCAAGATCTTTCTCCGCGCCGGCGCGCGAGAGATCCCCACCGCGGATCTTCCGCTGCGCCGCGACCCCTTCAATGCATCCCCCTTCGCGCCCCCCTTGAACGAATCCGCCCTCGACCTGATCGCCACGATCCGCGCCGCCGGCGGCTGGCCAGAGTACGTCAACGCGCACCGCCGCGTGCTCGCGAGCTTCGTCTCCAAGCTCAGCGCAAAGAACGCCGCCCGGCCCATCCCCCTCGACGCCGCGAGCCACGTCGTCGCGTTCTGGTGTCCTCCGGGAGGCTATTAATCGAACGAAAGACGGGCGCCCTAGGAAGGGCGCTGCGCCCGCCCCGTGTTTCCGGCCGCGGAGCCCGTCGGCTTCTTGGCCTCGTAGCCCTTGCCGACGCCGCCCTTGGCGTGGTCCCGGTAGTCCTTGATGAGGTTGCCGAGCGTCGTCGGCGGCAGGGGCGACTTGGCGGCGAGGAAGCCCGCGTCCTTGGGCTTGAGGGGCTCCGCGGGCTTCTTCGCGAGGTGCTCCGACGCGGCCGCCGGCGCGGCCAGGTCCGACGGCTGGGCCTCGAGGCCCGGCGTCGCCTCCCAGGCGGACACCTTCGCGTCGTCGGCGTCGTCGGCGAGGAACCAGCGCAGGCTCCCCGGCCGCTTGCCGCCGATGGGCAGGTGCAGTTCGCGCGCGGACCACTCGACGAGGTCGATCTGGAGGCTCAGCGCGTCGGCGGCGCCCGCGGGCGACGCGACGCGGCCGACGAAGAAGTCGCGGTCCAGGCCGTCGGCGCGCACCCAGACCTGGGCCGGCGCCGCGCCGCCGGCGACGAGCGCCGCGTAGCGGTCCGCCTGGGCGTCGAGCGGCTTCCGCCCCGCGGGCACGTACTCGGACCGGTCGGCCTCCGGGTCCTCGACGGCGAAGCCCGACCCCGTGGGCACGTGCACGGCGACGACGGGCGCCTCGGCGACGGACGGCGGCGCGCCCGTGCGCCACTCGCGCAGGCCGTCGTCGAGGTAGACGTCGAAGACGTCCGCGAGTTCCGCGCGCAGCTCGTCGGCGTTGTCGTAGTTGCGGTCCCGCTTCGCGATCATGCGCAGCGCGATCATGTCGCTGATGTCGCTGAGCTCCTCCTCCGCAAAGGCCGCGCCGTCGTCGTCGGCGCAGCGATCGTAGTCGTGGTGCAGCACGATGCCGTCGGCGTCGGCGTCGTCGTCGTACTCGACGGCGAAGCCCGTCGCGTACTTCGGGGCGATGTGCGCGCGGCGCGTGACGGTCTGCGGGACGAGCAGGGCCAGGGAGGCCGGTAGCGCCAGCAATGCGACGCGGAAGCCGCCCATGCTGGAAAACTCGCCCTTCACCACACTTCAACTACAACCACTCATGTTGACGCACACAGCCGCGCCGCCGTCCTCTCGAGCTCCCGACGATGCGCCACGACGCTCGCTTACTTCAGACGACGAGAAGATTAGCGCCGAGGCTGATTCGCGGAGCGCGTCGGACCCGCCGCCGCGGCGAGCGCCCGCAAGCCTGAGCTCGAACTTGAAAACAAGGAGTTCACTCACAGCTTTAGCTTTCTTGCGCGGGCGTGCCCTGAAAGGCGCGCCCTAGGCGTCCTCCTTGACGATGCCCGAGCTCTCCTCGAGGGCCGCGGTGGCGACCTCCGTGACCTTGACGGCGATGAACGCGCCGACGCTGAGGAAGCCCGCGTAGAAGTACCACGGAAACGGCGCGCCGCCGCCGTCGTCCGGCGCCGCGGTGACGAGGCTCGCGACCTCGCCCGAGTAGACGTAGAGGAACGTGCCCGGCGCGAAGCCCAGCAGCGTCGCGGCGAGGTAGGGCCCGAACTCCACCGCCGTGAGGCCGTAGAAGTAGTTGGACAGCGCGAAGGGGAAGATGGGGCTGAGCCGCAGGAGGAGGATGATTTTGAAGCCCTCGGCGGCGACGGCGCGGTCGATGGCCTGGAACTGCTCCGACTCCGCCGCGATGCCCTCGACCCACTTGCGGAGCAGCGACCGGCCGATGAGAAACGACGCGCCCGCGGCGATCGTCGCCGAGAAGAGCACGACGGCCGTGCCCTCGACGGCGCCGAAGAGGTAGCCCGCGGAGGCCGTGAGGGGCACGGCGGGCAGCGCGAGCACCTCCGCGAGGACGTAGACGACGGAGAAGTAGAGCGGGCCGAGCGGGCCGAGCTTCTCGACCTCGTCCGCGACGCCGTTGATGATCTCCTTCGGGTCCACGGACGGCAGGGACGCGAAGACCGTGTTCAGGGTGACGTCGGCGCCCTGGGACGCCGTCTCCGCGAGGAGGAAGAGCACCGCGAGCCCCGCGAACGCGTACGCGAGCGCTCCGGGCGTGAACGTCGTCCGCTCGAGCTCCTCGCGCGCGGCCAGGTCCTCGCAGGTCTCGCCGTCGCGCCGCAGGGCTCCCAGCGGCGCGGCTCGTCGTCGGCCCGCGAACGCGTGCGCCGGGCGCGCGGCGAGGGGGGCGGTGGAGCGAGCGAGTTGCCGTCGCGGCGCCTGGAAGGCGCTCGCCGCCGCCGCCGCGAGCGCGAGCGCGGCGACGCGCATGGTGTGCGTCGAGATGCGGAGAGCTATGCGAGGTCCGCTGACCGGCGCCGGGCGCCTTCGCACGAGGCTGCGCGCTGGCTTCTGTCAGATCGACGTGCTCTCGGCTGCCGTGGCTGTCGAAGGAGTGCGCCGCGATCCTCGAGATGTTTGCAAGGCCGTGGCCGTCCTCTCGTGCGCACCTTGCGCCGTCGACGACTTCCTCGCGCGCCTCGGGACCGGACGAGCACACCTCCGAGACGCAAGGCCACGACCCTGCCATAGTCTTCTTATCCCCCGCTCCATCGTCAGAACAGGTCCGGGTCCTCGAGGAGGTCCGCCGCGGCGCGCGTGAGCGGCGGCGCGACCGCGTCCTCGTCGCCGAGGTCCATGGCCGGCAGGTTCCGCTCGCGGTCGTCGTGGTTCTCGAAGGCGAAGGCGACGGCGAGGGCCTCGACGAGGAGGTGGTTCAGCGTCGCGAGGGCGCCGTCGTCCAGCAGCCCCGCGTCCCGGCGGTCCGCGTTCCTTTGCGTCGCGTCGAGCAGCACAAGGCAGTCGTTCGAGCCGAAGGGCGGCTTCGCCGGCGGGCCCGACGCCACGTAGCGCAGCGGGTCCGGCTGCGACGCCGCGGCCCGCCGGAGCACGTGGAGCACGAAGGCGAGGAGCGCCGTGAGCTCCTCGGCGACGGCGGACCCGGGCTCGCCGCGCGCCTCGCCGCGCTCGCCGAGCGCGACGACGAGCGCGCGCGGCAGCTCGCTCTCGCGGAAGCCGGCGCCGAAGGCGTCGCCCGCGACGGCCGCCAGCGCCACGCGCGCCAGCCGCAGCAGCTTGGACGCCTCGGGGCCGTGGCGCGCCGCGACGACGAGCGCGCCGAGGCCCGCGCGCTCGCGGTCCTCCGCGTCGTGCGCGCGGCCCAGAGCGTCGGCGACGGCCGCCGCGCGGTTCGCCGCGGCCTCGAAGGCCCCGGGCGCGCCGCCCGCGAGCGCCGCGCCCAAGGCCGCCACGAGGCTCGCCGCCTCGGCGCCGCAGAGCGTCTCCAACCGCCCGTCGACGGCGAACGGCCGCGCGCTCGGCTTCGGCGGCGCGCCCAGGTCCCGCTCCGCGGCGCTCTCGCGCTCGCCCCGCGCCCGTAAAGCATCATCATCCAGCAGCTCACCCCGCAGGTACCAGGCCGCGGCGCCCTGGACGTCGCCCGCGGCGGAGACGGCGTCGCCGCGCGAGTCGCAGACGCGGCGCGCGTCCGCGGCCTGGCCCTCGGCCGCCGCGAGCCGCGCGAGCTCCCAGGCCCCGGCGTCGTCGGCCGGGTCCGCCCGGGCCAGCAGGGCCCGGTAGCCCGCGCGGTCGTCGCCGAGCAGGAGCAGCCGCGCGCCGAGGCGCCAGTCCGACGCCGTCGCGCGCCCGGCGACCGCGCCGAGCAGGCCCGCCCCGACGTCCGGCAGGGGCGCCTGGCCCGGCGGCGGGCCCGGGAAGAGGTCGCCGCGGCGCTTCGCGAGCACGGCGATCGCCGCGCAGCACGCGAGCGCCGCGGGCGACTCGCCCGCGAGCGCGTGGACGACCTTGATCGCCGACGCCGCGTCCCCGTCCTTGAAGACGGCGTTGAAGAGCTGGCGCCGCGCCTCGGAGAAGTCCTCGGCCGCCGCGCGGGACGACGCCTCGACGACGACGTCCGCGATGCGGGCGCCGTAGGGCGCGTTGCTCGCGGGCGCGTCGACGAAGAAGAGGAGACGCGCGAGCAGCCGGTCCTCCCAGCCCAGACCTGTGCCGAAACCAAATCTTCAACCCGACTTCAATGTGAGCGTATTCGAATGTTTGGACACAAGCTCTTCGGCTGGGCTTCGAGAACTCGACGAGAGCGATCGATCCGTCCAAAAATCAGCCGAATCGACTTCGATTTGACCGAGATAGAGAGTTCTGAAGTTTGGTGGGGACCCCCCAAACCAGTGGTTGGTTTCGGCACAGGCCCAAGCCGCCGAGCGCCGCGGCCGCCGCGTCCACGTCCCCGTCCAGCAGCGCGAAGAGCGCCCGCGCCGGCGGCACGGCGCTCAGCAGCGGCGCGTTGCCCGCCTCGGCCGCGCGCCGCGCGCGCGCCGCGTCGCGCTTCCAGGGGCCGAGCCGCGCCGCGTACGTCTCGAGCGCGTCGTCGTCGGCCGCGTCCGGCGGGTCCGGGAAGGTCTCCAGCAGGCGGCCCAGGGGCGCCCAGAGCTGGCTCAGGGACCGCGACGCCATCGTCGAGTGCGTCTTGAGCACGGCCCACGCGTCCGCGCACCGGCCCCGGCACGCCAAACGGTACGCGAGCTGCCAGAACGGCGTCGCGGCCTCGGCGCCCGCGTCGCCGTCGGCCGTCCAGGCCTCGGGCGCCGTCTCGAGGCGCGCCAGCAGCGGCAGCAGCGCGTCGAACTCCGCCTCCTCGACGGCCCAGTCGACGCACCGCCGCCGGAGCCACCCGGCGAGCCGCGACCCGCGGCGCCGCGCGACGTCGAAGAACCCGATCTCGCAGAGCTCCCAGATGGCCGCGATGGCCTCGAGCGCCTCGACGACGCCGTCGGGCTCCTCGCCGCCCTCGGCCAAAGCGTCCCGCGCGTCCAAAGTCTCCTCCAGGGCCCGCCGGCCGGCGCAGGAGGCCTCGTTGAGGTCGCCCTCTCGCTCGAGTATCGAAACGATTGACGCGATGAGCGCCGCGTCCTCGCTCGTGAGCGGGGCGTCGTCGCACTCCATCGCTGAGGCCGACGCCGCGAGGGCCGTCGACGAGCTCAGAGTCGCCATCGCGGCGAGATTTGAGCCCGACTCAACCAAGCCAAGCACGATGGCTTGTGGCAAGACCTCTGCGCGCGCGTGCTAGCTCGGCACACAGCACAGCATGAGCCAAGACTCGTCCCAAGAGCTCGAGGAAGACCGTGTCACCTGGCAGAGCCGCCACGTGGAGGAGGTGCCCACATTCGCGCTGCAAGACGAGAGCCAGGAGGAGGAGCTCCTACCGACTCAAAAGCAACCCACCACCGCGCCGCCGCGGCGCCGCGGTGCGCGCGCCGCCGCGCCGTCGCAAGCGCCAGCGCCGAGCGCAGCGGCACCGGCGCCACCGGCGGCGAAGACCGAGACGCCGCGCGACGCGGTCGCGGCGACGCCGCGGCCCGGCGGGCGGACGCCCGGCGGCGCGGCGACGAGCAAGTTCCCCGCGCGGCCGCGGAGCCTCTTCGGGAGCGGCGGCGGCGCGGCGCCCGCGGCGTCGGCGTCCAAGGCCGTCTTCGACCTGCGCGCGCGCCGCGTCTCGCGCGCCGGCGGCGCGCGCCGCGTTCGTACGGAACCTTCTTTTAGGCCTTCGCGGTGGGCGCCGAGCTCCGGGCGCCGGGCCCTGTCGCCGGCGCCGACGTCGGGCGCCGTGCTCCAGAAGCGGCGCGAGGCGACGCTGTCGAAGCAGCGGCCGCCGACGTCCGCGCGGCGCGTCGCGGCCGGCGGCGGAAGCGGAAGCGGCGCGCGGTCCGACGCGCGGCGGTCGCCGCTGTCGCCGCCCGGCGCCCCCTCGGCCTGGGTGTCCTTCCGCCCGTCGTTCCTCGGCGCCGCGGCGTCGCCCCCGGCCTCGTCCGGCTCCGGCCCGCCGAAGAAGAAGGCGAAGAAGGCCGCGCCGCGGAAGTCGAAATCCACGGAACCGTCGCTCCTCGAGGACCTGCAGGCCGTGCGGCGGTCGCGCGAGGGCGCGGCGCACCGCCTGCGGAGCGGCGAGTACGCCTTCGGCGCCAACAGCTACGGCGACCCGCGCACGGCGGCGGCCGCGCACGTCGACGTCACCGTCGTCCGCGACGTCGCCGCCGACGGCGCGGGCCTCGTCGCGTCGCTCGCCTACGCGCACCGCGCGCGCGTCGCCGACGCGGCGGGCGCGCCGCCGGGCCTCGACGCGTCCCTGCCCCGCGCGTGCTTCGTCTGGATCCTGCTCCACGCGTCGACGCGGCGCGCGCTCGACGTCGCGCCGGGCGCCGCGCTCCGCGTCTACGACCCCTTCGTCGCGCCGTCGTCGACCGTGCCCCTCGTGCCCGACCCGGCCAACGTCGCGGCCGTCACGATCCTCGACGCCCAGCTCTGCGAGCGCGAGCCCACGGGCGACCTCGGCGACGCGCCGCCCGCGCCCGACGGCGCGCCCGACGCGCTCGACGCCGGGCCCCCGCTCCGCGTCGCCCTCCGCTAAAGACGCGCGAGGGGCGTTACCGGACGGGCCCCGCCGCGAGGCGCGGCAGGCGCCGCCGCACCCAGGACGGCAGGCTCCCGCGGTACGCCAGCGCCATCACAAACAGGAACGCCGCGTTGTGGACGACGGCGTAGCAGCCCAGGACCCAGAAGCCCGGCAGGACCGCGCCCGTCTCCTCCATGCAGCCCGCGAAGCGCGTGAGCCGCTCGACGGCGGCGCAGAGCCGCTCCGCGTTCAAATCGATGATCCAGGCCGAGATGACCGTGATGTTCTGCGCGAAGTTGGCCAGCACGACCCAGAGCACCTGGGCAGGACAAGAGTGCGAAATTCCCAACTTCAAAGGCTCCTCTCTCGGCCGGTTTCCACTCGTTTCGGCTGATTTTTGGACGAGCGATCATCTCTCGGAACGGTCTCGAAGCGTGGATGCTTTTTCCAGAACGGGAGCGCGCGGAACACTCACGTTGAAGCGACGTTGAATCACCCTTGTCCTGCCCTGCAGAGCACGTCCGCGGACGCGAGCGCGTGGAGGTGCAGCGTCGCGGAGAAGAGGCGGCGTCGGACGACGGGCGGCAGCGGCGCGAAGAAGACCAGAGCGAGCGCGAGGTCCGCGGCGACGTCGAGCAGCACGCAGACCGTCAAAGTCCACGCCGTCCAGAGCCGCTTCGAGCGGAGGCCCCGCGTCGCGCCGTCGATCTTCCTCGCGACGTCGACGACGCCGACGCGGCTCCGCGTGCGGTCCATGAACTTGGACGCGAGGCCGCGCGTCGTGAACCGGAGCGCGGGCCGCGTCAGCGCGAGCCAGACGAGCGCGACGTTCGCGACGATCAAAGCGCGGCCGGCGGCGAGCGCGGCGCGCTGCGCCCGGGTCGACGCGGTACACGTGTTCGAGATCGACGCGGTCCCGTCGAACGCGAGGGCCCGCGGCGTCTCGAAGGCCGACGCCATGCGCCGCGCGTCGTCGCCGTCAAAATCGTTGCCGAGGAGCGGCGCCTCGCCGGGCGGCTTCGCCGGCGCCTCGGCGGCGTGCGCGCGCGCGAGCGCCGCGGCGAGCGCGTAGCTCCCGAGGTTCGCGACCTCGAAGCCGAGCACGCCGAACCCGAAGACGACCTCGACCTCGACGTCGAGCCCCGTCGCCGGGTTTGGCGCGTCGATGTAGAGCGCGACGCAGAGCAGGATCGCCGCGAATGTGAGCATGTGCTGCGCGCGGACGGTCTGCACGAGGGCGCCGCAGAGCGCGCCGCGCGCCGCCGCGTCCAGGGGGCGGAACCAGACGTAGAGGTAGGCCAGCAGCTGCGCGTAGGGCAGCCCGCCCGTGCAGGCGCCCGTGACGAGGGCCGTCGCGCGCGCGCCGGCGTTCCAGAAGTTGCGCAGCGTCGACCACGTGCTGAGCTGGAAGATGTCCGCCGTCAGGGCCTCGTAGTCGCCGACGGCCACGGCGAGGCGCACCCAGGTGCCCGTCGAGCCCTGGCCCCAGCAGCAGAGGCCGCCGACGGCCGCGACGGCGACGAGGAAGGCCGCCGTCTCGCGCCGCGACCGCGACGCGGCGAGGGACGTCGGCGGGGCGTTCAGGACCGCAAGTCCTTCGGCGAGATCCGCGGCGTCGAGGGCGCGGGCGTCGGCGACGCCGAGCGAGCCCGCGGACGACGTGCGGATCATCGGCGACGGAGCTCTAGGGCTCGAGCATCGGCGCGTCCCGGGGCGACGTCGCGACGCGGGAGCTCGCGAAGCGCGTCGAGGTCCTCGCGAGCCGGACCTGGGTCGAGCCGCGGCAGCTCCACCCGGCAGCCCTACCTTCGAATACACATCGCGCCGCCCAAGAGTGGCTCCGAATTAAGCTTTGTTTGCATATCCACTTCAACTTGCACTGTTGCTGCCGCGCTTCGCAACCCGAGCGGCGCAGCGGCGGGCAGCCCCGGCATCGCGGCGCAGCGGCGGGCAGCCCCGGCATCGCGTCCGGACGCGCCGCGACCCTCGCGCGTCGGTGCCATGGCGTCCATGTTCGGCGTGTCGGAGATGAACGCGCTGCAGGACCTCTGCCGCGACGACGAGGACACGGCCCTGCGGCCGGCCCAGAGCGCCGTCGTGCAGCGCATCGGCCCCAACGCCGTCGCGGACGACGGCGGCGAGGACAAGGAGAACGCGCCGGCGCCGCGGGACCCCAAGGCCATCTGGGCCGACGACGAGATCCCGCCCGAGGAGGCGCTCAATTTCGTCGACGCCGCGGACGACAAGCGGAAGCGCGCGGCGTTCGAGATGCTCTACAAGCAGGACGTGACGACCGAGGACGCGCGTCCCCGCGGCGCCCGTCGTCCTTCCATTTCGGCGAAACCGGCGCCGGTCCGCAGGTCTACCTGGGAACGGAGAAGAACCCGAGCTCCGCGCACAGCAACGCGATCGTCTACAAGATCAAGTTCCCGGGCCACGCGCACTCGGAGCTCGACGTCGACGTCACGAAGACGACCCTCAGCGCGTCGTCCGACCGCCTCAAGCTCGCCCTCTACCTGCCCCAGCCCGTCCACGCGGACCGCGGCTCCGCGAAGTGGGACGACAAGAAGAAGGTCCTCACCATCGAGCTCCCCGTCGACGTGGACGAGTGGTAATCGGACTCCGGGGGGGTTTTGTTATGCTGGTGGCTGGGGGGCGAGGTCGGTGCGGGGGCAGCGCGTGCGCTTGTTCAATATCACTGCATCTTGAAGTCGCACTTTTTTGTTGGCGCTGGCCTCGAGTAGGGGGGGTCAATGAACCCCGGCGCTCTCCGGCTCCGCTCCGCCTCCGCTGGCGCCTGGTTTTGGGAGGCGTCGCTGGAGCGACTTCCGGGATTTTGGGGGACGCGAAAATTAGGGGAGCTGCGTGGGGCGTCGCCCCACGGCGAATGCGCCGATTTACGGCTCCCCCAAAACTCGCCCCGGCCGGAATGGGTCACAGTGCCCTGCACTTGACGGACCAGGGAGAGCGTTTTGTGAGAGCTGGGCTGCCCCGTGTCGCCGCCCGTCGGCCCGGCTGTGCGCCTGCGGGCGTTTGGATTCGGTTCCCCGCGCCTTGCGCCGGCCCGAGTGGCCGCAGCAACCGCAGCGCTGCTCGTCGGCGCCTAAAGCTCGCTCTGCAAGAGAGAGACTTTGCTGGGTCCTGATCCAAACCAGGTCACCAGCGTGCTGCTATTCGCCGCGTCGACGTCTCGACAGCTTCGCGCGGTCTCAGAAGGTCCACGGAGGAAGGGCAAGGGCGCCAAGGACTACTACACGTGGCTCGAGGCGAAGTACTCCAAGGCCTTCTACGTGAGCGAGTCCCGCGCCTCCGGCGGGCGCCAGGACCTCGAGTTCGAGGCGACGGTCGCCGTCTACGTGAACCGCCCCCACTACGCCAAGTTCCTGGATGTCATCCTCCCGGACCCGCAGCACAGGACCATCCTCGAAACGTCCGCGCATCCCCGACGCGCGTTCCGCGGAAAAAAAACGAGCTCTTTTAGTACCATAACTTCGCTCAATCCGGACGGATCAGGACGAACCGAAAGTCGTTTTCGAGTTCCTACGCGGGCTCCTCGGGATGGGCGCAGCCTCGGAGCTCTGCTCGACGACGGCAAAATCCCGGGTTTTCAGTGTCGCCCCCTACCTCGAGCTCCCGCCGGGCCGGGGTTGGTAGCAAAGCTGTTTGTAAGTGTTACAAACACTATCCCGACCTCACGAAACACCTGTAGACACTTCCGTCAGCGCGACGGAACAGTTGCTGGTTCGACTTCGGTCTTTTTTTTTGCATATTTGGTGGTAATTTTCGCCTTTTTTTGGCCGTTGAAACACTTGCCAACACTTGCCTCTCCCCCCTAAACACTTACATTTTGTGCTCCAAAACACTTCACTGGAACTTTGCTACCAACCACGCGCCGGGCTAAAAACTAAAAAAAGCAACTGGACTGATTCCTCGAAAAAGCAACTCAAACAATCAGGCTGCGAGCAGCCCTTTTGCAGCGTCGATGGACGAAATTCTCGTCTTCTCCAGCCCGTAGCTCGACGCAGATGCAGAGTTGCGCAACGATCCCCGCGGCTGCGAGGACCGGAACCCTGTTGCGGACACATTCCCCGCGGGATGTCACTCCCGAGGATTGCGCCGCATCGCGCGCGGGGCGTCCCAAGGGGTCGGAAGAGGGTTTTCGGCGTCCCCCGCACCCTTTTCGACCGTGTTCGAGCGCACGGAGCGTCGGGAATCGTTCGTCTATGTACCGCGGGCGTCCCATTTGATCCGCTCGGCCATCGACGTCGAAAACATCGACCGCCAACGCGCGCATAGAAACGTGGCGCGGCAGCCCAACCGGCCCCCACGTCCAGAAACGCGGTCTGGGCCGACACCACCGCCCGAGCCCCGTCCCCAGTATGTGTCCGGTGGGATCGAGTACATCTCCTACTGCGGAGGGCCACCCCACGGTGCCGATCTCGGCCGTTTCGTCGTCCCCATGGAGGCCCGGAACGCCGACTTCACGGCGTCGGCCGCTGCAGTAGGTGATGTGCTGAATCCGCCTCAATGGCCCAAAGAACCCGTCCCACGCAATCACCTACTGCAGAGAGACACCTTCACCACTGCGGACTCGGCCACGCTCGGAGCGCGTCCATCGCGTGTAATTGCTTCAATAATCGCAACGATGCAGCTCCTGAGCGGTTGCTTTTGTTATTTTCTAGCCCGGCGGGGCTGGCTCCTATTGGCTGCGCCGCGCAGCTCGACGCCTGCGCGCGCTCGCGCCTCGCAGCCGACAAGCACGACGCCTGCGACGCGCGCTCGACATGATGCGCTGCGTCGTCGTCGCGTCGCTGCTGCTGCAATCGGCGCTCGGCTTCCGCGCGGGCGCGCCCGGTGCGACGCTCAGCACACCACCTGCCTCCGTTGCGCGGCGGGCCAGCGACGGCTTCTCGTTGGACGAGATGAACAATCCGGCGGAGCTCGCGAAGCAGCTCAGGGCGGAGATGGAGGAGGCCAAGGCCAAGGGCGACACGGACCGCGTCATCACGCTGATGGGCACGCTCCTGTCGATCGAGGGCGGCTACGAGTTCGAAGGCGGCGCCGGCGGCTCGTCCAAGGAGGGGCGCTGCGCGGACTAGGACGCGTAACCGATCGACGCGCGGCACCGGGCGCCGCGGCGGGCGCGCGAGGCTGCGCCGGGTTGCCGCGGCGCGATCGCGAGCTCGTCGGCGCGGCCCGAGCGACTCGTCGCTCGACGCGGAGTGGGCTCTGCTTTTTAGGCGGGGCGGAAGGAGGGCGGGGAGGCGGGCGGGCGGGGGAGGGCGGGGGAGGGCGGCGGGGCCCGCTGGGGCCGGGGCGGTTCTAGGCGTCGACCTCCTCGCCGAAGGTGCCCGTGAGCGACTCGGTCTCGCCGACCTCGTCGTCGTGGGTCACGTAGACGGAGCCCGTGGAGCCGCCCTCGTGGGCCTCGGTCCAGGCCTTGAGCTGGCCGTTCTCGTCGATGTACGCGTTGTAGTCGGGCGACTCGATGTTGCAGTAGAGGAGGTCGAAGCGCATGCCGAAGTGGTAGTCCTTGGCCTCGCAGGCCTGGTAGTACAGGTTGGCGAAGCCGATGGTCGTCGGCGCGCCCGTCGGCGACGGCGTGCTCTCCTCGACGTCCTCCTCGACGACGCGGACGACGGTCACCTCGACCTCGATGTTGGTGAAGAAGTTCGTCGTGTTCGTGCAGTCGGCGTCGGCGCCCTCGAGCTGCTGGAGGTAGTCGCAGCCGAGGCCGCCGTTGCTGTTGGCCTCGTTGAGGCTCGCGGCCGCGGCCGCCGCGACCGTCGACGTGTTGTCGAAGGTCTCGCCCTCCTCGGACGCCGTGACCGTGTTCATGGACACGGTCGACGACCCGTTGAGGAAGCTGCCCATGATCGTCGCGTTGACGCCCATGAACTCGTCCCACTCGCCCTCGGTCATGATGAGGTCCGCGTAGGACCGGTTCACGCCCTCGTCGTCGACGTAGTAGTTCGACGCGCCGAGGCGCCGGCGGCCCTCGGCCTCGACGAAGGCGCGCTGGCGGCCGTTGGACCACAAAAGCTGCCGCCGGACCTCGAGGTCGTCGCCGCACTTGAAGTTGACGCAGCTGTTCGCGCCGTCCTCGATGGAATAGGCCCACATGATGGTCACCTCGTTGAACTTGACGTAGAGGTCGTTGCCCGAGCCGTCCGTGCCCACGGGCGTCGACGCGAAGGCGTAGTTGAAGACGTTGCGCGCCGCGCCCGCCATCTCGCCGACGTCCGAGATGAGGCCGCCGTAGTCCGTCGACCCCTCCCACTCCTGGATGAACTCCGTGTTGCGGTACTCGCGCATGGGGCCCTGGTCCATGGTCGTCGTCGTCACGAGGTAGTCCGTGTAGGCGTCCGTGTAGGCGCTCACGTTGGCCACGGCCTCCTCGGCGTACGAGTACGAGTACGAGTACGACGCGACGTCGAGGTACGAGTAGAGGTACGAGTAGGAGTAGGAGTAGGAGTAGGAGTAGGAGTAGGAGTAGGAATACTCGTAGGAGTAGTCCTCCTCGACCTCGTCGTAGACGGTGATGATCTCGGCGGTCACCGTGATGTCCGAGAAGATGTCGATTTCCGAGCAGTCGTTCGCGTCGTCGCCGTCGGCGGCGTCGCAGTAGGACGCCGCGAGCGCGCCCGACGCGATGGCCGCGTTGAGCTCGTCGACCGTCGCCGTCTCGATGTCGCTGAGCTCGTCGTCCGTGGGCATGGGCACGCCGGACTCGAGCTCCATGGCCGTCACGAGCACCGCCTGCGAGTCGTCGTTGAGGAGGTCGCCGCCCTGGTACTCGTCGGGGCCGGCCATGGCCTCGTCCCACTCGTCCTCCGAGAGGATGAGCTCGTCCCAGGACCGCTCGACGCCCTCGTCGTCGACGTAGGTCGACGCGAGGAGCCGGCCGTGCGCCCGCGACTTCTCCGCCGCGCGCTCGGCGACGTTGTTCATGCGCACGGTCCGGAGGCGGCGGTCGCAGCCCCCGAGGTAGGCCGGGCACGAGTTCTGCGACGCCGAGTACATCCAGGCGTCGTCCATCTCGCGGCGCTTGAGGTAGCGCGGCGAGCCGTCCAGGTACGTCGACATCTGCACCGAACTCAGGCCGTTGTCGAAGAACGTCTGCGCCGTCGCGCCCATCTCGTCCTCGTCGTCCGTGAAGGGCGTGAAGCCCGTCGACGCGCCGCCCGTGTTCTTGTAGGTGTAGCCCAGGTAGGCCTGGATCAGCGACGTCCAGTAGGCGATGAACGACGCCGCGCGGTAGCCGCCCATCGCCGACATGCGCGCGCCGACGGACACGACGAGGAACTGGGACGCGCCCGGGATGTCGACGACGAACTCGAGGTCGTAGGAGTAGGAGTAGGAGTAGGAGTAGGAGTCGAAGGAGTAGGAGTAGGAGTAGGAGCTCGCGGCCGCGAGCTCGCGGCGGTAGGACACGTCGAGCAGCGCGCGGCGCTCGAGCTCGTCGACCGTCGCCTGCTCCCGGAGGGCGCTGCGGCGCCAGATGTCGGCGCCGATCTCGCCGAGGTACTCCTTGATGGACTTGGCGTGGTCCCGCAGGTCCGTCGCCAGCGTGCCGTCGACGACGGCGCGGCCCGCGCGCGACACGAAGCTCTGGAGCACCGCCGCGCCCTTGGCCTCGTCGACGTAGCCCGGGTGCTCGACGACGACGGCGACGTCGATGGTCGCGCCGTCGGCCGTCGCCGTGGCCACGGGGTCCGTCGTGCACGCCTCCCAGTCCTCCCACCACTTGGGGCACACGGCCTCGCCGTCGGACGCGGCCTTGGCCAGCGCCTTCCGCAGGGGCACGCGCGCGAACCAGTCGTTGTTGAACGTCGCCGTGTCGAAGCCCGCCTCGGCGACGAGCTTCGTGCCCAGCGTGAGCGTCGACGCCGTGACGCCCCGCTTCTCCGCCGCGCGCGACCGCGCGGGCTTGTTGCCGTAGGCGACGCTGTACGGCTCGAGGTCGCGCGTCATCGCGGCCACGGCGTCGGCGTCGACGCCCCACTTGGCCATCAACCTAGAGGCGCGGTCGTGTCAGTGCGGGTTCTCTCAGCGCCCCGCCCCTCTCTCGCGCGGCGGCGGCGGCGGCGGCGCGCGGCGGCGCGGGCTGCCCGGCGGGCTGCCTCCGCGTTTTATGGGGGACGCGGGCTGCGCACGCTTCGTCCGTCGCGGCGGCGGCGGGCGCGAGCCACGCCGCGGCGCCCAGCGCCAAGCTCACCGACCGCATGGTGTTGGCCAACACGCTAGGTGGTGCTTTTTTGGAGGCGATGCCGAGCTTGGCGGCCGTGTAAAATTTCGACACACCCCAGATTTTGTTTGGGCGTGCCGATTTGGCTTGGGCGCAAGTCGATAGTGAAGAGAGCTCGCATGGGCTCGTGCGGATTGTCGAGCCTCGTGAGTTGCTCATCGCCGCCCCCCCGCGGCCCCGCGCCGCCGCACCCGGCCTACGCGCGCTTCTACCCGCCCCAGCCGCCCCAGGGCGGCTGAGGCCCGCGCGCGTCGGCGCGCGCCGCGCGGCGAGGTCCGTCCGAGCCGCGCACCGCGCCGCGCCGCGCCGCGCCGGCGACTCACTCCGAACCCCTCCCCGAGTCGCCGGCGCCTCCTCCGCCCTGCCTCCGCCCCGCGCGCGTCCCACGCGCGCGCGGCGGACCGGACGCTCGCGAGACGACTTAAGCGAGCGGACGTCGTCGCTGGCCAAGTTGAATTCAATCTTGATTCATTGCTGTGCTCTTGTGGTAATCCGAGCGCATTTGATAGGGCGGCGCGGCGACAGCCGAAGAACGCGGCTCCCGGCCGGGGCGCGCGACCCCCAAAGGCCCACACGAGCAAACCATGGAGGTCATCTACGTGGCGATCTCGCGGGGCGTGAACGTGCTCGCCGAGTACACGGACCCGCGCCACAGCGGCAACTACGAGACGGTGACGCGCCTCCTCCTGCGGCGCATCGGCGAGGGCGCGTCGAAGCTCGCGCAGCTGCGCTACGACAGCCACATCTTCCACTACTCCATCGTCGAGGGCGTGACCTTCCTCTGCATGACCGACGAGTCCGCGCGGAGCCGGCTGCCGTTCGCGTTCCTCGACGACGTCGCGGACACGTTCCGCAGCGCCTACGGCGTCGACGAGCCGCTGCGCGCCATCGCCTTCCAGATGAACGAGGCCTTCTCGCCCGTGCTCAAGCAGAAGTGCGAGTTCTACGCGACGAACGGCGACGCCGACGTCATCTCCAGCGTGAAGTCTCGCATCGACGCGACGCGCGACGTCATGGTCGAGAACATCGACCGCATCCTCGAGCGCGGCGAGAAGATCGAGCTCCTCGTCGACAAGACGGAGAACATGCAGCACCAGGCCTTCAAGTTCGAGCGCAGCGCGACGACGCTCAAGCGCGCGATGTGCTGCAAGCGGTGCAAGCTCTACGCCTTCCTCGCCTTCCTCGCCGTCGTCCTCGCCTACTTCGGCGCGGCGATGGCCTGCGGGCCCACGCTCGCAAAGTGCGCGGGGAAGAAGAAGTAATGTGTAAACTGGAGAATGTCACGACGGTCGGGGGACCAAGCGCTCGCGCACGCCGCGCTCGCGCTCCCGCGCCCGGCGCGCGGCCCCATCCGCACGCCGACGCTCCACGGAAAGCATCGCGCCGCGACAGCAGCGCGCTGCGCGCCGCCGCCGCTCGAGGTCGCGTGCTTGCGCGGCGGCGGCCACGCAGTGCACCGATCAAAACTCAGATTCTGATAGCCTGGATTTAAAAGTCAACATTTTTGTTGAACTTCAGCACTTTTGTTGAAGTTAAATCTTGCGATTTCGCGACCCGAACCAGCGACCGCGCGCAAAAAGCCATCGCAAACGTGCAATTAACGCGCGAATATCATCAAACTTGCTTTGATACGACCATAACCCAATTTTGGCCGTGATTTCAGCCCGCGGACCGCCGCGACACCGCGCCCGCGCGCGCGGTCGACGTACAGCCTCTATGGACGACTAATGACTCTGGCTCCGCCGGCCGGAATTCGATGATTGATCTTTATTAATTAATTTCCTATGGGTGCACCTAGATGTACGTTGATCGGGGCACTGCGGCCACGGCGTGCAGCGAGTTAGCCCAGGCGAGACGGATCCCAGAACTTGAGGTTCTGATCAGCGCTGAGAATGGCTGTGCTCAAAATGCGCAGCCTCCTTGCAGCTCTCGCAATCACCTCATCCACCGCGCGGATCGGCTCCATCGGCCCGCGGGCGGTGCTGGGCGGGCGGTCGATGCGGTCGCTCGCCGTCGTCGAGCCGTCGTCGACGACGGACGGCCGCGAGGTGGCAGAGCTGCGCACCAACAACCGGTGGACGACGGCGCTGCGGGGCGGGGCCCGGGGCGCCGCGGCCAAGCCGCCCGCCGCGCTGCGGTGGGCGTACGCCGCGTGCGGCGCCGCGACGACCGTCGCGTGGACGACGGTCGTCCGCACGACGATCCGGTCGAACCAGCCGCTCGGCATGATGGTGCCGACGTTCCAGCACGGCCTCTTCGCGCGCATCGGCGCCATGTCGGCGGCGCCGATCATCGTCACGTCCGTCGCCGCGCTCGCGAGCGCGGCCCGCGACACGAACTGGGACCGCCTCAAGACCCGGGCGAGCCGCCGGCTCAATCTGGCCATGGCGACGGCGTGCCTCGGCAACGCGCTCTGGGTCGGCTTCGCGCCCGTGCTCACGGCCATCCCGGGCACGGGCACGTCGCACCAGGCCTACGCCGGCCTCACGCGCGCGGCCCTCGTCGGCGCCTACGGCGCCGCGTCCGCGCTCTCCGCGGCGGTCTGGGCGAAGACGTGCCCGGAGACGAACCCGCTCCTCTGGCCCGGCCGCGTCGCCGACGGCTGCGCCAAGAGCCTCTACAGCCTCATGCCCGCGAACGTGGACGACTCGGTCAACGTCAAGTACGCCCTCCTCACCGCGTCGTTCCTCGTCTTCACGGGCCTCGGGCTCGGCTCGTTCCCGCTCTCCGTCATCCCGAGCTGGACCGCGCGCCGCCTCCGCGGCGCCTTCCCCTGCTGGACCCTCCTCGCCGCCGCCAACTGCCTCACCCTCAAGGAGGCCGCCGAAGACGGCAGCCTCCTGAAGGACGAGACGTGCAAGACGCTCGCGGGCGGCGTCGCGGGCTTCGGCGGCGTCTACCTCGCCTCCAAGGCCGGCGCGGTCTTCCTCGACCCCTCCTTCCCCAAGTCCTACCACGCCGTCGTCATGAGCCCCGCCTGGGCCACCGCTGCCATCGTCCTCGTCGCCTTCACCCTCAAGCCCGACACCGCGGCCGCGTAGGCCGCACCCCCGCGTCGCCCGTGCCGCCCGCCGCGCCCGAGCTCGAGGCGCGAAGCCGCTCCCGTACTCCAGCCAAGATCAGCTCCGTAAAGTATCCGAAACAAGAATTTCCAGGACCGGTCCAGCTCCGCCGGCGAGTCGCGCGGGCGGGCCCGGGTGCGGCGGCCCGGCCGGACGGGCCGGCGGGCGCCGTCGTGCCCGCCAGCTCAGGCTCGCGGGCCGCCGGCATTGTCGCGCGCGGCGGCGACGTCCGGCGCGCCGACGACCGCGGCGGCGTCCGGCGCCGTCGTGCCCGCCAGCTCGCGGGCATTGTCGCGCGCGGCGGCGACGTCCGGCGCGCCGACGACCGCGCCTGCGTCCGGCGCCGGCGCGCGCGTTCGCGGAGCCCCGGTTTGTGGGGTAAGTGCAGTTGCCGACGCCGTCTATATTCTATTTTGCAGTGTGTCGCGGTGCGTGCGTCCGAGCAGCAACCTAAAACTTTTAATGAGTGGTTTAAAGCGAGCGTAGCGAGCAACCTCAATCAAACGAGTGGCCAATAGCTCGCGAAGCGAGCTTGCCGGCCGAAGGCCGGCTTGTAAAAATAAGTTTGCAGCTCACCACGTCATACGTCCGCACGAAACCGATTGTGAATTTATATATCCGCGTAGCGAATTCACCAAAATAGGTGGCTGAGGTGTCTCGAAGCCCACGTTAGAGCGCCAAACCTCAAGACGTCGCGCGTTCCTGAGGCGAGGTAAAGTTTACCTTTATGAGGAATGCGGCCAAGTGAAGTCTAGGAAGTGTCCCCATAAAAATGATTCAGTCCTGATGGGCAGCGGCCTGAGTTCCCCGTCGGGGTCCGAGCCCGTCGCGACGGACTCGCTGTCGCCGCACCTCAGCCCCGTGGCGCCGGTCAAGGCCACCCTCGCCGGGAGCCCGAGCCCGCCGAGGCCGCCGCCGGCGAAGCCGCAGCTCGAGGGCCCGACGGAGGCCGAGCTCTTCGCCTCCGGCTTCACGGAGGACGTGATCGACTGCTGCTTCCTCAGCGCCGACGACGTGCGGGCGCGCCTCGAGGTGCAGCGCACGAAGCGCGTGTCCATCGGCGGCGACCGCACCGTCGACTACGGCGCCGTGTGCATGCGGGGCCTCTACCCCAGCGACCTCGACAAGGTGCGCCCCCCTTCCGCCCGTCCCCCCGTCGACCCCGAATCCCCCGCGCAGCCCTGCCAGGACGCCTTCTGCGTCAAAGAGGCCACCGGCGCGCACTGGTTCATGATCTTCGACGGACACGGCTCCGCGGGGCACCACTGCGCGGACTTCGCCAAGGAGGCCCTGGAGAGCGTCGCCGCCGAGGTCCTCGAGCGCGACCCGGACATCACCGTCGAGGAGCTGCTCGTGCAGACGAACGAGGCGGGCGCCGGCGTCGGACGTCTCCTTTTCGCGCGCGACGCGCGACCGCTCGTTCGCGCTGGTGCGGCTTCAGCGCGTGCGCGAGGCCTCGCGGCACGTCGCGGAGCGCGAGCGCCGGCGGCGCCCCCGCGCGGACCGGCGGATCGCCGCGCGCCGGCTCGGCGGGGGGCGCGGGGACGAGTCCGCGAGGAGGGTCTGGGGCGTCCACAATGAGGCGAAAATCCATCTCCTCCCGCTCTTAGGTCACGAACGCGCTCATGCACGAGGCCGTGGACACGTCCGAGTCGGGGACGACGGCCGTGAGCCTCCTCGTGCTCGGCTCGACGCTCTACTGCAGCAACGTCGGCGACTCGCGCTGCATCTTAGGCCGCCGCGACGCGCGCACGGGCCGCGTCGCGCCCGCGCCGCTGAGCGTGGACCAGACCTGCTACCGCGTCGACGAGCGGCAGCGCGTGCAGCGCATGGGCGGCCGCGTCCTGTCCATCGGCCAGATCGAGGGCCGCGTGCCGCTCGACAAGGTCTGGAAGTGCGACCTCGGCGCGGAGCTCGACGAGGAGGGCGACCCGCCGCGCATCTGGCTCGCCGACGCCTTCCGGCCGGGCTGCTCCTTCTCGCGGTCCCTCGGGGACAAGGTCGCCGAGGACATCGGCTGCATCGCGACGCCCGAGGCGCGCCTCCGGCGTCGAACGCGCGCGCGCCTTTTGTCTTCCGGCGACCGCCCCTCGTAGGTCACGTCCCACGACCTCGGCGACGCGGACCACTTCGCCGTCGTCGCGTCCGACGGCGTCTGGGAGCTGCTCACGGACCAGAACGTGCTCGACATGTGCGCGGCCGCGGGCGACCCGTCGAGGGCCGCGCACGCGATCGCCGCCGCGGCCTACAAGGAGTGGTACGAGCAGGAGGGCCGCGTCGACGACATCTCCCTCGTCGTCCTCTTCTTCGGCGTCGACGGCGTGTCGCTCCACGACCTCCACGGCGGCGGCGCGGCGCGCGACGCGAAATCCGCGCGGTCGCAGCGCGACTACGCGCCCAGGGCATCTCTCGTGCCCATGCTCCTGCCCCTCGAGGAGGACCCCCTCGCCGAGGACCTCGTCACGGGCCGCGACTCCCTCGACGACGACCTCCAGTAGGGCCCCGCCGCCGGGCGCGACCGTCCTCGCTATCTCGAGCTCTCGCTGTCTCTCTCTCTCCCGCACAACAACTACCCGAGGACGCCCCCGCGACCGGCATCGCCAAATTTCGTAACATGCACATAGGAAACTCACGCCACGAGCAGCTTCTGGACCTGGGCCATGGGCTCCGTGCCGAGGAGCTTCTTCCGGAGCCGCGTCGCGCGGCGCGCCATCGAGACCACGACGTCGAGGCCGCCGCAGGCCTTGGCGTGCATGCGCAGCGTCTTCTCCGCGCGGTCCAGCGCGCGCGCGTCGAAGGCGACGCAGCGCGCGGCGACCTCGGCCGCGGCCGCGCGCGCGAGGCGCCGCGCGCCGCCGTCGCCTACCAAGCAAAATCTCGTTGTTTTCCCACCCCAAATCTCTCGAAAATCGTCACGGCCACAGGACGCTGGCCGTCGCCGCCGTCGTCGTCGCTGTCGTACGTCGACTCGCTGTCGCCGGACGCGTCGTCGTCGTCGTCGACGTCCGCGCCGATCTGGCCGACGAGCGTCGGGCGCACGGCCGCCGCCGCGTGGACGTCCGGCCCCTTGAAGAGCGCGCGCGGCGACGCCGGCGACGCCTTGGGCGCCTTCGGCGTGGCCGGCGGCGTCGCGACGTAGGCCGCGCGGCGGCCCGACTTCGCCGCCGCGCGCTCCGCGCGCCGCTCCAGGACCTCGAAGACCGCGTCCAGCTTGAGGTCCAGCGTCACGTCCGGCGTCGGGTCCATGAAGTCCGCGCAGCGGCACAAGGCTTCCAAAAATTCGAGGTACGACAGCGCCTTGTAGTCCTTGCGCTGCAAACGATCGAAGACCGTGAGCTGGCACCAGCTGAAGGCGAGGCGGCTCTCGAGGTTCGTCACGCCGCGGAAGTAGCCCGCCGCGGCGCCGGGCGTCGCCGCGTCCTTCAGGTCCTCGGCGTCGCCGAAGGACCGCGCGAGCACGGACGCGCGCGGGATCTCCGTCGTCGAGACGCGCCGCCGCGCGGACGCGCCCGCGTCCTTGGTCCAGTTCCGGCAGGTCTCGTCGACGAACATCTCCCAGCGCGGAAAGTCGATCTCCCTGGCGCGCGGCGCTCTGGCGGACTCGAAGGACGCCCGGAGCAGCGGCTCCTTCGCCTTGAGCTTCAGATCCACGGCCTCCGTGTAGAGGCGGGCGTCGCGCCACAAAAAGTTCTGGTTCAGCATGTCGTAAGGCAGCTCGCGCGCCGCCGGCAGCACAAAATCCTCGAGCAACTTCCGCACGGCGACCGCCGGGTCCTCGGGCTCGAAGTCGTCCGGCTTGCCGAACGTCCACGTGAAGCGGCGCATGGCGACGCGGAAGAGCGCCTCGAGGAACTCGTGGCGCGCCATGCTCTTGTCCTTGACGTTGTGCACGTTCACGGCCACAAAAACCGTGTCCGCGTCGTTGGCCGTGTTGTAGTCGCCGACGACGCCGCAGTCGCGCGCGAAGCGGCGCCAGTTCTCCCAGCCCATCTCCAGCGGGTCGTCGCTGCCCAGCCCCAACGCCGAGTAGTAGCGGTGCAGGCTCCGGATGTCGCCGTAGAATTCGCCGAAGACGGCGTAGACGCGTTTCAGCACGGCCCGCGACTCGAAGCCGCGGAGCTTGAGCACGAGCGCGGCGATCTCCGTCAGCGACACGTCGCTCGTCGCGACGTGCTTCAAAAAGTGGGGCGTGTCGTGGAAGGACTTGGAGTCGGCCTCGCGGGGCCGCTTGCGCCAGATGGACCGCCACAGGCTCCAGGGCGGCCGCCGCTGCGCCTCCGCGGCCGCGGGCTCGGGCGACTGCGGCCGCCGCTCGAGGTACGTCGCGATGTACGCGTCGCCGACGACGTCGCGGCGCCGCGCCGGGTGCTCGACGGCGACGGCGCAGGGCGCGCCGCGGTCCCGGAGCGTCGCCGCCGCCAGGTCCTTGACGGCCTGCTCGCCGCCGCCCGCGACGCAGTTCTCGAGCCCCAACACCAACAGCGTCCGGTTCGTCGCGAGCGCGCCGACGATGCTCGAGGTGACGGGCGTGCCGAGCTGGTTGAAGCCGAAGCGGCATTCCCGCACGTTCTCCGGCGCGTGGGCGACGGCGTCCGCGAGCGCGGCGCCGGACTCGGGCCCCAGCGCGTTCTCCGAGACGTCGAGCGACGCGAGGCTGCAGCTCTCGAGGATGAGCGTCGCGAGCGCCGGCGTCGCGGCGTCGCGGATGCCGCAGCGCCGCGCGTACAGCGTCACGAGGCGCCCCCGCAGCGCGCCGCGGAAGACGGCCTCCGCGCCTCTATTTCGGAGGTCGTTCTCCGACACGTCCAAATAGCACACCGACGACGCGTCGAGCGCGAGCCCCAGCGCCTCGGCGCCGGCGACGCCGATGCCGCAGCGCGCGCAGTCTAAGCGTTCGAGGTGGCCGTAGCGCACGCGCTCCGCCAGGCTCGCGGCCCCCGCGTCGCCGATGCGGTTCCGCGCGACGACGAGCGTCCGGAGGCCCGGCACGTCGCCGCGGCCGATGAGCGACGCGAGCGCCTCGGCGCCCGCCCGCCCCAGGCCGCACCGCTCCAGCTCCAGCCCGCCGAGCACGCAGCCCCGCGCCTCGTCCAAAAGCAGCTCGTCCGCGAGGGCCCGCGCGCCCGCGTCCCCCACGCGGTGGTTCCCGCCCAGGTCCAGCGTCTCCGGGAAGGGGCTCGACGAGTCCACGGTCGCCGTGTGCGCCGCGGCCAGCGCGCGCGCGTCCAGCGCCGTCAGCGAGTCGTCGTTGACCGCCAGGCGCCTCGCGGGGAGGCGGCGCGCGACGCCGCGCCGCGCGGGCGCGCCGAGCTTCGCGCACGCGCGCGCGTACTGCAGGTCCGCCGTCGCGTCGCCGTCGACGACGTGGGCGACCTCGTCGAGGCTCACGGACCCCGCGTGGTGCGAGAAGCGCTGCTCCAGCCCCGCCCGCGCGCCGTCGTCGACGCGGACGCCGAACGCGTCCAAAAATACCAGAAACTGCTCAAAGTCCACGCGGCCGTCGCCGTCGACGTCGCCGAGGTCGCCCGACGCCTCGAAGGACCGGAGCACCGTGCGCGCGTCGAGGGGCCCGTGCCGCGCGAAGCGCGCGCGCATGCGCCGCAGGACGTCGTCGAGCGCGTCGTCCGTGTCGCCGCAGCACCGGAGCAGCTCGCGGTACCGCACGCCGCCGTGGCGCGAGAACCGCCGCGCGAGCAGCGCGAGCTCCGCGTCGGAGACGGGGACGCCCATCCAGGACAGCCACGTCTCCAGGTCCATGGCGTCGACGTCGCCGCCGCCCTCCTCGTCGACGACCTCGAAGAACTCCGCGTAGTGCTTGCCCGCGGCGGCCGCGGCGGCGACGGCCGCGCGGAGCTTGTCGACGACGCGGTCCGACATCTCCCCGAAGTGGCGCTCGCGCTCCTTCGCCGCGCTCACGATCTTCTCGCGCGCGCTCGGCGCCCGCGACGCCGCGGGCCGGGGCTGCTTCGGCGCGCGCGGCGCGCGCCGCGGCGCCGCCTGCCCGAGCCGCGCGGACAGGCGCCGCAGGGAGCCGAACTCGTCCGACGGGTCCGCCGCCGCGAGCCTACGAGGGGAAAGAGTGACGGCGGGTACCAAAGAATTCGCGCACTTCTGGATCTCCTCGACGAGGGGCTTGGGGTCCTTGCTCCGCCGCTCCTTGCGCTTGACCTTGCGCGGCGACGACCGCGGCGTCGACCGCGGCGTGTACGTGTGCGTGCTGTCCAGCGACGACCGCTGCGACTGCGGCGTCGGCGCGTCGCTCCAGAAGGGCGCCGGCGGCGCTGCGGGAGGCGCCAGCATCGGGCTCTCCGAGATCGATCGGTTTCGAGAGGCTGCCCCAAATTCACCATCGACATACTCACCAGCGCCAACGTGCCGCTGTTCGTACAAAAAGCGTGCTGTGGAACGTCGGAACCCCGTGCCTCGCTGCCACGATGAACACGTTCACGTACGACGCAGAAGGCGGCGACACGAGCAGCTGGAGCGCGTGCTGCTCGACGGACGACCCGCCGCCGATGAAGGACATCGAGCTCCACATCGATGACAACGTACGGGGCAGCCCCGAGCGCGGCCGCCACCACCGGAAGAAGCACCTTCACCGGCCGCGGAGCGCGAGCAACACGCGCCGGGCGGAGATCCGCGATGAGGTCGAGCGCAGCGTCCCGCGGCCGTGACGATTTTTGAGAGAGACTTTGTGGCTGGGAAAACGACGAACCGTCGTCGCCGACGCGTCGGTAGGTCGAGCGGGCCATGCGCGCCTACCACTTTGGCGAGCACTCGCCGGACGAGCACTCGCCGGAGCGCAAGGCGCCCGACGAGCCGGACGAGGACGTCGCCGCGCGGCGCGGCGCGGCCGAGCCGGCGCGCGTTCCGAAACGACTACGGCGGCCTTCGACGATGCTGCACGCCGGCGGGAAGCCCCGGGAGGACGCGCCGCTCGAGGAGGACGAGGACTTCAGCCGCCTGCCCATCGACCGGCTCTACGAGAAGGCCGACGAGTCGTACTACTTCCGCGTGCAGACGATGATCTTATACAACGGCTGGTCGTGGTCGACGTGCCAGAACGCGACGATCACCGTCCTAGCGCTCCTCCTGCAGATCTTCGCCCTGAGCTCCATCTGGCAGATGAACTGGATCGCGTCGGACGTCGCGCAGTGGGCGGACCAGTGGGGCGACGGGGGCGACGACGTCTTCCCGGACGGCGTCGACTACCCGGCGGACTACCGGCGCTACTTCCGCGGCATCGACGCCAAGGTCGACGGCCTGCCCGTCGTCATCTTCCTGCCGCTGATCCTGGTGACGCTGACGCTCGTGCTGATGACGCGCTGCGAGAGCGACGAGTGCCGCGCGGGCTACGTGCTGCTCCGGAGCAGCGCGCACGAGCTCTACGCGGACTGGTGGGAGCTCTCCTGGGGCGACGCCGGCGCGCGGGGCGTGTGCGTCTTCGTCTGCTTCGTCACGCACCTGCTCCGCGTGTCGCTGCTCTGGTACTACTACGAGGTGAGCGCGAACATGATGGGCAACTCGTCCGGGAGCTTCGAGTTGCTCCTGGACGCGCTGGCCATGACGTTCATCCTGGAAATCGACAACCACCTCTTCTTCGACCTGCCGTCGATGAATTTCTACGGCGTCGAGGACCCGAGCCTGCGGGAGCGGTACCTCCACCGCTTCCGCGCGAGCCGCGACGCGCTCCGGTCCATCGTCGAGCACGTGCAGCGCGTGCCGCGGTGGATCGCGCACGTCTACTACCTGGGGGGGCTGCTCTTCACGTGCCTGTGCTCGCTCATCGTGCTGCGCATCGCCGTGCTGGGCCAGAACTACACGTCCGCGGGCAAGGTCATGGTCTTCGACGACGACTCGCCGTTCGGCGCGCACCACCCGCAGCTCACCTACCAGTACAACTGGCTCATCTACTCCATGCTCTTCGTCATCCTCGTCGACGAGCAGATCGTCGCGTACGTCGGCAGCCCCGACAAGCGGAAGAACTCGCGCTGGGGCGTCGCGCGCTGCGCGGCCGCCTTCCTGTTCGAGTGCCTCTGCCTCGTCGTCATCCGGTACGTGGTCATCGAGTGGATCTTCGGCGTCGCCATCCCCTACTCCGTGTCGGCGGAGAGCGCGCCGATCCGGTTCTGGGACCGCGTCGACCCCGCGCCGAACCGGCCGCGGAACGTCTACGACTACGGGTCCTACGACGAGGGCGACACCGGGGACCACCACGGCTCCCTGGGTTAGATGAGGACGTGGGCCGCGGGCCGGACGTCGATCTTGGGCCGGGACGCGAAGTCGCAGGACTTGGCGGACCGGAGCGACGAGAGGACGGCCTCGCCGACCATGGACGCCGTGTTGACGAAGGTCGACATGGCGCCGCGGACGAAGGTGTTGGAGAAGTGCGTGCCCCGGGCCTCGTGGGCCGGCTCCGGCGCGCCCGAGTCGAACTGCGTGTAGACGCCGCCCGGGTTGTCGAACGCGGCCGGGTCGCCGTTCGCGCGCAGGATCCGCGAGCACGTGCCGCTGTTGAGGCGGAGCGCGAAGATGTGCTCCGCCAGGGAGAGCGTCGCCCAGTCGAGGAAGGGCGCCGTCTGCTCGAGCAACTCCGCGGCGGTGGCGTGCGAGTCGCAGTCCGCGGCCTTGTGGCCCGCGCAGGCCGCGCCCGTGTGGGGCCGCACGCCGAAGTTGAAGAACTCGACCTCGACGTCGTCGCCCAGCGCCAAGACGCCCGGGAGCCGCTCGTGGAGGTACGCGTTGTCCGACGCGACGAAGACGCGGCGGATGCCCGACTCGTCGATCTGCGCGGCGAGCTTCTTCCGGATGCAGTGCCAGAAGGGGTCGTTGCCTAAAATCAGCCGCTCGATGGCGTGGGCCGACACGTTCGGGTTCAGCTCGTGGATCATCGCGTTGTCGACCGTGCGGATGTGCAACGCGGCCGAGTAGAGGTGCGTGGGCCTAGCAAGCATGACGGTGACGATTTCTCTCATTTCCCACCCCAAATCTCTCGAAAATCGTCGCGGCCGCGGGACGCCGGCGCGGGCTTCGGCGCGTCGAGCGCGCGCTGGAGCCGCGCGACGGAGCCGTTGAAGCGCCGGCCGGCGACGTCCAAGAGCGGCTGGGCGACGCCGGGGAGCGCGAGGCGCAGCGCCTGGCCGACGGCGCAGTTGTCGCCCGTCGCGAAGCCGTAGCAGCCCAGGAGCCGGCCGACGCAGGACGCCCAGGGGTTCTTGCTCGACGCGCCGTAGCCGCCCATGCGCGTCGACGACGCCATGCGCAGAAGCGTCGTGTTGGACCGCGCGTGGCAGCTCAGGCCCCGCTTCTCGTTGAAGAACGCTTCGTCGCACGGCTTGTGCGGCTTGTAGTTGGGCATCTTCTTGATCTCCTCCTTGCTGCGCGTCGACGCGGGGTAGCCGCAGTCGAAGACCGCGCAGAGGTAGGCGACGAGCGACGTTTGGGGCGCGTTCTCGAAGGACGTGAGCTCGAGCCGCCGACTGCTGATCAGCGAGTAGAGCACGGCGTTCGCCAAAGCCTCGAGTTGGTTGCCCAGGCCGCTGCCGGCGAGCGGGTGCCAGACGACGACGCGCCCGGGCGTCACGGGGCTCAGCGGCGCCCCGCGCTCCGCCGCGCAGCGCGTGATGTTCGCCTCGGCGCGCCGCGAAAAGGCCGCCATCGTCTCGAGGTAGGCGTCGCGCGGCACGTGCTGCCCGCTCCGCGGGTCGTAGACGCTCGTCGTCGGCGCGGTGGTCGTCGGCGCTATGCGGAGCGCGATGAGGACGGCCAGGGTGATGGACATCGGTCGGCCGGGGCAGCCCATCGAGCCCATCGCGGCCGGTGCAACTTTGTGTCGTTGCCGCCAACGTGGCAGTGCACTAGTAATCCGTGCGCATGATGGTGCGCTCGCTGTTGTTGTTGTCCACCGTCCACGCCTTCCAGCGACAGCTGCGAACCTTGCGCGCCGCTTCGCGCTGCTTTGCGTCGCGCGACGCCTTCCTGCTTTCCAGCTTCAGCGAAGGCGTCCTCGGCAACGCCGACGTCGCCGCGTTGCTGCGCGAGGCCGTCGAGGAAAAGGCCGGCGATGGAACCATCAAGCTCGCGTTCATCCCGACGGCGAGCTACGCGCTGCGGCGCACGAGCGTGCGGACGCCCGGCGTGCAGCGGCAGCGGTCGCGGCGCGACGCGAAGCAGAAGCGCGACCGCATCGTCGACTTCTTCGGCGGGCCGGAGCGCTGCGAGGCCGTGACGCTCGACCTCTGGGATTCGTCGTTGAAGCACGTCTCCGCCGCGGCGCCGCCGGCGGCCGGCGCGGACGCGCTCGGCGCCTGGGACCCGAGCCTCGTCGTCGTCGACGGCGGCAACACGTTCTGGCTGCGCCACTGCATGGAGGACTGGCTGGCCGCGCTCCGCGACTCGGCGGCGGTCTACGTGGGCGTCTCCGCGGGGTCCATCTGCGCGGGCAAGCACGTGGACACGGCGCTGTGGAAGGGCTGGGACGATCCCGACGTCGTCGAGCCGACGGACTGGGCGGCCGCTCCCGGCCTCGACCTCGCGGACGGGACGTCCTTCTTCCCGCACTACGGCGACGAATGGGCGGGGCTGGTCGCGGAGAGGCGGGAGCCGCGGCACGAGCCGCTGGTCTGCCTCGACGAGGCGGGCGCGTTCGTCGTCCCCAAAGCGGGCGCCGCGCGCTACGTGCCGCCGCCGGCGGGGGGTTTAAATGGTTAGATGTACACACACACGAAAAGGAGAGGGGCGTCGCGCTGCGCTGGCGCCGCGGCCCGACAAGGGCTGCGCGGCGCGGCTGCTGCGACCGCGAGGGGCAATCGAATCATGATGCCGTCGATGATCAGGCGAAGAACTTCGTCGGCTTCGCGGCGCGGCCGCCGGGCGACGTCGACACGCGGGCCTTGGGCGAGAGCGCGATGTGGTTGCGGCCGAGGTGGGGCGCGAGCCCCGCGCGGAGCTGCTTGAGGCTGGCGACGACCGTCGACGACTCGAGCTTGAAGTCGCCGTGGAAGGGGCGGTTGAGGTCGCTCGCGAGCGAGTTGAAGACCGCGAGCGCGCCGCAGATGAACGCGAAGAGCGCGTGGACGCCGAAGGACGCGTCGACGAGGATGCCGCTCGCGTCCTGCACGTAGCCCAGGAGGTGCGGCGGCGGCGCCTTGTCCAGCGTCAGGTAGCAATAGGCGAGCACGAGCACGACGGACAGGGCCTGGAGCACCTCGAACTGCATCACCGGAATCGACGAGCTCTCGAGGCTCAGGCGGCGGCCGCGGGCCTGGACGACGCGCTCCGTCGCGTCCAACGCGAAGCCCAGGTCCGGCGCGCGCTGGGGCGCCGCGTCCCACTGGGCCTGGGCCGTCTGGAGCGTCTCGACGATCTTGAGCAGCTCGTCGTCGTTCGAGGCGATGCCGTCGAGCTCGTCCTCGCGCGACCCGTCGATGAGGTCCGACGTGTGGGCCCACATGTGCTTGGCGCAGGTCGAGAAGACGTCGCGGGGGGCGACGGTCCCGTCGGGCGCCGGCGCGTCGCGCAGGAGCACCTCGAGGCGCTTCTTGAGCGGGAGGAGGAGCGTCACCTCCTCGACGGCCGCGGCGCGGAGCGCCTTGAGGCGGTCGCCGGCGTCGGAGATGGTGGACGCCGTGAGCGTGCCGAAGACGATGGACATGAGGCTGAAGAAATAGCCTCCCTCGCTCGGGTTCGGCGGGGGGAGGTGCGAGAGCATGGCGACGAGCGACGGGTACGCGAGGAAGCCGCAGAGCGTCACGGCGAAGCGGAACTGGGGCGCGTACCACTCGCCCGTCAGCGTCTGGACCATCGACGCGGCCTCGCGGCCCCGGGCCGCCCGCATGGCGGAGACGAGGGGGTGCTGCCCCGGGGACCGCGCGCCGGCGGGCTGCCCCGGCGGCGCGCGGACGCCGCGGCGCGACCGGAAGTGGTCGCCCTTGGCGTAGGACCGCGACGCGCTGGGCGCGTCCGTGCGGTAGAGCGGGCGGAGCGCCGCGGCGTGGGCCCGGCGCCGCAGCCGCACGATGTGGTGGTGGGGCGAGAAGTCGCCGTAGCCGCGGACGCCGCGCGCGAGCGCGACGGCGACGACGGCGACGGCGCGGCGCATGGCGGCGACGAGGGGGCGGCGGGGATGGCGCTCGTCGACGGGGCGGCGAGGCTCTGCTGGGGCCGACGGCGGACGGCGGCGGACTGGTTTTTTGGCTTGGAATGCTCCTTGGGAGTTCGCCGACCGACGCGGCGCTAAAAATGTCTTCGGATCGGCGATGGAAGTTTACTGCTGTCAAAGTGCACGCTACATTACTAACGTCAAAGAAAAAAACGCGTTAGTATGGCCCAGCCCAAAGCTGGGCGCCCTCCGCGGCCCAAGCCCCTGGGCGACGCGAACCTCCCAAAGCGGAAGAAGAAGGTCAAGGCCAAGGCGCGGCCCCAGGGCGTGCACGCGACGACGGCGGCGTCGCAGCGGCGGCGCGTGGCCAAGTTCAAGGACCGGCCGCCGCCGCCGTCGCCGGCCAAGGCCGGGGCGCGCGCCGGCGCCCTGCGGCCCGACTCGCGGCTCCTGCGCGGGTCGCGGTCCGCCCCCGCGCTGCGGCCGCGGCCGCGGCCGTCGTCGGCGTCCATGGGCATCCCCGGCGACATCGCGCCGCGCGCGACGGCCGCGACGACGCTCGTGCGCCGCCGCGGCGGCGGCGGCCCGTCGCGGGCCTGGTCCGCGGGCGAGGCGACCTTCGCGCGGCGCAACCTCTGGTACGCCGTGCTCACGCAGGCGCCCGACGCCGCGCGGCCGCGGTCCGCGGGGCTGCCGAGCGGCCGCGCGCCGGCCGTCGCGAACGGAGTGGGCGGCGCGCGCGGCGGCGCCGCGCCCCACTTCCAGCACTGCGTCGTCCCCGCGGACGACGACGACGACTGCCTCACGCCGCGGCCGACCTTCGTGCAGCGCGTGCGCCGCGAGGCGGCGCCGCGGCTCCGGAGCGACCTCATGTTCCTCCGCGACGCGGGCGAGTTCCAGCCCCTCGCCGGGTCCCCCGGCGTCGGGCGCCAGTACGCGTACCGCACGCGCACACTCATCCCCATATCATAGCCGCCGCGCCGACGCGGGCGGGGAGATGGCCGCGAGCTCGCCGTCGATGTCGAGGTTGTCGGCCCAGGAGAGGAGCTCGTCCACGGACATGGACTTGCCCGGCGCCTTGGGCGTCTTCGGCGACTTGGGCCAGGGCTTGGGCGGCGACTCGCCGCCGCCGTCGTCGTCCCCAAAGTACTTGGCGACGGCGTCGACCTGGTCCGACGACAGGTCGAACTTTGCCACGACGCCCTGCGGTCGCCGCGGGCTCGCGGGCTTCGGCGGCCGCGGCGCGAGCGCGATGGGCTGCCGCGGCGCCTCGGAGCCGCCGACGTAGGACGCGCGCATGGCGTCGATCTCGCGCTTCGCCTTGACGAGCGGGCCCGCCTTCTTCGCCGACGCGGACGACGGCCGCGGCGGCTTGTCGCCCCACTTCCAGTACGTGGACTTGAGCCGCGTCTGGCGCTCCATGCGCAGCAGCCGCGTCGCCGCGCCGGCGTCGTAGCCGCCCTTGGCCGCGAGGCGCCGCGACGCCGCCGCGACCGCGACGCCGGGGTCCGACGCCGACGACCGCGAGCTCCGGGGCGTCGCCGCGGGCGACGCCGCCGGCGCCGCGGCCGCGCCGCGCGCGCGCTGCTCGCGGCGCTTCTGCTTCTTGCGCCGCGCGGCGGACACGTTCGAGCCGAAGGACCGCCTCGGGCCCCGCGGCGGGAGGCCGCCGTCGGACCGCGCGGCGACGCCGTTCGACGACGGCGCGGCGGAGCTCGCGGCGGACCGCGCGGACATGGGCCGCCCGGACACGGTCTCCGCGGCGAGGCGCACGGCGGCGGAGATGTCCAGGTCGGGCGGGGGCGACGAGAGCCGGTAGACGTGGTCGGGCGCCTGGACCTACGAGCGGGGGCGCGTTTTTCGCGGGAGGGCGCGGGCGGCCGCGCACCGGGTGCATCTGCGGCGGCGGCCGCTGCGGGTGCCGCGGGGGCAGGGCCGCCGCCGGGGGCAGGCCGCCGGGGTGCCGCGGGGGCCTCCGCGTGCGCGCGTTCTCCTCGGGCACGGGCGCGAGCGCCTCGCGGACCTAACGACACCGGTCCGTCTCTCGTTCGCGTCGCGCGGGGCGCGGGGCGCCGCACCTTGTGCGCCGCCTCGGGCGGCAGCTCGCCGCTCACGAGCTCCAGCGCGCGCCGCAGCCGCTCGAGCTCGTCGGCCATGTTCTGGTCTGCCGGGGGCTGCCCGCGGCGCTGGGCCATCTGGGCCATGGACGCGTGCTGCTCGGCGATGCGCGCGCGCTCCATGGCCTTGAACTCCTGCCATGGGCCGACGTACATCCTAGAGTCCTGGGGCGGCGTCCCCCTAGCCCCGCATGCGTCGTCCCCGAGAGTCTGGGGCTAGCTGCCCGCTGCCATCACGAGCACTCGGCAACGAAGCTCGCGGAATCACCGACTGCATCATCGACGGTGAAGCGCTCGTAAAGCAGGCATGCGCAATGGACGCGCGCCTGGTCGAAAGCCATTGGGGCAATAAAACTCAATGACTCGCCGCGCACCGATGCTAGCACCGCGCGCAACAACTTTGAGCGCACCACCAATGCTGGCTCGACGCGTGCTGGCCGCGCTGCTCCTCGCATCGAGAGCCGATGCTTTATCGACGGCGAGCGTGCTGCGGAAGATCTCGCCGCTGCACGTCGACCGCTACGAGCGCGAAGGCGTCGTCGTCGTGCGCGGGCTCGTCGACGCCGACGTCGTCGAATTGCTGCGCCGCGAGGTCGACGGCGCCGTGGCGGAGCCGGGCCCGCACGCCGAGGACTTGGCGCCCGGCGGCACGGGCAAATCCTACTTCACGGATCTCGAACTATCGACGAGACGGCCCGCGCTCCGCGCCTTCGCCGCCGAGGGCAGCGCCGCGTGCGCCGCGGCGCTGCTCATGAAGTCGCGGACGTCGACGTTCCTCTACGACCAAATCTTCGTCAAACACGCGCGCGATCCCGCCGCGGCGGCCGCGGCGACCGTCTTCCACCAGGACGCGCCCTACTGGAGCGTCGAGGGCTCGCAGATCGCGTCCGTGTCCATCGCGCTCGACGACGTCGACGAACGCGACTGCCTGGACTTCCTGCCGGGCACGCACCGCCTGCCCGAGTTCCAGCCCGTCCACTTCGCCTCCGGCGAGCCCTACGAGTCGGAAAGCCCGCTGCCGACGCTCGACGTCGCGGCGCTCGGCGGGCCCCGCGCGCGCTTCGACCTCTCGCCGGGCGACGCGGTCGTCTTCGACGGGCGGCTCGTCCACGGCGGCGCGGGCTCCTTCGGGCGGGCGCTCGTGCTCCGCTTCGTCGGCGACGACGTCGTCTTCAGCCGCGCGCGCTTCGACTCGGGCCACGCGATCCCGACGCGGGACCCCGTCGGCCTCGCCGACGGCGCGCCGCTCGCGGACCACGTCGACTTTCCCGTGTGCTACGTGGACCCGTTCTTCGGCAAGCGCGGCGCGTCGCCCGTGTCCGTCCTCGAGTGGTCCAAGGGCAAGGCCGTCAACGAGGAGCGCGGGGATTTTAGCTAGGGTTGTTTTTGGGCCGAGCGTGCTGCGAGAGCTAATGTGCACGCGTCGGCCAGCGCTGCCATCGGATCGACACTGGACCCCCGGCGAGATCGCTGGGCCCCTGAGCATCTGATGAGCGATGGGAGGCTCGGGAAGCGGAAGCAACTCCATTTCAAAAGCGCGCGACTTCGACGCCCTCAAGCTGCTCGTCGACGCGGCGAAAACCGCGGGGGTCCCGACGAAGTGTGACGACCTCTATGACTACATCGTGAAAAATACGACAGTGAAGAAGTACGCAGTAAATGGTTATAAGAAGAGTCTCAAAGCGTTCATCTCCACTTACTTCATCCCGAAAGATCCGGACGCGCCGCCCGCCAAAGCACTCATCGTCGAGGACCTGTCGACGGCGACGCGCGAGGAACTGACCTACCCCGTCTCGACATTCGCGTCGGGCGGGCCGTATTTCACGAACGCGGCGGTCGGCGCAGACGCCGCGGAGGAGGAGGAGCGGACGCCGCAGCACGCCTTCGTCGTCGAGTTCTTCCAGGGCTACCGCGAGACGGTCCCGGTGACGAAGCCGGTGATGGGCCGCGCGGTCGCGCGCGTGCCCGCGCCGACGCACTACGGCTCGGTGCGCGAGCGTTACCGGGACGCATCATCTCATCCGTTCGGCGTGAGCTTGGGCACGAGGCTGTTCAGCGTCGAGGAGCACGGCCCGGAGGCCGCGAAGACGATGGCTTACGAGGACGCCCTCGTCATCCTCAGCATGAAGAAGGTTAAGGGCTCTCTGGTCTACGAGGGCCAGCTCGAGCGCATCGCCGACGAGGGGACGCGCGCGCGGGTCCTCGCGGATCGCGCGGAGCTGGCCGCGAGGGGGACGCACCGCAGTCCCGTCAAACACGGGGCTACTCGTTCCGCAGCACCCGGCGTGGGGCCCGTCGTGCGCCGCGGGGGCGGCTACCAGGTCCAGGTGAAAGGCCGCGACCAGTGGCTCGACGCGACGGACGGTGACGCGATCGAGAAGGCGTCCGAGCGCGCCGTCGCCGGCTTCGGGTCGACGCACCTCTCGAGGCTCCAGAACGCGGAGACGGCGAAGGCGTTGGACTCCGGCGAGGTGTCGTTCCGGGAGGCGACGGACTCCTGGCGGCGCCGCGAGTCGATCGAGACCGCGTTCCGCGCGGACGCGCTCGCGAACGTCGACGACGGCGACGACGGCGACGACGAGTGCGCGTCGGCGTCATCGCCCGCGGGCCCCGGCGCGGCGCTCGAGCTCGCGAAGCAGTCCGCGGAGTCGCGCGGAAAGATCGCCGCCGTGTCGCGGCCGCGGACGAGCTCCCGCGGCGCGCGCGCCGACGACGCGGCGCCGACCCTCGACGACGACGCCGCGGACGCCCCGAGCGTCGAGTCATCCGCGAAGAGCGACGCCGCGGAGCCGCCGCAGGACGGAGAAGGCGACGCGCGGAACCCGTCGCCGTCGTCGGCGATCGACGCGCTCGCGGCGGCGCTCGTCGCCGGCGGCGTGAGCCTGGACGCGGCCGGGACCGCGGAGCTCGTCCTAGGAAGTCTGGAGGCGTCCGGCTGGTCGCTCGTCTCCTCGAACGTGCCCCGCGGCCGCTGGGACGACTTGGACTTCGGCGCGTCGTCGGACGACGACGCGTGCTTCGAGAACCTGTTGCCGTTCTTGGGTGAGGGCGCGAGCCGCTGGACGGACACGACGCTGCCAGACGAAGAAGCGGCCTGCTACGACAACCTCACGGACTACCTGTCGTCGACAGGCATTGACATTATTATTCGTCCGAGCTTCGCGCCGCCGGCGCCGCCGACGGAAGTCTTCGGCATCGCGCGGGGCTCGCGCGCGTCGGCCGCGCTCCTCGACGCCGAAGCGCGGCGGCGGCTTGGCTCTACGTTCGAATTCAAGGCGCTCCAGGACATGGTCAACGCCCTCGCCTTCGAGGAGTCCGACGTGGGCAAGCGCCTCGTCGAGCTCCGCCTCGGCCTGCGTGCAACTCAACCACTGGTTTGGGACGTCCTCAGGCCCATGTGGTGCCTGGCTTACCTTCTCGAAGGCGAGCAGGCGACGGCCGCGGGCCTGGTGCTACGGCCCGTCAACTTCCAGCTGAGCTGGGCGGGGATGCAGAACCTGCCCGAGATCGTCAAGTACTACGGCTCCGCCCGCTTCGCGCGCGTCTCCGACAGCGTCCTCGACGCCACCAAGGAGCGCACCTCCGACGAGCGCGCGAACGGTTAGGCCCAAGTAAGCGCGAGCCCCCCCCCGCGGGCGACCAACGTCGATGGTCATCGAGCGGCTCGCGCCGGTCGCACCGGTCGAGCGCCACGCGGCCTACCTCGCCGTCGCCGCAGCGCGCGAGGGCGACGGCGGCGTCGCACCGCCGTGCTTCGACGGCCACGTCTATGCGACGACGCGGACGCGCGCCGCCGTCGACCGCCGCGGCGGTGCCCGGCCATGGCGACTCCTCTCGCGGCCCGCGGCGCAGACCCCAGAGGGGGCCGACCACCAGGCATACACCAGCCACGGCATACACCAGCATAGCAGCCGCATAGCGGACGCATAGCGGACGCATAGCGGACGCATAGCGGGCGCATAGCGGGCGCATAGCAGGCGCATAGCAGGCGCATAGCAGGCGCATAGCAGACGCATAGCAGGCGCATACCACCAGCATAGCAGGCGCATAAGACCAGCATAGCAGCCGCATACCACCAGCATAGCAGGCGCATAAGACCAGCATAGCAGCCCGGCGACCGCCGTCGATGACAACCCAGGCGACGACCGCCGGAGGTTACCGACGCTCGCCGCGGCGCGGAGCCCCTGCGAGCCACACGGAACCGGGATCCCCGGGCGCGCGACCCCGGGCCGCCTAGCTACCTGGACCGACGAGTCGGCGCCCGACGAGTCGGCGCCCTCGCACGGTTCGCGCGGTCGCGCGGGTCGAAGCGCGGCGCGAGTTCAAACCGCGCGCGGACGTTCGAGTCCGTCGACCGCGGGCGGCTCGCTCGGATCACGAACCGAAGTCGGCGGAGGAGCACGCCACGCAGGACGAGAGAGACTCGGACGAGCGCACGCCGATTGAAGTCGCGCGCCCTCGCGCGGTTCGCGCGGACCGTCGTGATTTCGAAGTCGCAGCCCCTGGGTATCAGCTACTGCAGGTGCACCGACGGACCGGTGCTCGCCGCGAACGGGGCTGTGGTCCATCGGTGGTTCTTTTTCGCGAGGAACCCGTGGGGGACGCGGTCGACGGCGGGCATCGCGCGGTCGCGCGCGTTTCGAAGCGCGGCGCGAGTTCAAACCGTGCGCGCTCGTCCGAGTCTCTGTGGTGTTCTCGAGGAGCGAGACGCACCGCTAAACGCGGAGGCTGCTACACTGTCGAACGCCAGCGACTGGACGAGCGCACGGGTTGTGAAGTCGCGCGGATTTTGAAGTCCGACAGCCCGCGCCGCCCTGTTGTGGGTCGCACGCGGGCCAGTCGCAGCCCGCAGCGCCATCGATCGTGACTCCGACCTTGATCGGCGGCTTCGCGGCGGCGCGGGCGGCCCGGGGCGCGGCGAGCCCAGGGCCGTGGGGTATTATGGGATGGCGGCGAGTCGGCGAGTCGCTGCGCCGCCGCAGCCCGAATGTGCCCATATCATTTAGATATGGGCAGATATAAAATCAACCTAGCAAGGCTTTAGGGCCGCGCGGACAAGGACACGCTCGGCGCCTACGACCTCGGCGAGGAGGCCTTCAACGCGGAGGCGCCGAGATACATCAAGGACAAGTGGGCCAAAAAGGCGATGAAGAACCTCCGCGATTCCTTCGTCAAGCAGCAGTAGGCTCCCGCATTACTCCCTAAGGAGGGCCGGCGCCATACTTCGCGTTGCTCGAGCTCGACAACGCGTTGCCCACGGGCCATTACAGCCTCGTCCGCCGCACGGACGAGGTCGAATACACGTAAATTCGCGGGTTCTGCGTGCTCAGCAACGACGTAGAACCCACGCAGACGTGCCTCGAGCAGGGCCGCGTCCGGCTACTTCGCGTTGCTCGAGCTCGACAACGCGTTGCCCACGGGCCATTACAGCCTCGTCCGCCGCACGGACGAGGTCGAATACACGTAAATTCGCGGGTTCTGCGTGCTCAGCAACGACGTAGAACCCACGCAGACGTGCCTCGAGCAGGGCCGCGTCCGGCTACTAGAAGTTGAAGTAGGTATTTAGTTAATCTGAGGGCTCGGCCATCCATGGTAGGAGCGCGTAGCAGCCTAAAGTATTATAAACTATACGTGGTGGGAGCCGCCATTAGCTAGGCACGGACGGGTCGTGTCCGTGTCGTGAGCGCGGAGCAACCGCCGCCCGATGCGGGCCCTGCCGAACCACGCATACCACCAGCATACCACCGGCATAGCAGCCGCATACCACCGGCATAGCAGCCGCATACCACCGGCATAGCAGCCGCATACCACCGGCATAGCAGACGCATACCACCCGCATACCGCCCGCATACCACCCGCATACCACCCGCATACCGCCCGCATACCACCCGCATAAAACCCGCATACCACCCGCATACCACCCGCATACCACCCGCATAAAACCCGCATAGTAGGCGCATACCACCAGGCATACCGGCGGTCAACCCCCTCGGGCAGACCCGGTCATCATGCGGCCACCGCGGCGCGACCCCGACGGAGGCATCCAGTGCTATTACGCCCTACGCGACCTTGACCGCGCGCACCATCGCCGTAAGGCAGATCTTCAGCCACTCCCCGCAGGGAACCATCACCGCGCGCGTGTAGTAGTCCGACTTGCCCGCCATGTTGCGGAAGTCGGCGAAGTGGCAGTTGAGGGGGCCGAAGTCGAGGAACATGTTCATGGGGTGGTCGCCTGTGTGGAAATCAACCACTGGTTTGGGGGGTCCCCACCAAACTTCAGAACTCTCTATCTCGGTCAAATCGAAGTCGATTCGGCTGATTTTTGGACGAATCGATTGCTCTCGTCGAGTTCTCGAAGCACGGCAGAAGAGCTCGCGTCGAAACGGTCGCATGCGCGCACATTGAAGTCGGGTTGAAGATTTGATTTCCACACAGGTGACCACACGCCGCGGAGAAGACGTGGTCGAAGTGGACCTTCTCGACGAGGGCGTCGAGCACGTGCGGCACATCGCGCAGCCGCGGGAACCGCGCGGAGAGCACGCGCTTGATGCCCTCGGGTCCGAGCTTGTCGCGGAAGATCTTCTTGAGCCCGTCGACGCCGCGGTTGCTCCGCTTTTTCGACGCGCGGTAGGCCTCCATCACCGCCAGGTGCTCCGGACAGTCCTCGTGGCCGAGGAGGGCACAGCGGGGGTAGTCGTCCGGCAACCCAGGGTCGTGGTAGCCGATCTTGTCGCGCTCCGCCTGCCCAAAGCCCACGTCGACGCAGAGCTGCTCGAGCAGTCCGTTGAAGTCGCCGTCGATCTTCACCGCCGCGGCCGCGCCGCGGCCCCGCGCGACGTCCTGCGCGAGCAGGCGCCGCGCGATCAGCTGCACGCGCTTCATCTCGACGACCTCCTCGGTCGTCGCCGAGCCCGCCGCGGTCGCGTAGTCCGAGACGTACTCGTACTGCGCGTCGCCGAGCTCGAGGTCCCCCATATTCGTGAGGTTGACGACGACGGACTTGGAGGACGTCGTCAAAAGCCCATCATCATTCCGACAGTACTCCCGCGTCTGCAAGCACGTCTGCCCGTCGGCCCGCGCTACCATGGACTTCTTCGTCGCGAAGGTGCGCCGTGCGCCCGGCGCGCCGCGCGGCACGTCTCCTTCCCGCGCGCGGCCCGCGGCGGTTTTCAGCCGCTTCGCGATAGGGTTTTCCCACACGTCGGAGTCGTCCGGCGCGTACGAGAGCCAATTTATGCGCGCACTGTCCAGCGCCTTCTCGAACACGTCCATCCCGCTGTGTCCGCGCCGAAAATCGCAGTTCGCCGTGAAGTGAGGCCGATAATAGTCGACCGTGTCGTCGCCCGAGCCCGCGCTGTGGTCGTATGTGACCATCCCTCCATATGTGAGGGCCTCGAATGCAGCGCGGTCGCGCTTGCCCCCGCGGCCGTTCCGCGCCAACGACATCGCGGTCGCCGCAAGCTGGCTGGCTTTTCAAGTGCTCGACTTCATGTTTCCGTCACACTTGCCACAGCGACCGCGCGCGTCGACTCAAAAGCTCCCGCCCATCTCGTCAGCAGCTCGAGTTTTGGCCCTGCGCCCACACGCACGCACCAAAACACACGTCGTTGCAACGCAGCGACCTCGTCGGCTCGTGAGAACCGCCGCGCACCGCTCGAAAAGCGCTGCGAAATTCAAATTTGCGGCGCTTGACGAGGTCGTCGTCGTCGCAGCGCGGTACCCGACGCGCTCACACGTCTAGCAGCGCACTAGCCCTCTCGAGACCATGTTCTACTCGCACAGCATCCTCGCCAAGTCGGGGCCCTTCGCGCACGTCTGGCTCGCGGCGACGTGGGAGAAGAAGCTCACGCGGTCGATGATCTTCAACACGGACATCGCGACGGCCGTCGGTGCGTGGCCTCCGCGCCTCCCGCGCGCCGCGCCGCTCCTCCGCGCGCGCGCCCGCGCGCCCGCGCCCGACCGGCCCCCGCCGCGCCCGCGCAGAATCGATCGTGAACCCGTCGGCGCCGCTCGCGCTCCGGCTGTCGGCGAACCTGCTCGTCGGCGTCGTGCGCATCTACGCGCGCAAGGCGCGTCCCCGGCGTCCGCCTCGATCACCGCTCCGCCCCCGCCGAGCCCCCGGCGCCCCCCGCCCCCGGCCCCGCGCGCGGTCGCGCGCGCGCGCGCCGGCGGAACCGGCGGAACCGCAGGTCGCGTACCTCATGAACGACTGCAACGAGGCCATGGTGAAGATCCGCATGGCGTTCCGCGGCGGCGTCGTCGACCTGCCCGAGGAGAACGCCGTGGCGTCGACGGCGGCGATCACCGCGCGGCGCGGCGTCGAAGGCGGCCGCGGTTCCGCCTTTTCTCGAACGCCGCTCTCGTAGGTCGCGAACTTCGACGAGCTGGACCTGAGCTTCGAGATGAACGCGCCCTTCGGCGGCGGCGTCGGCGGCGGCGGCGACGGCGGCGCGGACGAGTGGGCCGCGGCGGCGACGACGCAGAACCTCGGCAACGCGCGCGACATCTCGCTCGCGGGCTCGGAGATGGACGACGACTCGCTCGCCGGGTCCCGGAGCCAGGAGCTCGGCGGCGCGCCCTTCTCCGCCGGCGGCGGCTCGCGGCGCTTCACGGACGCGTCGTCGATCGAGATGATGCGCGGCGTCGACGACGCCGAGGGCCGCTTCTCGAGCGTCGGCGGCCGCGACTCGTTCCTCGGCGGCGCCAACGAGGAGGACCTGGGCATGACGGACCTCGAGCCCGTCGCCCAGGCCGACCTCCTGCCGCCGGACCTGCCGGAGGACGACTTCGCGCCCGCGTACGCGCCGGAGGACGACGAGCCCATGTTCGACGCGGCGCAGCCGCGCGACGGGTCCCTGGGCCCCGTCGTCGACGACCTCGGCGCCATCACGGGCGGGGCCATGGACGTCGACGACGAGCCGCCGCCGCCCGCCGGCGACGACGCGGAGGAGGCCGCGGCGCCGGAGCCCGCGAAGAAGAAGCGGAAGCCCGCGAAGCGCGCCGTCGACCTCCGCGACGCGGCGACGCAGCTCGACGCGGCGACGATCAAGGGCTGGATGAAGGACCGCTCGGCCATCGTGCGCGTCAAGCGGCCCCGCGACGCCGCGCCCGCGGGCGCGCGGAAGCGCGCGTTCGGCCGCGCGCCGGAGCTCGACGCGGCCGCGGACGCGCTCGGCGGCGGCGCGCGGGGCCGCGCGGCCCTCGCGAACAACGCCGCCGGCGACGCCGCCGCCGCCGCCGCCGAGGCGGCGCCCGCGGCGCCGCGCTTCTCCGCGCAGTTCGGCGACGACGACGACGACTCCGTCGAGGTCGGCCGCTTCGAGTCGGCCGCGGCGCCGGAGCCGGGCGCGCCGGAGAGCGCCAAGGGCGACCTCCTCGACGCCGGCAGCGACGCGCCGCGCTTCGGCGAGGACGACTACGACCTGCCGCCGCCGGACTTCGAGGCGGGCGACTACGCGCCGCGGCCCGACGACGACGACGACCTCCTCGGCCCGCCGCCGGACGACGACGGCGACGCGGGCTTCCTCCAGCCCATCGACGACGAGGACCTGCCCGCGCCCGACGACTTCGACCGGAGCGGCGCCCAGGACCGCGACTGGCACCCGAACACGATCAAGGTCGTCGGCCTCCTCCGCGACCAGCTCGACGCCGCGGAGTCCCTGAGCTTCGACGCCTTCACGGCCGGCGCGAACAAGCGCTCCGCCGTCGGCGTCTTCGTCGAGCTCCTCCACCTCAAGACCTGGGACTTCGTCCAGCTCGACCAGCCCGCGGCCTACGGCGACATCACCGTGTCCAAGGCCGCGCACTTCCACGACCCCATCCCCCAGGCCGTCGCCGCCTAGAGCCCCGGCTCCGGGGCGACGCGCGCCAAGGCCCGCCCCGTTTCTCGCCCCGGCGCCCGCAAGGGGCGCCCGGACGTCTGTGATCCTGTGTTACCTCCCCTTCTCACTCGCGAGCTGCTCCTCCAGCTGCCGCTCGAGCTCGGCCTCGCGCGCGGCGGCGGCGGCCGGGTCGAGGAGGTCGTCGTCGTAGCCGCCCGTGCCCGTCGCCTCGCCCTCGTCCTTGACGCCCGCGGCGACGCTCGGGTGGACCTCGGCCGGCGGCGCGGCGGCCGCGTCGCCGGGGTCCGAGTGGAACCAGCCGAGGAAGGCGTCGGCGTCCATGAAGCCCGTGCCCGCCGGGTCGACGGCCTTCGTCGCCGCCGCGAGCGCGCCGGCCTCGAGCTTCTCGGCGCCGATGTCGACGAGGACGGCGTTGAGCTGGCCCACGGGGCAGCCCTTGCCCCCGTCGTCGTAGGCGGCGATCTTCGCGCGCACCTCGGCGAGCAGCGGGTCCTCCGTCGACGCGTAGACCTTACTGGAGCCGCTTCTCGAGCCGCAGGCGCCCATGCCGCGGCGCTAGCGCTGCGACGGCGGTCAACTGGAGAAGGTAAATAACGCCAAGTTGAAGTGCATAAATACTCAGTTCTCATCATTTCAATAAATTTTTTGACGATGGCCGCGGCGCCGATGCGGTGGCTGCCGATGCGGTGGCTGCGCCTGCTGCTGGTGGCGCAGTGGTCCGTCGGCTTCGAGGAGTACGAGGAGATGCCGAGCCGCTGGCAGGCGGGCAAGGACGGGTCCCAGTGCGCCTACGCCAAGCCCGGCATGCTGCCGCAAGCGATCCGGTCGCGCCTCGCCTTCTTCGCCTTCATCAGCATGGACGAGCCGGAGATGCTCGAGCACTGGCTGAGCTGGTACGGCTGGCTCGGCGCGCCCGTGAACGACGCCGCGCGGAGTTTAGTCGTCGTCCACGTGCCGCCCGGCGAGGCCGGCAGCGCGAACGCCGCGGCGACGCTGGCCCACCTCAAGGCCGCGGGCGTTTCGCGCGTCAACGAGACGGCGGTCTACAGCTCGCGCATCAAGCAGACCATGGTCAACGACTTCATCGGTCGGCTGCCGCGCGACGCGCTCCTCATCTACCCGGACAGCGACGAGTTCTTCGCGTACCCCCGCGACGTCGAGGCCGTGTTGGCGACCGACGGCGCGGTCCACGGCCACATGGTCGAGCGCATGGCGTCGACCTGGGAGTTCGCGGACGTGAAGCCCCCGAAGGCCGCGCCCATCTGGGACCAGTTCCCGCTCCACTGCGCCGTCACCGCGAAGCATCTGGGCGCGAACCACTTCAAGCAGATGCTGACGCCCATGGTCGACTTCGAGGGCAACCGCGTCTACTACCGGAGCTCCCACAACGTCTACTGCGTCAACGAGAAGTCGCGGAACCCGCACCCGAAGCACTGCGTCTTCCGGGGCAACCGGTCGTACGCGTTCGGACACTACCGGTTCACGCGGCGGGCCCACGCGCTCGCGGAGCACAAGCGCGACGTCTACAAGGCCGTGCTGGACGGCGCGGACACGCCGGAGAAGGCCATCGCCGACGCCGCGGACCGCGACATGCTCACCTACGAGCGCACGGTCGTGTCGCAGACCTGGCAGTACGTGAAAGACGCGAGCCCGAAATCGACGAAAATCTCCGAAAAGGACCTCGAGGCCTGGAACGGCCGGGACCACGACAAGAACGCGGAGCTCAAACTCGCGCTCCTGCGCAAGAACGCGGACATGCGCGACCTCGGAGGCGCCGGGCCCGCGCTCGCGCGCGCGTTCCGCAACGTCGACGGCGACGGCGACGGCTTTCTATCGAAGGCCGAATTCTTGAAATTTGGCGAGCGCACCGTCGTCGCGAAGCTCGCGGCGGCGCAGAAGGCGCGGCGCGACAAGACGAAATTCCAGTTCGACATGTACGAGGCCCTGAGCGCCGAGGTCGAGACGCGGAAGAATGGCCGCGTCGTCGTCGCCAAGGACGCGCGCGCGGCCTACAACTGCGTCGGCGAGACGCCGAAATCCAAGCCGCCGGAGCCCGGCTGCTGGCGCGGCTGCGAGCCGGCGACGGACCTCGTCGTGCTCTACCTCGTCGTCTCCGCGGACAACCACCTGCCGCTCCTGCCCCACTTCCTGGACCACTGGCTGTCGACGCTGGGCGTGGACCCGGCGCACGTCTTCGTGGACGTGAACACGAACGAGGTCGACGACGGGGCCATCGCGCGGGCCCTCGCGCCCGTCCGCGGGCTCTTGAGGGACCGCGGCGTGCCGCCGGCGCAGACCTTCGACTGGACGCACTCGCTCTTCACGTCCAAGGAGAAGCGCCGGCGGTTTGATGAAGTGCTACAGATCCCCCAAGCCGTCGCCGCGCGCGCGGGCGAGCGGGGCGCGTGGATCGCGCTCGCTGACGTCGACGAGTTCCCGCTCCTGCGGAAGGGCTTCAAGAGCCTGCCGCAGATGCTCACGGCCATGGGCGCCGAGGGGTTCACGGTGCTGGCCGGCTACACCGTGGACCGCAGCCGCCGCGACGGGTCCCTGGAGCAGCCGCGGCCCCGCGAGTCCATCTGGGCGCAGTTCCCGGTCCGATCGGGCATCACCGTCGACTGCGAGGAGTGCCGCGCGAACAAGGCCGTCGCCTACCGCTTCGCCGGGACGCCGTCGACGGACTGGAACAGCGACAAGGGCGGCCACCACGCGGAGCACTTCACGCTGAAGTCCGCGAAATGCGAGTCCGTCGAAAAATGGGTCGAGGTCGCGCACTTCAAGTGGTGGGGCGACCTCAAGTCCTATCTGGTGAAACGAACCATCGCCGGCACGAACCAGGTCGCGGCGGCGACCCAGGAGATGCTCGACGTCCTGGGCGCGTCGAAGACGACGTCCGCGCTCGACGTGTCCAAGTACGACCTCCGGGGGGAGAAGTCCCCCACGGAGATCATGCGCCTCGAGTTCGTCAAGAACCCGGAGCTCATCCCGTCCTGCCTCGGCCCGCGGCGCACGGCGGCGCTCAAGCACCACCTCAAGTCCACGGCCGTGAGCTCGGGCGTCGTGCCCTTCCGGCCGCCTCGCGCCGCCCGGCTCAAGGCGTCCGCGTTCGACAAGACGGACGACGCGTGGCTCGCGCTCGCGCGCGAGGTCGCCAACTACTGCGAGTGCCGCGCCGCGGAGCACAAGATCTCCCAGGTGCCCGCGGCCTGCGCGAACCATCTGGCGCCGCCCACGAAACCCGCGCGGCTCGCCGTCGCGATTCTGTCCTATCTGCCCGAGAACGCGGCGAACCTCGCGGAGACGGTCTGCCACTACGCCATGGTCCCGCGCCTCGTCGCGTCCGTGCTCGTCCAGTGGAACAACGCGAAGGTGCCGCCGCCGGCCTTCAACTGCTCCCGATCCGACGACAAGTACGTCACGACGGTGACCGTCGTCGCCTACGGCGACAACACGCTCTTGAACCGCTACCGGCGGCCGGAGCTCATGGGCGACGGCTCCGTGCTCCTCCAGGACGACGACGTGCGCTACTCGCACCGCGCGCTCCGCGCGTTCGCGTCCGTGGCGTCGCTCTTCCCGGACCACGTCCTGGGCGTCTTCGGCCGCATGGCCTTGTACAGCGACGTCGCGCCGGGCGTCTACATGAACCCGGACAAGCACGGCGGCGACCGCATCGAGCGCCAGTACAACATGCTCACGGGCAAGACGTCGGTCCTGGACGTCGCGACGGTCGCGTCGTTCTTCGACGACGACCGGGTGCCTCCCGCGGCGCGCGACTGGATCGCGCAGCGGCACAAGCCCACCTGCGAGGACATGACGCTCCACTGGCACGCGGCGACGCTCCGACCGAACCCGCCGGTCTGGCTCCAGTTCTCCGGCGACGACGCCCTCGAGCTGGACGCGGACTTGCGGGAGCCCGCGGCCGACGGCCACCAGACGGGCGAGATGCACCTCGACGTCGCCAACTGGGGCGACCTGCGGTCCCAGTGCGTCGACCGGCTCCACGACGAGTTCGGAAATGCGCCGCTCGTGCGCTCCATGTGCCGCCTCGACCTCAAGGACTACCGGCCCGGCCCGCGGCTCGACGCCGTGAAGCAAAAAAAGTCCAAGGTCGACCAGCTCGCGGCGGCGGCGGCGCTCGAGGCGGGCGCGCGCGCCATGGCCCAGCTCGAGGAGTACGAGCCTGTCCTCGCGACCCAGGCGAGCCAGCTCGGGGCCCTCGTGCAATCCTCGTCGGACGCGGGCTTCGTCGCCGACGCCGCGACGGCGCGCGCGGATCTCGCCGAGGCGCTCCTCGCGCGGCGCGACGCGCGCTACGCGCGCGCGCGCCGCATCCTCCGGGCGCTCAAGCTCGCGCTCGACGGCGGCGCGCTCGCGGCCGCCGTCCTCGTCGTCGGCCTCGCGCTCTGGGCGGTTGCACGGCGCCGCGCGGGCTCGTAGGAGGCCGCTAAATCGAATTCGCAGGCTCTTCAAGTTTTTAAAGAAAGGCGCGAGATGGCGGTGTCGAGGCGGCGCTCGGCGGGGGGCGGGGTGAACAGGGGCGGCGGCGTCGAGGGACGCGGCGCGCGGCATGGTAGTCTCAGGCCCAGGTGTTGGACCGCGCGAGGCGCTGCTTCGAGAGCCGCGCGACGTCCGCGCGGTACTCCTGGACGTGCTGCTTCTCGACGGCGAGGGCCGTGGCCATCTTCTGGACCTCGGACTGGAGCTGGGGCAGCATGAGCGCCATCTGGGCCGTCGGGCGCCAGACGGGGTTCGGGTGGAGGAGCGCGGCGACGCAGTCGCGGAGGTCGGCGGGCGTCGTCGCGGGGAAGTCCGGGCTGCCGTCGCGGAGCGCGTGCCAGGCCGGGCCGTTGGGCGCCAACGGCGCCCGCTTCAGGAGCTCGAAGGCCGTCGCGCCGAGGGAGAAGACATCGCATTTGGTCAAATCGCGGTCGACCTTCTCCGACGCCGGCGTGAAGTCGTCGTCGTCGAGGAGCTCGCGCGACATGTAGCGCGAGTCGCCCTCGACGACGTCGCCGCCGCCGGACTGCTTCTGGGTGGCGAGGCCGAAGTCGCCGAGCTTGAAGGTCGCCTCGCCCTTGAGGAAGACGTTGCCGGGCTTGATGTCGAGGTGCACGAGGCCGTTGCGGTGCAGCAGCTCGAGCGCGAGGAACATCTGGCGCAGGAAGGCCCAGAGGTTCTCCGGCGTCGGGTGGAAGCGCTGGCGGTGCACGCGGCTCTCGAGGCTCGCGTCGCAGAGCTCCGTCTGGATGAACAGCCGCTCGTCCTCGATCCACGCCTGGGCAGCAAAAGGGTGCGAAATTCCCAACTTCAAAGGCTCCTATCTCGGTCGTTTTCCGCTCGTTTCGGCTGATTTTTGGACGAGCGATCATCTCTCGGAGCGCTCTCGACGCGTGGATGCTTTTTCCGGAACGCGCGCGCGCGGAACACTCATGTTGAAGCGACGTTGAATCACCCTTGTCCTGCCCCGATCCACGCCTGGTAGTAGCGGACGACGTGCTTGATGCCCTCGTGCGCGTCGTCGCGCGCGGACAGGGCCGCCAGCGCGAAGACCTCCTTGAGCGTGCGGTCGCGGTGGAGCTGGCCCTTGAACTGGTGCTTCGTGGCCTTGACCGCGTAGTGGCAGCCGTCGATGCGGCTCTTGACCTTGTGCACGGTGCCGAACGAGCCGCCGCCGACGTACTTGACGACCTCGAAGTCGTGGCGGAAGCGGCTCTCGGTTTCCGCGGGCTCCGCGGCCTGGCCGAAGCCGCCGCCGAAGAGGCCCCCGCGCCGCGCGGGCGCCGCGGGCGCGCGCGCCTTGAACGCGGACGCGGCGCCGCCGCCGTCGCACGACGACTGGCTCAGGTCCACGCTGTCGCAGCGGTTCAGGTCCTTGGGCGCGAAGGGGTTCACGTTCGCCGCCGGCGGCGCGTCGACCATGGCCGCGCCGCCGCCGCCGCCGCCGAAGAGGCCCCGCGCGGGGCCGGCGCCCGACGGCATGCGCAGCGAGAACCCGCAGTCGCCCTCGTCGTCGCTCACGCCGTCCCCGACGTCCCCGTCGCTGTCGCAGATGTCCGTCGTCGTCGACGCGCAGCTCGCCGGCGTCCCCTTGGTCCGCGGCGTCCCGAGCTTGGGCTGCTTCCGCGGCCGCGAATTCGGCGGCGACGCCATCATCGCGTCGCCGTCGCTCATCGACATCTGCCCGAACCCGAACTTCGCCTGGGGGTAGTAGTCCTGCATGGCCACCGACGGGGGGCTCGGCGGCTCCTCGTTGGCGGGCGAGCCGGGGACCGGGCTGAGGAACATCGTGTGCTTCGCGGCGGTTTTTGGACGTTTGGAAGCTGCTTCGACCGTTCCGCGTCGAATTTTTTCACGCGCAGCCGGCGGTCGTGTGTCGCGGCGGTAGTGAGCGTGCTGCGATGTGTTTCAGCGCGTGAGTGTGGCCGTAACGTGGTGCGCGCGCCGCAAACCGTGGAGGCGGAGGGCCAACTCAAAAAGCTGGGAGAAAGAGCGGGAACCACCTCGGCCAAAATGTTTGGTGTTGACGAGCACTTGACGCGCAGCCGCGGATCCGAGTTAGTATTTAAGTTAGTATGTACATCGCGGGGTCGCAGCCGCCTATTCTACAGGGGGGAGGGGTTGGTGAGGAGCTGTTGACACGATACAAACGGGCAGATCAATCGGCAGCCGAAATCTTCGGGCGGTAGAGCACGTAGATGTACCAGGGTCCGCGTCGAGACAAACCCGCACCCGCGCGCTGGTCGTCGTTCATGCACTCACACTGCTCAAACTCATCTGGAATGTGCGCTTCGTTCCAATAGTTGCTCGTGCCCCGGCAGAGCAATGTCAGAAGTCTGATGAGCTGGCCTTCGAGCTCCTTGGCGCGGCCCCTGGCGACGGTCTCGTCGATCAAAACCATCGTGAGGTTCGTGTCCTCCGACTGGAGCGTAGAGTTGTGCTCCTGGAAGCGCCGCTGGTAGTTGTTGGTGATGCCGCCGTAGATTTTTAGAGCCCGTCCATGGAGATCTTCGCAATTCGCAAAGCTCGAGAGACCGTAGCGATGGTAAATTCCACCCAGCGGCTCGCGACGTTCTTCTCTCCGGCGAAGTTCCTGGTTCTTGTCCTCCATCGCCTTCACCTTGGTCACGAGGGCCTTCTCGTCCCGCTCGCGCCGGGCGCTCTCTTCCCGATGCTTCGCTAGATCGCGCTTTGCTCGCGCAAGAGCGTCCTCGGTGTAATAGAGCCGCTGCTCCTCGTAAGCTGTGTCCAACGCCGGGACGTCACGCTCGGCAGCTCCATTCTCCACCCGGGGCTCTCCGAGTGCGCGCGCCGGTGCGGGCGGGCGCGCGTCGAACTGCGCCGCGTCGTCGTCGTGGAGAGCGGCGGCGGCCGGACCCGCAGCGTCACGCCGTGGCAGCGGCCCCGCGGTCTGCTGCTGCTCGGGCGGCGGCAGGGCCAGCAGTGGTCTGGCAGAAGCTTGGGAAGAAGGCGCGCGTCGCCCTTCGAACGACTGGTCATCCAGGTCGGATACCTCCATCTCATCCATGGTGATTACGCGATCCACGATGTTCATCAGACCTCGGTCCTGCACCGGTTCCCGGTCCCGCTCCTCGTCGAAGACGCCTCCGCTGCCGACGTCCGACGCGCGTTCGATCACGACACTGCCGACATCGTCGTCGCCGCCGCCCGCGACGGATTCCGCTGTGACCTTCACGAGCTTGACGCCCGAGTCCCGAAAGACCGAACTATAAGGCCCTTGCTGTTCACCGTTCAATTCTTGGTAAATTACCGTAATTATACTACATGCACTAAGATCCTTTCCAGCGGCCGCGAGGAGTTCACGGACCCAGCGCTTAAGTTTTTCGTTGCTCGTCACCGCGCCTGGGAAAATTTTCTTCCGACGCTGATTCTGTCTCGTGTAGAACGCTTTGACACCGCTATAATTAGCCCTCCTCCCAGGCGGCATTGGCTGCCGAAGGGAGAGCTCGTACGCGTGCGTACGGTCCGAAGGAGTTTCGATGGGTAAGTTGCAGTTCAACCCGCAAAGGACGCGTCTAGAATCTTACTCCCTCCGCGCGCGCGCAGACGGGGGAACAGACGCGGAGACCTCGGCTCTCTCTCTCTTCTGGCTTTCGAGCGCACCTCCCGAACCGCGGCGCTAGTCCGTTTCATTCATCGCGGTGTCCCCCGGCTCCGGCGCGTCGTCTCCCGCCGCCGCCGGCTCCCCCTCCGCCGGCTCCTCGGCCGCCGGCTCCCCCTCCGCCGGCGCGTCGTCCTCGCCCGAGAGGTCGACGACGTCGGTGGGCGCGCGGAGCTCCTCGGCGCTCTTCTCGCCCGTCAGCTGGACCTCGTCGTCGTCGTCGTCCATGGCCGCGGGCTCGGGCACGGGCGCGGGCTCCGGCGCGGCGGCGGAGGCGGCCCCGAGCTGCGCGCGGAGCTCCGACTCGGCCTCCTCGATGAGCTGGGCGTAGATCTCCGGCTCCTTGGCGTGGAGCTGCTCGAGCGTGAGCGGGTCGCTCTCGCCGAGGCTCGCCTGGAGCTGGTCGAGCTTCGCGCGCGCGGCCGCGTAGAGCGCGTCCGCGTCGATGGCGCCGGGCGCGGGCGCCTCGTCCTCGGAGTCCGAAAAGGCGCCGTCGTCGGGCCCGCGCGGCGTCACGGGCAACAGCGCGTCGGCCTCGAGCGTGCCCCGCTTGCCGCACGTCGTGTCGCGGCAGCCGCGGTGGACGACGACGCCCTCGCCGTCGTCCGCGGTGACGCGGACGGCCCCCGTGAGGATCCACTCGTTGGCGCCCGTGTCCCAGTGGATGTCGAACTTCTCGCCGCAGATGCGGCACTTGACGGCCTCCGCGTCGCTCGGCACCGCGACGCCCGCGCCGTCGTCGTCGTCGTCGTCGCCGTCGTCGTCCTTGTCCGCGTCGAGGAAGGCGAGGACGTCGATGGGCTCGCCGTCGCGGTCGCCCTTCCAGGCACCCTTGGACGGGCCCCAGGGCCGCGACGTCGTGCCCTTCTTGCGCGAGTCGCGGAGCTGGTTCTTCCGGTAGACGACGTCCATCCACTTCGCGAGGTCCTCGGCCGACATGAAGCGCGTGCCGTCGGCCTTGCACTGGTCCGGCCAGCCGTGGTAGAGCGCGTCGACGGCCGCCGAGTTCGCGCGGCCCGCGAGCGACTCCGTCGTGAGCTCGAAGACGCCCGGCTCGCGGACGACGGGCCGGTTCGCGCGCGGCGCCTGCTTCCGCGCGAGGCGCAGCGCGGCCGCGAGCTCGTCGCCGGCGACGACGACGGGCGGCGGCTCGTGGGCCGCGTCGTGGGCGTCGCGGTCGTCGGGCGCGAGCTTCGCGCGCGCCTTCAACCGCGCGGCTTCTTTGGCCGCGTCGCGCACGAACCGCGTCTTCAGCACGTCGACGAGGTGGCCGCAGAGCTGCTCCGGGCCCGCCGCCAGGTCCGGCGTCATCGTCGACGCCGCCTCGCCGCGCTGGTACGCCGCGCCCCGGTGCTTCAGCCCCGTCAGGAGCCGGTCCGCGTGGTCCGCGACCTCCCGGAGCGCGGCCGCGAAGTCGGGCCCGAAGGCCAGCACCTTCTTCTTCTTCTTCTTCTCCGGCGTCGCGGGCTTCGACACCTCGGCCTTGACCTCGCCCTTCTTCGTCGGCGCGCGGCTCCGCGCGGCCGCGCGGACGTCGTTCGCCGCTTCTTCGAGCAGGCGCGCGTGGATGTCCGGCTGCTGCGACCGGAGCTCCTCGAGCGTCATGGGGTTCGCCTCGCCGAGGCCGGCCTGGAGCTCCGCGAGCTTGGCGCGGGCGGCCCGCGTCAGCGCGTCGTCGTCGTCGGCCGCGTCGACGCGCGACCGCTTCGCGGGCGGTTCGGCCGCGTCCGGGCGCGGTTGCTGCCGCGGCGGCGGCGCCCAGCGCCGCGTGAAGTCCGGCGCCTGGACGACGGGCGGCGCGACGTAGGAGTGGCCCATGGACCCCAGGGCCGCCGCGGCGGCGGCGGACGCGCCCGCGAACATGGCGCCCGCGCCCGTCGGCGCGCGCGCGGCCTGGAGCCCCGCGCGGCTCGCCGTCGCGCCGACGCGCGCCTGGCCCCCGAACTGGGGCCGCGGCGGCGGCGGCGCGGCGACGACCGGCGGCGCGAGTTGCTGGCGCGCCGCGCGGCGCCGCTCCTCCTCGCGCGCGGCGAGGCGCTGCGCGGCGAGCGCGGCCGTGCTCTGCTTTTGCGCGTGCTGCGCCGCGAGCTGCTGCTGCCGCGCCTGGGCCTGGGCCTGGGCCGTCGCCGCGGCGACGGCCGTCGCGGCGAACTCGGCGTGCCAGGGCGCGACGAGCGCGTTGAGGTCGTCGAGCGATTCGACGAAGATCTTCTTCTCGTTCCACGTCCGCAGCACGTGGTGGAGCCGCGTCCTGTCCTTGTCGTGGCACGCGGCGAAGGCCTTCTCGAAGGCGGCCTTGACGCGCAACCCGAAGAGGGGGCCGTAGACGTCGCCGACGTTCTTGACGACGCTGTCCATGGCGTAGAAGAGCGGCACGCGCCGCTCCGCGGCCGTCGCCTCGGCGCCGGCGGGCGGCGCCGCGTCGGACCCGGCGTCGTCGAGCACGTCCATGACGCAGGCCGTCATCCGCTGGGCGAGCTCCATGCCGCCGGTCTTCAACCCGACCTTCGCCGTCTCCGTGACCTGGTGGATCACGTCGCGGTCCGGGAAGTTGCCCAGGCGCTCGATGAGCTTGCCCAACCGCGCGACCTGCTGGGCCGGCTCCATGGCGTCGACCGTCTACGCGCGGCGCGTTGTGTGGTGGGTTTGTTGCTACTGCGCGGCGCGGCGCGGCGCGGCGGGCTCGCTGCTGCTCCCGGCGCGGGCCTCGGGCGCCCTCTCACCCTCGCGAGCTGAGCCGCCGTCGACCACTCGACCCCCGGCCAGAGCGTGGGCAGCGTGCTGATGATGAGATGCTTCGGACTGAGAGAACTTGCGGCGTCCTGCGCGTCGACGGCGGCCCAGGCGTCACCCGCCGCGTAGCCGTCGCTTCCGACGAGCTCTCCGTCCAGGCGTCGACGGAGACGGCATGAAGCTCCCAGGCGTCGTCGCCGCGGCAGCCCACACCTTGGAGGTGGGCCAGGGCAAGGCCGCGTCGTCCAGCGACGCGCCGCCGCCACCGGTCGGCCTGCGGCGCCTGTGGCTCCTCGTCCTCGTGCAGCTGTTCCCCTTCGCTTTGGGCGTCGTCGCCCTGCCCGCTTTGCTGCTCGACGCGTGCGGCGGCTCGGAGCACGAGGCGGCCACGTACGTGACGCTCGGCAACAGCCTCTTCTTCGGTTTGCAGTGGGCCTGCGCGGGCGCCTGGGGCGGCTTCAGCGATCGCGCGGGCCGGAGGCCGCTGCTGCTCGTGGGCGTCGCGTCGGACGCGTTGGGCGCCGCGCTCCTCGCGACGGTGCCGCTCGGCGCGCTGCCGAGGGTCTACGTCAGCGTCCTGCATCCGTGACAATTTCGAGAGATTTTGACCGCAAAAACGATGAAAAATCGTTACCGACGCGTGTGGTAGGTCTACGTGGCCCTCGCCGCGTGCAGGGGGATTTTCTCCCAGTCGCGCATCGCGCTCTTCGCGGCCATCGCCGACGTGTCCGAGAGCTCGGCGCTCGCGAGGAACTACGGCGCCTTCGGCGTCGCCTTCGGGCTGTGCTTCGTCCTGGGGCCCGGCGTCGGCGCCGTGCTCTACACGGCGTCGCGGCGGCTCCCGTTCGTCGTGAGCTTCGCGCTGACGCTCGCGGCGTGGGCCTTAGCGTTCGCGCTGCCGGAGACGCTCGCGGGCGGCGCGAAGCGAAAAGCGGCGAGTTGGAACCCCGTCGCGCCCGTGCGCGCGGTCTGCGCGGCGCCCCTCGTCGCCGCGACGCTGCCGTCCTTCGTGCTCGCGAGCGTCGCGACGTCGACGTACGCGCTCTCCGTCTTCCTGCTCACGAAGCGCTTCGGCGCGTCGACGACGGTCGTGGGCGTCTTCCTGTCCTGCGTCGGCCTGGCGATCTGCGTCTGCCAGGGCGTCGTGCTGCCGCTCATGCTGAAGCGGCTCGACGACCGGCGGAGCTGCCTCGTGGGCTTCGTCGCGGCCGGGACCTACTTCCTCGCCTTCGGCCTCGCGCCGACCCTGGGCTTCGCCTTCGCGTCCGTCGCGTTGGTGTTTTTCTCGGGCCTCTTCGACCCCTGCATGCGGGCCATCATGGCCTCGGTCCTCGAGGGCGACCTCGGCGCGCTCTCGGGGGCGCTCGCGAGCCTCAGCTCCGCGAGTCACATCTCGTCCTTCGCGTTCGGCGCCTTGTTCGTCGCGGCCGGGTCCGGCGCGCCCTTCGTCGTCGCGTCGGGCCTGTGCTTCGTCGCCGGCGCGCTCGCGTGGCGGGCCTTCCGGCGGCACCCGGCCGTCGCCGCCGCGGCCGTCGAGCTCCCGCGACGAAAGGAGGCTAACCTGGTTTAATGACAACATCCCCCAGAAACCCCCGGACGACGCCGACGAGCTCGTCGCGGTCCGGGAAGAGGCCCGCGGCGCCGTGCTCCTGCGAGTCGACGTGGTACACGGCCATGGCGTCGCCGAGCCGCTCCCGGATGGCCCCGGCGACGGCGACGTCGCGCGCGTTGCGGCCGCCGACGACGCACTTCGCCGGCGCGGTCGTCGGGGCGAACTCGGAGAAGACGCCCGCGTCGAAGGCGGCCATGTCGTTGCGCCAGGGCGAGAACGCGACGACGGCGCCCGTCGCGCGCGACGCGTGGCGCAGAGCCCCGAACGCGCCCTGCGAGCTGCCGAGGAAGGACACCGCGTCGTACTCGCCCGCGAGGTTCGCGAGGAAGGCGCCGAGGGCGTAGGACCGACTCCGGCGGCACGGGGGCGCATGTTCGGCCGACCCGGTGGAGAAATTCTATTTATTTCCCCTCTCCCCTAGAATCTCGAAAATTGGCTGGGTGGGGTGGGGGGGCGAGTCTGCCACGAGCGCCTACGGGCACTCGTAGCAGCGCGGCTGGTTCTCGTAGGGCTTGTTGCGGTGGCAGCCCTTCTTCTTCTCGCGCGCCGTGAGCTTGAGCTTGTAGAACCGGCACTCGCGGTGCGAGATGCGGTTGTGCGTCGTCGAGCCTACCAAATGCGTCGGTAACGAGTTTCGTCGTGTTCCCGGTCGAACTCTCTCGGAAATCACCACGGCCGCAGGACGCTGCGTCGACCGCAGCGGCACGGCTTCAGCTTCGCGGCCTCGTGGCCGCGCTTGCACGCCGCCGAGATGGCGCGCGCCTTGGCCTTGGCGGGGAGGTTCGCGAACTTGACCTGGCCCTTCGCGCACTTCGCCGCGTGCTTGACCTTCGCCGGCCCCGCCTTCATGCCCTTGCCCTTCGTGCTCTTGCAGCCGCCGGCCTTCGCTAACTTCTGGCCCCACTGCTCGCGCGTCTTGTGCTGCATGGACTCCTTCGCGTGTTCGGCGAGGTCGTCGCCCGTGAGCTTGTGCCGCGCCGTGCGCTCCGCGACCCAGTTGGTCGCCGTCTCGCCGGGCGGCGTCAGGTGCATGCCGTAGAGCGGATTCGTCGTGTCCGTGATCTGCGACACGTACTTCAACTGGTCCTCGTCGAGCGGGAACACCTTCCGCGGCGACATCTGGTGGCAGACCTCGGGCACCGACTCCTTGCCCATCTCGATGACCGTGGCCTCGTCGCAGAGGGTCATGGGCCCGCGGAGGGCCGGGCCGCAGATGAGCCAGGAGCGGACGTCGTGGCCGCTGCACCAGACGCGCGACGTCACTCGCGGCGACTGCGCGGACCCGCAGTAGAGCAGGTCCCCGTACTTGCCCCAGTCGACGCAGCGGTGGCTGAAGTAGACCTCGATCAGCTCGTAGCGGTCGGGCGCGACGCACCGCGCCGTGACGAGCATCTGGAGGTACGCGTCCACGTACGGCGCCACGTCCACGTCGTCCTCGTGCGTGAAGAGGCGCGAGCCCTTGGGGACCGCGTGGTGCTGCGTGAGCTCGAGGAAGTTGCGGTAAAGCGTCGTGAGGCCGAGACTCTCGATGAGCTTGTTCCGCGCGGCCTTGCGGCTGAGCTCCTTCGTCTTCGCCCACCAGCCGGTGCCGTGCGGGCCGCCCGCGCGCCGGCCGTTGCCTTTCTGAATGTACGGCTTCCGCCGCGCCGCCTTGACGAGGTGGTCGCGGTCGACGATTTCGAAGATGGTGTCGAGCTTGTGCATCCCGGTGGGTAATTTCGTCACGGAACCGCGGGGCCAGTCGTCGACGGACATTGTGCTGCGCTCTCTGCGCATCGGTTTCGGCGCAGCCAAACCACATTTTGATTGGGTCGCACGACGATCGCCGGGGCAAAAAAGACGCGTCTTCCAGCGGTAGGCGTCGCGGTGCCAAGGAGTTTCTGCCGATGATAGTATCTCGCGACCTACGCACGGCGGTCCGCAGGACGCGGCGCGCGACGTCCGCGAAGGAAGGAGGCTAGCCTGGTTTAATAACATTCGCGAAACCCCCTGACCCCGACGAGCTCGTCGCGGGTAGCAACATCGGCCAGCAACCCCTTGACGACCCCGACGAGCTCGTCGCGGTCCGGGAAGAGGCCCGCGGCGCCGTGCTCCTTCGAGTCGACGTGGTACACGGCCATGGGGCCGCCGAGTCGCTCCCGGATGGCCCCGGCGACGGCGACGTCGCGCGCGTTGCGGCCGCCGACGAGACACTTCGCCGGCACAAGCGTCGGGGCGAACTCGGAGAAGACCCCCGCGTCAAAGGCGGCCATGTCGTTGCGCCAGGGCGAGAACGCGACGACGACGCCCGTCGCGCGCGACGCGTGGCGCAGAGCCCCGAACGCGCCCTGCGAGCTGCCGAGGAAGGACACCGCGTTGTACTCGCCCGCGAGGTTCGCGAGGAAGGCGTCGAGGGCGTCCGCGTTTTGCGTGTAGGAGCTCCGCTCGAGGTCGAAGAGGTAGCACACGTCGACGTCGAGCTTCGCGGCGTCCAGGACCAGCCCCCACTCCCCGACCTGTGTGGAAATCAACCACTGGTTTGGGTGGTCCTGACCAAACTTCAGAACTCTCTATCTCGATCAAATCGACGTCGATTCGGCTGATTTTTGGACGCATCGATTGCTCTCGTCGAGTTCTCGAAGCCCAGCCGAAGAGCTTGTGTCAAAACATTCGAATACGCTCACATTGAAGTCGGGTTGAAGATTTGATTTCCACACAGTCACCGACGCCCCCGATCGCGAAGCAGACGACGCAGTGGCGATGGCTCCTGCGGACGTGGAAGTTCGCGAAGGGCTGGGCGCGGTCGCACCGTCCGCGGACGACGGCGCCCGCGAGGTGGTCCGCGGGGCAGGTCTCGTCGACCCAGGCGAGCGCCGACGTCACGGGCGGGATCGTCGCGAGCTTCGGATTGCCGAGAAGGAAGAGCCCCTTGAGGTACCGTAGATTCGCGAGGTCCGGCGGCAGCGTCGAGAGGTCGTTGTACGAGAGCTTCAGCAGGCGCAGGTTCGGGGGCAGTCTCGCCGGGAGCGCCTCGAGGTCGTTGTACTCGAGGTTCAGCGTCGCGAGGTTCGTCAAATCGCCGACGGCCGCCGGCAGGGACCGCAGGCGGTTGCTGTTTAAATGGAGCGCCTCGAGCGTCGAGGTGGCGCAGAGCTCGCCGGGGAGCTCGCGGATCTCGTTCTCGTCGGCCGTGAGCAGGCGGAGCCGCGGAAAGGCGTTCGCGGGCAGCGCGGCGAGGCGGTTCGAGTTGACGATGAGCGTCTCGATGTTCGGGCCGAGGGCCGGGAGCGCCGTCAGGCGGTTCGTGTCGACGAGGAGCGACTCGAGGCTCGCCGGGAGGTCCTCGGGGAGCCTTTCCAGGCGGTTCTTGTGGGCCCCGAGGATCCGCAAGTTCGCCGGGAGGCGCGGGAGCGCCGCCAGCCGATTCTCGTGGACGACGAGCTCCGCGAGCGTGTCCGGGAGGCCCTCCGGCAGCGCGCGCAAGCCGCTGCTCTCGACGCGCAGCACGCGGAGGCGCCGGAGCCCCGCCAACGGCAGAGCCTCGAACGCGTTTCGCGACGCGCGCAGCACCTCGATGGTCTCCGGAAGCTCGAGCGTCTCGAGCCCGTTGCCGTCGACGGAGAGCGTCGCGAGGCGAGGCGGGAGCGGCGGCAACTCCGCGAGCGCGTTGTCCTCGAGGCTGAGGATGCGCAAATTGTCGAGGCCCGCGGCGGGGAACGTCGCCAGCCGGTTCTCGTCGACCGTTAACGCCGTCAGCGACGGCGGGAGGACGCCCTCGAGGCTCGCCAACCGGTTCTCGTTGAGCGTGAGCGCCTCGAGGCGTCGGAGTTGCGCGAGTTCCACCGGTAGCGCCTCGAGCGCGTTGCCGTCCGCGAAGAGGTTCCGCAGCAGCGCGAGTTCACCGACGGCCGCGGGGAGCGCCGCCAGCCGGTTGTTGCGGACGCTCAGCGCGTCGAGGGCCCAGAGGCAGCCGACGGCGTCCGGGAGCTCCGCGAGGCCGCTTCCCGAAAGGTCGAGGTAGGCCAGCGGATTCACGGACACGCCGTCGGCCTCGACGGCGTGCCAGCGGCGCAGGAGCCGGCCGCAGAGCAGCCGCGCGTTCGTCCGCGGGGCCGCGTCGGCGAGCGACAGCGGCCGCCGGAGCGGCGCGAGGGCCGCCTCCGCGGCGGTCCGCAGGACGCGGCGCGCGACGTCCGCGACGGAGACGACGGTCCCCGTCTCCGGCGGCGCCGCCGCGGCGACCGCGTTCGTCTCCGGCGGCGCCGCCGCCGCGGCCCGCCGCGCGAAGACGCCCATGCTGTCGACGCCGTCCGCGGCGTCGTCGACGACCTCGTCGACGCGCCGGAGCCGCGGCGGCGCGGGCGCGGCCCAGTCGACGTCGCCCGCGTCGAACGTCGCGCGGTCGCCCTCGAGCGTCGGCAGGCCCAGGCGCGCCGCGAGGCCGACGCGCAGCGCCTTGCCCGTCGGGCCCAGGGGCGCGCCGCTCGCGACGACGAGCGCCGCGGGCAGGTGCGCGTCGCGCAGCGTCCTGGCCGCGTGGCGCCGCAGGTCGCCGAGGGACGCGACGCGGCCCGGCCGGAGCGCCACTAAAACGCCGACGGCTTCCCCCAGGCGCGCGTGGGGCGCCGCGAAGGCGACGACGGAGCCCACGGCCGCGTGCGACGCGAGCGCATGTTCCACGGCCAGCGGCGAGAGCTGCTCGCCGCCGCGGTTGATCGTCTCCTTGAAGCGGCCGTCGAGGACGAGGTGGCCGTCCGCCAAAAAGGTCCCGCGGTCGCCGGTCCGCAGGTAGCCGTCCGCGAACAGCGCCGCGTTCGGGTCGGCGTCGCCCCGGCGCTCGTAGCCCGCCGTGACGCAGGCGCCGCGGACGCACACCTCGCCCGTGGCGACCTCGTCCCGCGACGGGTGCGGCGCGAGGAGCCTGACGTCCGGGCCGCTCGCGGGGCCGACGGTGTCGAGGCGCCGGCCGCGGCCGCGCGGGTTCGCCGCGATGGGCATGGACTCCGTCATCGCGTAGGTCGCGATGGCCTCGCAGCCGAAGGCCGCCTCGAGGCGCGCGGCGACGGCCGGCGGGAGCGCCGCGCTGCAGTTGCGCGCGTAGCTCACGCGGCCCGACGTCCCGTCGCCGGCCAAGGCCTCCAAAAGCGCCGCGTGCATCGTCGGCACGGCCGAGTAGCCGTCGACGCCCCGCAGCGCGTCCAGGACGCCCGCCGGGCCCAGGGCCGCGAAGCCCGGCGCGGCGACGCAGCAGGCGCCGGCCGCGAGCGCCGCGAGCACGTTCGCGGCTAAACCGTGGATGTGGAAGAGGGGCATGACGTTCAGCACCGTCGTCCCCGGCGCGAGCTCGAGGGCGGTCGCGATGGCCACGCCGCCCGCCCGGAGGTTCGCGTGCGACAGCGGCACAAGCTTCGGCCGCGCCGTGGAGCCCGACGTGTGGAGCACGAGCGCGACGGCGTCGCCGCCGCGCGCGGGCCGCGGCGCCGCCGCGGCGCCGCGCGGCTCGACGGAGAAGAACCCGTGCGTGCCGACGACGGCGACGACGACCGGTAAAGATGCCTCTCTCGCGGCGGCGACGAAGACCTCCGCGCCGTCGTCGTCGTGCACGAGGACCGCGGCCGCGGGCAGGTCCTCGAACTCGAACGCGTACTCGCTCGCGCGCAGCGACCGCGACAGCGGCGCGAAGGTGCAGGCGAGGGGGAGCGCGAGAAACGCGAGCGCCGCGGCGACGCCGTCTCTCAAGGCGACGGCGACGCGGTCGTCGCCGTCGAGGCCTGCCAGCGCCGAGAGGTCGAGGCCGCGCGCGAAGTCGACGAGCTGCCGGAAGCTGATGGGCTGCCCATGCGGCGCGCGGAGGGCGGCGGCGTCGCTCGTCGCATCGAAGAGGTCGAGCACGCTGCAGCCCGTCGCGGCAGCGTCCATCGACTAGGAGCTGCGAGCGTCCATCGCGCGGGCAGGGGCTGCAAGAGTCGGAGTTGAACCTGCTTGAACGTGCCTGTGATTGGTCGGAGCTGCCCATTCGAAGTGTAATATATATAATGCGCTTGCTCGAAGCGCTGCACGCGCTGCACGCGCTTCTGTTCGCTATCGACTCGAGCAATGGTGTGATTGCAGGGTCCTCGACCGGGGCAGTCGGAGGCACTTTGCGGGCGAGTAGCGCGATGCACACGACCACCTACGCGACACGCAACGTGTCGCTGCTCATCCGCGACCACATCGCCGTCAATCGAAGCTTCGTCGTCCACGGGCCCACGACGACGAAAAGCAACACAAAGCTGCCGCTCGTCCTCGGCTTCCACGGCCAGTCCGGTACCGGCTGGACGCAGCAGGGCGAGCACGCCTTCAACGCCTACGCGGCGCGCGACGGCTGGCTGGTCGCGTACTTGGACGGCATGGGCGACGGCGACCAAGGCACGGGCTGGAACTGCGGCACGGCCGGCGACAACCAGCGTCCTGCGGTGACGATTTTCGAGAGCTTTTGACCGGGAAAACGATGAGAAATCGTCACCGTCATGCTTGGTAGGCGACAACTCTACGTGCATCGTCGGCACGCAGAACGTGGGCTGTTACGAGAGCTGCGCGGCCCGGGGGCTCTGCGGCCGCTGCAACTGGAACACGTGCCACGACGACGGCAGATTCGTGGAGGCAGTGATAGAGGAACTAGACGCCGAGTATGGCGTCGACCGGTCGCGGCTCTTCGCCTTCGGCGGCAGCAACGGCGGCATGGCCGTGCACCACCTCGTCGCGGCGCGGCTGCCGGGAGTGTTCCTCGGGGCCGCGCCCGTGTTCGGGCTGCCGCTCATAGGCTACGCGGCCGGCGGGCCCGGCATGCCGCTGCTGCGCTCCCCGAACGCGTCGCGGACGTCGATCCTCCAGCTCCACGACCGCAGCGACTCAGTGATTCCCTGGCAGGGCGGCGTCGACGGCGACGGCTGGATCTACGAGACCGGCACCGTCGCGCTGGCCACCTGGGCCGCGGTCAAGGGCTGCAAAGCGGTGCCCACCCCGCAGAACACGACCCTATCGGGCGGCGCGGACCACGCGGCCTGCTACGCCTTCGAGGGCTGCGACGCCGGCGTCCTGCGCTACTGCCTCTACGACGGCACGCACGGCGTCTGGCCGCCGCAGCCGGCCGCCGACGCGCTCATCTGGGCCTTCTTCACCGAACTCGCACCGTAAAATTGGTAAGTCGCGCGGCGTCGACGCCGGCGGGCGCGCGGCGCTAGACGAGCGCGTCGTCGCCGTCGAGCGCGCTCGCGGTCGTCGGGTGGGAGCAGCTCGTGCCGTGGAGCTTGTAGTTGCCGACGTGACGCGAGAGCTGGGCGATGGCGCAGCAGCCGCACCAGAGGCCGAGGCAGCAGTCGTCGAGATGGCCCGGGAGCTGCGAGAAGTCGCCGAGCATGCCCGGGTTCGGCCGAAAGTATCGCCGGACCTTGAGCCGCACCGCGAAGATGACGCCGGCCCAGGTCGCGAAGTAGATCGCCTCCGTGAGGGGCGAGTCGAGGAAGACGACGACACCCAGCGCGGCGAAGAGCACGAGCGGCGGCAGCCAGCACGGCGCGACCTGGAGCCGCCGCGCGAGCTGGCCGACGTGGACGTAGGGGCACAGGAAGCTCAGGAAGCACGACGGGTACACGTTCTCCGTGCACTCGAAGACGCCGTCCCGGAACATGTTCAGCTCGTCGTACTCCGCGAGGTGCGCCAGCTGGTTCGCCGTCAAATTGCTCGCGCCGCTCGACACCGTGCTCGTCTGGTACTGGCGGCTGCCGCCCGCCGCCGGCGCCGGCGCCTCCTCGCGCGGCTCGCTCGTCTCCACGCGCTCGTAGGCGGCGGCCATGTCGCAGAGCGCGTCGACGCGCAAAAAACGATTGCGATCGGCCGACGCGGTTGGCGTATGTCGGTCGGCTGCGACAAGCTTTTGAGCTCGAATCGGCGACGTTGAAGCGGCGCGAGCCGATTGCGAGCCGCCCGGGCCGCGATCGCGATCGCGACGTCGAAGCGCGCACACTGGCGTCGGACCGGCGTCCGCGATCTGGTCGATTCGCTATCTTACAGGCCGATGGTCTTCGGCGGCGGCGGCGAGCCGCCGAACTCCTCGTCGAAGTCGTCGTCGTAGACCTCGTCGTCCGAGGCCGGCGGCGTCGGCGGCTTCCGCTTCCGCGGCGACGACGACGACTTGCCCGCGACGGAGGACGTCGACTGGCCCGTCTTTTGCCGCTTGGCGGGCGGCAGGCAGTCGGGCATGGACGCGCCGTCGCGGAAGCTCTGGCGCGGCGGCGCCTGCGCCTTCGCCTTCGGCGGCGCCGGCGCGGCGTCGCGCTTCTGGCGCGCCTTGGCCTGCACCAGCGCGCCCGCGAGGTCGTCGCTCGTCGTCGCGGCGTCGGGGACGCGCGCGTCGGGCATGCTCTCCGTGGCGTCGGAATCCGCGACGTCGTCGTCGGCCGCCTCCGGCGCCTTCGCCTCGGGCAGCTCGGACGCCTTGGGGCCGCCCGCCTTCTCCCACTCGAGGTCGAAGAAGTTCAGGAGCTTCTCGCGCTTGGCCTTGACGTCCTCGCGCTTGAAGAGCTTCTTCGAGAAGCGGTCGCCGAAGGTCATGTCGTCGTCCGCGGCGCGCGCCGGCAGCGGCTTGTCGAAGAGGAGGTCGAAGAACTTGAGGACGTAGACGCCGCAGTCGAAGGAGTTGCGCTGCTTCGGCAGGTCCGGCGCGAAGACGGGCATCGTCTCGGCCTCGAAGCGGCCGTCGAGGTCGCGCGACGCGTGGCGGTCGGCCCAGGCGCACTTGAGGAACGCGCGGAGGTACTCGGCGATGCGGCCCTTGTCGTGGGACCGGAGGCTGTCCATGGCGAGGATGTAGGGCTCCGACGAGTCGGGCGTGGCGTCCGCGTCGTCGCCGTCGCCGTCGCTGTCGGAGTCGATTTCGATGACGTCGCCCTTCTTCGGCTTCGGCTTCGGCGCGCGCGGCGTCCGCCGCGAGGGCTTCTTGCCGGGGTTGACGACGACGGCGAGGCTCCAGTGGAGGTGCTCGTTGACGGGCACGAAGAGGAGGTCCTGGTCGAAGACGTCGACGTTCTTCGTCCACCGCTTGACCTTGGCGTAGGCCTTCTTGGCGTCGAAGGAGCCGGGGAAGGCCTCGGCCTCGAGCATCTTCGTGAAGAAGAAGGTCGAGAAGACGTGGACGCTCACGACCGACGCGAGCTGGTTGTGCATCTTGTTCTTGAGGTAGAGGTTGATCAAATTGTCGTTGAGGAACTCGCCGTCCTGGAGGCGGAGGCGGTCGCCCTTGAGGCACGTGATCGCGTCGGGCGCCTTCGCGCTGGGGAACGTGAAGGCGGGCTCGGCGTTGGCCGGGTCGTCGACGAGGTTGACGTGCGCCGGCGCCGCGCCGCGCTTGCGCTTCGAGCCGCCGCGCGGCGCCGCGGCGGCCGGCTCCGCCTCGTTCTGCTTCGCGCGGCGGCGCTTCTCCATGGCGTCGGCGTCCGTGACGCCGAGGAGGTAGGGGGCCGCGGCGTCCGCGCCGCTGATCAGGTTGATCGTCGCGTGCGAGTAGTGGTCGTAGAGGAAGCCGAGGACGTCGTCGGTGAAGACGCGCGCGGCCGAGCCGGCGAGGTCGAGGACGACGTGGCAGTGGGGGCCCGGGTTCTGGCTCGGGTCGAAGCGGTCGCGGCTCAGGCTGTTGCTGACCCAGGCCGTCTTGTCCAGCGTCAGCGCGACGAACTTGACGACGGGGCCCCCGTCGCTCAGGTCCGCCGGCTCGTCGTCGCCGCAGAGGTCGATGGGGCCGGCGTCGGCGTCGTCCTGCGTCTTGTACGCCATGGACTCGATGTCGCGCGCCTGGATGGCCACGAGGCGGTAGTTGCCCGTAAACTCGCTCTTCCACTCGATGTTGATGGCCTGTTCCGAGATGACGATGCCCGCGCCGAAGTAGAGCTCCGTGCCGAAATAGACGCGCTTGCAGTTGAGCTTGCACTGCGGCGCGCCGCCGGACTTCTTCTCGCGGCTCGGCTGGCGCCGCGTCGGCGGCGGGCTCGCGCGCCGCTCCGGCGTCTTCTTCGGCAGCGGCTTTGTGCCGTTGTACGGGCGGGCCCGGGGGCGGCCGCCGAGGACCTGGCCGCTTCCGCTTCCGTAGACGACCTTGCCGTCGTCGAGGCGCCGGCCGCTCGGGCCCGTGCCCGCGGGCCCGCGCTTCTGGCCGCCCGACTTGTACTGCTGGCCGGGCGCCGCCGTCGCGGGCTTGGCGATCTTGTGCTGCCCGAGCTGCGGCGGCGCCTTCGGCTTCGGCTTCCGCGCGCGCTCGTCGTCGCCGTCGCCTACGATCGCGTCGCGTCGCGCGCGCGCGAGGCATGGGGCGCGAGACGCGGGCCGCGCGCTGTCGGAGCCGATCTCGATGGCCTCCTCCTTGGCCTTGCCCGCCTTGTTGCCGCCGCCCTCCTGCGTCGCGCGCTGCAGCGGCAGCGGCGGCGGCGCCCCTTGAGGAGAAACAAAGTGGCGGCTCGTGCGCTGCGGCGCCTTGTGCTTCGCCGTGGTCGGCTTCAAGGCCACCATCTCCGTCGACTCCTTGGCGCGGTGGTCGCCCCGCGTCGTGCGGCTGTCCGTCGTCTGCTTCCAGTCGTCCTCGGACCCGGAATCGTCGTCCCGCACGTAGCCCCCGGTCGGGCCGCGCCGCTTCCCGGAGCCCCGCCGCTTCTCCTGCTGCTTCTCCTTGCGCCGCCGCGCGGGCGAGGCGTTATCGATGGCCCCGTGGTCGTCAAACTCGAAATCGTCCAGCCGGCTCATGCCTTGCTTTTTCTCTCCTTGCGCGCCGCGCGCGCCTTGGGCTTGAATGAAATTTCGCGTTTTGCGCTCCTCGTCGTCGTGGTCCATGTGCCGCTTGGCGTCTCCACGGGGTGGCTCGCACGGGCCCCGGGCACGATGCGCGCGCGTCGAGGCTGGGAGGCGCGCGTCTCGGCCGAGCTCTCCTCGGACCCGACGGCAGCATTGACCTTGAAGACTGCATTGAAGCCTCGATGCCCTCCGAAGCTTGGCCAACTAATGGCCAACGGCCCCCACTGCGCTTCCTCGTCGCCGACCATCGTCGGCCAGGACGAAAAGCTTCCGAGGGTTACTCGGCGCCTAGGCCGCGCGGGACGCGTTCGCGGGCGCGGACTTCTGGGCCTCGACGAACAGGACGACGTCGCGGCCGCGGCAGCGGAGCGGCGTCGCCTCGGGCACGTGGGGGTCGACGCGCACGCGGCGCTGGCGCCGGTCCACGGACACGGAGCGGAAGTCGCGCGCGTAGCCCGCGTCGAAGCCCGCGTGCTCGGCCCAGAGCCCGCGGTAGTCGTCGGAGCCGCCGATGAAGCGCGCGCCGGCGACGTTGATGCCCTTGGAGACGTAGGTCAGGGAGCAGGCGTCGTGGAAGGCCGCGGACCTGGGCGCGGAGATCCGGCCGATGTCGCGGAGGAGCTCGCGCGTGTCGTCGACGCCGAGGTACATGAGCAGCCCCTCGAGGATCCACACCGTGGGCGTGCGCTCGTCGAAGCCCGCGGCGGCCAGGTCCCTGGCCCAGGCGCCGCGCGCCGTGAAGTCCGTGGCGACGACGCGGCGCGCGGCCACCTTCGGCCGGTCGTTCGCGACCAAGGGCTCCTTGACGTCGAAGATCGTGCGCTGGTCGACCTCGAAGACCTTGAGGTCGTCGAGCCCGCCCATGCGGAAGGCGCGCGAGTCCATGCCCGCGCCCAGGAGCACGAGCTGGCGGCAGCCGTTCGCGTAGTGGAGCCGGAGGTAGTCGTCGGCGTACCGCGTCCGCGGCGTCATGATCCACGAGCCCATGGGCTGCGCCAGGCCCTCGTCGCCCGCGAGCTTCTTCGCCAGCGGATCGTCGAAGAGGCTGTCGGGCCGCGACGACTCCTCCCAGCGGCTCGCGGCGCACATTCGAGCGGTGAACGCGTGCGAGTTCGCCACGCGCGTCTCGGCGCAGCTCGGCTCGAGGGCGAGCGAGCGCATGGCGGACACGAGGAAGATGTTCTGCGCAGTGCCCATTCAACAGCTCTTGAAAAGCGCGAGTTCTCGAGCAGGGGCGAGGCGGTCGCAGACGCTGCGGCTGCCGGAGGCGTCGAGCACGGCGGCCACCTCGATGTTTGCTTCCGCGGCTGAAGCGCGCGCGAACATGTTCGGATCGATGCTTCAAGTTGATGCTGCACTAAATTACGCCGCGCCCTACGCGGCGTGGACGTGCGTGTGGTAGCGGCTGCCGAGGGGCGACGGCGGCGCGTGGGCGAAGGCCGGCGCGGCGTCGGCGCCGCCCGCGGCGCGCGGCGCGGGCGCGCCGCGGGTCTCCCAGCCCTTGGCGTACTTTTGGATCTTCGCGTCGGCCTCGGCGAGCTGCTTGTTCTGGAGGCACGACAGCCCGTCGTCCTTGAGGATGGAGATGAAGTGGGGCAGGTCCGGCGCGCGGTCCCTGGCCTCGCGGAAGCGGATCGCGCGCTCGCACGCGTCCCTCCGCGCGGCCTTGGCGAGCTCCTCGAGGAGCTCGAGGCCCTGGGTCGCGTTCTGGTGCACGCGGGCGCGCTCCTTGAGGCGCGGGTCCGCGGAGGCGTCGACGCGGGCCTGGAGCGCCTGGACCGCGGAGAGCTTCGCCGCGAGCGTCTTCACCTTGGCCTCGAGCTGCTCGTGGAGCGCGTGGCGCCGCTCGGCGGGCGTGAGCTTGGGCGAGGACGTCTCGGGCCCGGCGGCGGCGCGCTTCGCGAGCTCGTCGAGGCGCGCCTGCTCGAAGACCGCGCGCGTCGCCGCGCCGGCGCCCGACGCGTTCTCGGGCAGCGCGCCGACGCCCTGGAGCTTCGCGAGCGCCGCCATGGCCTCGTCGAGGGCCGCGTCCTTCTTGAGGAACTTCTTCGCGTGCTTCGACACGGGCTTGCGCAGGATGGCCTTGCGCCGCGGCCGCGCCTCCTCCAGGGGCTGGGGCAGCGGGCCCAGGATCGTCGTCGACCGGCTCCCGGGCAGCGCCTTGTGCGTCGCGTCGGAGCCGCGGATGTTCATCAACGCGTCCGTCGACCGCGCCTTGGACAGGGCCCGCCGCAGGCCGTTCAGGCTCGGCGCCTCCGGATCCATGTCGACGCCCATCGCGGCTGCCCCGAAACGAGACGGTCGCAAGCTAACCGTCCCCCGAGCCACCTCATCGGCGCCGTTGGGGGGATCTTCGGCGCGCCTAGAAATCCTCAATCGGGGCTGCCTAAAAAAGATGGGCTGAAGCAAAATGAGCCTGCTCCTGCTCGTCGTCGCCTGCGTGCGCGGCGACGACGACGTGCTGCGCGACCCGGCCGCGACGCTGCGCAACCGCTGGGCCATCACGCGGCTGCGCTTCGAGGCCATCACGAAGCGCTTCGTCGACGAGGCGCCGAACGCGACGCGCTCCCTCGCGCGCAGCGACGCGCCGTCGCCGGCGCGGCCCTTCGTCTTCCTGCACCAGCGGAAGACGGGCGGCACGACGCTGCGCAAGGGCCTGCACCGCCGCGCGCAGCAGCTGGGCGTCCACAGCTGGCTCCCCTGCTTCGACGACGTGCCGTGCCAGTCGTACGCGGCGCCGGAGTTTCTCGCCAACGTCTCCCTGCTCGGCGGCCACCTCGCCTGGCCCGACGTGGCGGCGCGGCTGCCCGGCGGCTTCGACTGCTTCACGGTCTTCCGCGAGCCCGTCGCGCGCGTCGAGAGCTGCTGGAACTTCCGCTTCGTCCAGCAGCCGCAGCTGCCCAACTGGAAGGCCCGGGGCGCGACGCCGCGCGAGCCCTTCCACGCCATGAACGCGACGGCGCTCCGCGCGACGCTGCCCGTCGCGCGGTCGCTGCAGCGCGAGGGCTGCAACAACGAGCCCTACCGCGTGCTCGGACCGTTCTCCCGCGGCGACGAGGACGCGGTGTCGTCGCTCACGTCGGCGGATGCGGCGAGCGACGTCGACGTGGCCACGGACGCCCTCTTCGAGACGCTCGAACACGCCGGCCGCTGCGTCGTCGGCGTCCTCGAGCGCTGCGACGACACCGCGGAGGTCCTCGCGCATTTCCAGCCCTGGGCGGCGGCCGTCGCCCGGAGCGAGTGCGCCCACGACGCGACGATGCTCCAGCGCGGGAGCACGGCGCGGGCGGGGCTGGACGCGGCGCAGGTGGACGCCGTGCGGCGCGAGAACGCGCTCGAGGTCCACGCCTACGCGGCCGCGAACGCGATGCTCGACGCGCAGCTCGCGGTCGCGCGGGGCGCCAACCCCTGGCGGCGGACCGCGGACGGCGAGGGGCGGCGCGCGTGGCTGGACGCGGCGGACAAGGTGGCGCGCGGGAGCCGGGAGGCAACGACTGCAACATAAGCCTCAATCAATGAATTTTCCAGCCCAAGTTTTGTCCTTGTCATTCTCAACCGCAGAATCGATCGATTCAGAATCAGTGCCTGCGACGTCTCGCCGCGCTGCTCGCCACTCACACGCTCATCGCACCGCACCACTTGCACGTCCACACACCATCATGCTCGCCGCGCGCCTCGCCGCGCGCCCGCTCCTGCGCCTGCGCCGGCTGCCGCTGGCCGCTTCGTACTCGGCCGTGCCCGACGAGCCCTGGGCCGCGCCCAAGGAGCCCTGCGAGCTGCGCTCCCGCTACGACGCGCTCGTCCAGGAGGGCCGCGACGACGAGCACGACGCCGCCTGGGATCGCCTGCGTCCGGAGGGCGTCGCGGCCGCGGTCGCGCGCGCGCGCTACGACGTCGCGGAGACGCTCACCGGCGACAAGGCCTGCGAGGCCGCGGGCCTCGACGCGCTCGGCATCACGCGGCCGACGACGGTCTTCCGCAACCTGACCTTCGAGGAGCTCCGGACCCACGAGCTCGCCAACGGCGAGGGCGTCCTCGCGCGCGCGGCCTACGGGGACACGTTCGCCGTGGACACGGGCGAGTTCACGGGCCGGTCGCCGGGCGACAAGTGGACCGTGCGGCGCGCCGGCTCCGAGTCGGAGAAGCACCTCTGGTGGGGCCCCGTGAACAAGCCCATGCGGCCCGAGGTCTTCGACGAGCTCCTCGCGGGGGCCGTCGACTACTTCGACGGCCTCGACAAAGTCTACGTCGCGGACCTGCACTGCGGCGCGAGCGCGGGCTCGCGCATCAACGTCCGCTTCGTGCACGAGCTCGCGTGGCAGCAGCACTTCGTGACGAACATGTTCATCCGGCCCGAGTCGCTCGCGGGCTTCCTGCCGACGGACGAGCGCGTGGACTTCACGATCGTCAACGCGTGCGCGCTGCGGAACGAGCGCTGGGAGGCGCACGGCCTGAACAGCGACGTCGCCGTCGCCTTCGACCTCGAGCGGAAGCTCGCGGTCATCTACGGCACCTACTACGGCGGCGAGAACAAGAAGGGCATCTTCTCGCTCATGAACTACCTGCTCCCGCTCCGGGGCATCCTCTCGATGCACTGCTCGGCGAACGTCGGCGAGTCCGGCGACGTCGCGCTCTTCTTCGGCCTCAGCGGCACGGGCAAGACGACGCTCTCCGCGGACCCGAAGCGCGCGCTCATCGGCGACGACGAGCACGGCTGGGACGACGCGGGCGTCTTCAACTTCGAGGGCGGCTGCCAGTGTGGAAATCAACCACTGGTTTGGGGGGTCCCCACCAAACTTCAGAACTCTCTAGCTCCGTCAAATCGACGTCGATTCGGCTGATTTTTGGACGAATCGATTGCTCTCGTCGAGTTCTCGAAGCACGGCAGAAAGCTTTGCGTCGAAACGGTCGCATACGCGCACATTGAAGTCGGGCTGAAGATTTGATTTCCACACAGGCGGCTGCTACGCCAAGACCGCGGACCTGCAGGAGTCGTCGGAGCCCGACATCTTCAAAGCGATCCGCGCGGACGCCATGCTCGAGAACGTCGCGCTCGACCCCGAAAGCGGCGCGCCGGACTACTCGGATCTGTCCAAGACGCCCAACGGCCGCGTGTCGTACCCGATCCACCACATCCGGACGTTCCACCGGCCGCAGGCCGCGGGCCACCCGGAGACCGTGGTCTTCCTCACCTGCGACGCCTTCGGCGTCCTGCCGCCCGTGTCGCGCCTGAGCGAGGGCCAGGCCATGTACCACTTCCTCTCCGGCTACACGGCCAAGGTCGCCGGCACGGAGCGCGGCGTCGCCGAGCCGACGGCGACGTTCTCCGCGTGCTTCGGCGCGGCCTTCCTCACGCTCCACCCGACGGTCTACGCGGACCTGCTCCGCGACAAGCTCCGGCGCCACGGCGCGACGGCCTACCTCGTCAACACGGGCTGGGCCGGCGGCGGCTACGGCGTCGGCGAGCGCATGGCCATCGACGTCACGCGCGCGTGCGTCGACGCGGTCCTCGACGGGTCCATCCAAAACGCGGACTTCGCGACGACGCCCGTCTTCGGCCTCGACGTGCCGACGGCGCTCCCGGGCGTCGACGCGGCGCTCCTGGACCCGCGGCGCTCGTGGGCGGACCCCGCGGCGTACGACGCGGCGCTCGAGAAGCTCGGCCGCCTCTACCGCATCAACTTCGAGCAGTACGACTCCCCCGACGTCGCGGCCCACGGGCCCGATGTCTCCCTCACGGCCGACGAGCGCGCCGAGGTCGCCTACCTCGTCGCCAGCGAGAAGTAGAGGCCCGCGCGTCCCCCCCCAAGCAGGCGCCCGCCCCATGCTTAGATCAGCTTCACGTCCGTCTTCTTCGGCGCGTCCGGGCAGTGGTCGAGCATGGTCGCCATGTCGTCGTAGACGAAGGGCAGCTCGTCGTTGCGCGGGTCGAAGAGCTGGACGAGCTCGCCGTTCGTGTAGTCCGTAAAGTCGCTGTGGTTCGTGAAGCTACTGAAGGGGAGCTTCGACGCCCAGTAGACGCCCCAGCACGTGCCGTTGCGGAGCTGGGGGACGGCGTGGACGTAGTCCCACAGCCCCTCGAGCTTCGCGGCGCCCGCGGGCATCGCGTACGCGCCGTCGAGTTGCACGTAGTGCCAGAGCCGCTCCCAGTTCGAGTGGCTCGACCAGAACAAGGGGTCGTTGGGCGCCGCGAGGGGCGTCGTGAAGGGCCCCACGGACGCCGGGTTCATGAGGAGCTTCACCAGCAGGACCTTGAGCTCCGAATTCGCCGCCGCGTCCAAAGGCGCGCCGTCGCCGTCGAGGAAAAAGACGTCGTGGTGGAATCCGCCGCGGTCCGCGTCCGACGTGTTCGCCCAGAGGATGACCTTGTCCTGGGCGTGGAAGATCTCGCTGTAGATCCTGTTCTTGTTGAGGACCTCGTGCGCGAGCCGCTCCTCGGCGAGCGCGTCGCCCCGGACCTTGTCGTAGGCCGCGTCGAACGCGTCGCTTTTGCAGCGGCAGTCGCCGCCCTCGACGCACGAGTCCTTCGCCGGGCAGCGCACGTTGTAGGCGCAGTCGCCGAAGTCGCAGCCGACGTCGTCGTTGAGCTCCGCGCGCCATAGCAATTGGATATAGGTCGCGATCGTCTCGACGGCCGTCCGCGCGGCCGGCCACTTCTCGACGAAGGCGCCGAGGTCCAGCGACGTGCCGTCGGTCATGGTGCAGTCCCAGGCGCCGCCGATGGCCCCGTGCAGCACGGAGTGGAACTCGTTCTCCACGGCGCTGTGGAAGCCGCTCAGCAGCCCGAAGGGCCGCGTGTCGTTCGCCGACTTGAGCACGTCCCGCAGGTTGGCGCACCCGGGCAGGCGCGCCTTCGTCTCGAGGCCGCAGACGGTCCGCGCGCGCGCGACGTACTTGTCCGCGGCGCCGTTCCACCGCTCCGTGAGCTTCCCGTACGCGTTCGTCTCCGGCCAGTCGTAGACGCCGAGCGCGCCCTCGGCGGCGACGGGCGCGAAGGCGAAGGGCCCGCCGGAGATGACGTGGTCCGCCGTCGCGTAGGACCCAAAGTAGGCATCGGTAAAAAGCTCGCTGTCCGCGGCCCAGTCCTTGCCGTAGACCGCGTCGTCCCGCGTGTAGTCCCAGTAGGGGCTGCTCAGCGACGCGTCGACGGTCTGGAGCGCCTGCTCGAACTCGAGGTTGAAGGCCGCGTGGGCCGTGAGGAAGACGTCGTGGCCGTGGTAGGGCGTGCAGCCCAGCAGGCTCCGCCGGTCCAGATGCTTCGCCGTCAGGCTCTCGTAGTTCGAAAACTTCTTGCCGTACTTGGCCCGGCCCTCGGCGTGGCCGAGGCGGTGCACCTCGCTCATGGCGCCGAAGAGCTTCGCGCGCTCGTCGTCGCCCAGCGCGCGGATCTCCCGCCGCACGTACTTGCACTTCAATTTCACCGTCGTCTCGGCGCGCGTCGTCTCGTCGGCGAGGAAGAGCTCGTAGTCGCCGGCGACGCGGTAGAACTCGACCTCGATGACGTTCGACGCCGACGAGATGACGGCGTGGCTCGCCGCGGGCCGCGCGGCGTTGGCCGCGCCGTCGCGAGACGCGCTCCGGCCCGTCGCGCCGACGTGGCCGACCGCGAGCACGTAGGAGTTGCTCCCGGCGACCTCGATGGTCGTCCGCCGGAAGGGCTCGACGACGTACCTCCAGGGGTAGGCCGTCGTCGACCGCCAGGCGCCGTGGTCGTTGCGCACGGTGATCGACGGCTCCGACGACGCCGCGGCGGCCGCCGCGGCGAGGGCGGGCGGCGCGGCCCCGCCGCGGCGGTAGTAGGCGAGGCCCGCGACGCCCGCGACGGCGGCGAGGCCCAGGGCCGCCAGGGGCAGCCGTCGTCGGCTCCGTCGCGCGCCGATGGGGGCGTAGGGGCCGCCCATGGTCATCGGATTAAAACTCCGTCGGTTTGTTGAAGCTTGTATCCTCTCGTTTGTTGCAGAGGTGGTGCCGCGGAGAAGCAGCTCCCGCTGGTGCTGGCACCAGCTCCTTCGCGGTGTGCGCGCCAGCCACCGCAGCTCACCACAGTCGACATGACGGCGCCCAACTCGGAGCCGAACACGGACGAAGAGACGGACCCGCTCGACGCCTACATGCAAACGCTGGGCATCGCCACGCCCCAGGAGGACGACTCCCTCACCACCCCCGCGTCGCCCGGCGGCCGGCGGCGCACGGACGACGAGATCCGACGACGGAACCGGCGCTTCGAGTACTGCCAGCGGCGGCTGCGGGCCGGCGACCCCTTTTTTGGCGACGCGGCCATGAAGGACCGCGACGCCGCTCTCTACCGAGACTGCTTCGGCCGCCTGCACCCGCGCGAGACGCCGCCGGACGTGCTCGCGCGCGCGCGCGACGCCCTCGTGCGCGCCTTCTGCGAGCGCTTCATCAGCGGCGACGACGACGCGGACGTCGACTACGCGGCCATCGACGGCGACGCGGGACTCGACGACCTCCGCGAGCTCGGCCGCGCGGCGGAGGAGCGCTACTTCGCGGACGACTAATTGATTTAGAGGAGCCGCGGCGGATCCGCGTCGCCGCGGGGCGCCATCGCGGCCTCGACGCCGAGGCCGCGGAGCGCCGCGAAGGCGACGTCGACGTTCGCCGCGTCCGCGGCGGCCGCGGCCCGCAGCGCGGCCTCGGCGCCCGCCGCGAGGAGCGGCGCCGCGTGCTCCGGGTTCCGGGCGACGAGGTTGCGGAGCGCGAGCGCGCCCTGGCGGTTCAACCCCGCGTGCGCCGGGTGCGCCGCCATCGCGGCGACGACGAGCGCGCCGCCGGCGACGCCGATCTTCGCGGCGTTCGCCGGCCGCCGCAGCGCCATGCGCGCGAGGCAGGCGACGACGTGCTCGCCGAGCGCCGGGTCCTCGTCGCGGAACGTTTCGAGCACCTCTAAAAGCTCCTCGAGCGTGCCGTCGGCGCACATGGCGTCCTTGGCGCCGTCGTCGCCCGCGAGATGTCTCAGCACCCCCGCGAGGCCGCGGCGCCGCGCCGCGGACCCTCGGCGCTCCCGGAGCGCGTCGCGGCAGGCGCGCGCGCCGCCCGCGCGCACGATCTCCGCCGCGGCGTCCTCCGACGCCGCCAGGAGCGCGAGGCCGTCGACGGCGGCCCGCGCCGCGGCCTCGTCGCCAAAGGCCGCGAGGGCCGCGAGTAAGGCGTTGACCGCGCCCGCGTCCGCCAGCTTCGTCGCCGTCGCCGCGGCGCCGGCGCTCGCGGCGCGCGGGTCGTCCGCCGCGGCGACGGCGGCGAGCGCGCGGCAGGCGACGGCGCCGAGCCGCGCGTCGCCGGCTTCGACGGCGGCGAGGACGAGCTCGACGGTCAAGGGGCACGCGCCGCCCGCGACGAGCGGCGCCTTGACGCCCTCCGTCCCCGCGGCGGCCGCGGCGACGACGGCGAGGCCCGCGCGGCCGAGGCGCCGGTCGCCGGCGCTCGCGGCGGCGCGCAGGACCCGTAGAACGGCCTCGACGCAGCCGCCGTAGCGGAACGCGTCGCGCGCGGCCGCGTCGCCCCGCACGCTCGCCGCGAGCGCCGGGAGGCACTTCAGCAGCAGGGGCCGGTCGCCGTCTTCGACGCAGGCGTCGACGAGCGCGGCGAGGGCCGCGAGGCCCCGGGCGGCGACGACCGTCGCGCGCGCCGCCGCCGCGGCCCTGGGCGCCGCGTCCCTGCCGCAGGCCGCGGCGACGAACGCGAGCGCGGCGTCGAGCTCCGCGCGCGTCGCGCCGCCGACGCCGCGCGCCAGCAGCGCGACCTGGATGCGTAGCACGTCGCGCGCCTCGCGGCGCTCGCCGGGGCCGTCGGGATCGACGGCGCTGAGGTCCGCGTTCTGGAAGTCGAAGTGCTCGTAGGCGTTCCACACGGCCTCCTCGCGCCCCATGCCGCAGTCCTCGACGTTCTCCGCGACGCACGCGTCGAAGGCCTGCTGGGAGATGCGCCGCCGCTGCCCGAAGGCGGCCATGGCGCCGCTGCGCGCGGCGGGCAGCCCGTGCTGAA